TCATTGGATCAACCTCATAGATCTTTGCGGCGCGTCGGAGAGTTAATTTTCGGTCATTTTTAAGGGCACGAAGTGCGAGAATAACATTAGCTTCACTATTGAATTCAGGCATATTGGGTGGTGAAGAAACAGTTGACGACGTAGACATGTTGTAGGTTGAGGGATTTTTGTAACACTCACGTGTTTGTAACACTCGCTTATCATGGACGTTAAACTAATGATAATAAAATAATTAATTAAAGTGTTATTAAGTATAAAATAACAATACCTTATTCTACCTTAATTACCTATTATAGTAATAAGGAAAAATTAACTTAATAGATATTTAAGTTATAGAAAATATAAATAAGATAGTATATAGCCTAGCATCACTTGTATCCCTTTGAAATATATATCTCCTCTCTTGAACCATCCCCAAGCCACATTCCTTAATCTCTCTTGACAGGAACCTTTCGGTACCTAACCGTCTCAACTCCAGAGTCATCAAACGTTCTGTCCGCAACAACCTTGTATCCTCCAATCCTGGGCAGTATCTTTGTCCAGAAACCCCAGTAGACACCACCAAGGATCAAAACAGCAACACCAACGACAGGAAACACGTAGTATGGATATCCATCTGCGTTCCAGTCGCCATCAGGTGGGATAAAGGGCACCAAGGCGAGAAAGATATTGGCGAGGAGGTAGATTATGGATATGGGGAGATATGTGTGCCACGGTGATGTCCAGTTCTCGGATTTCTTGTAGTGCAGGTATATCAAGCCCGCGGTGACGAAGCCGTTGATCCAAGAGCCGGGGTATGTGTACCTAAGCCGTCAGACCTGTAGATGGAGCGCAGAGAAAGAGTAACTTACAGGTTGACGATAAAGTTATAAGCTGGTCCAGCAGGCGGCGCAAGAAGCACAACAACCGTAACAATCCAATGAAGAAAAAGCTAAATCATCAGCCTTACCCTTAATAAAAAGAAACATAACTTACCGCAGAAGCTGGTGCATTAAACGGCTTATTCGACGCCCAGAACCGACTAAACGGCAACATCCCCTCCTTGGCCAACTCCTGATTCAACCTCGCATGCGCAAACGAAACAGCAAGCACATTCCCAAGATTGCTCAACGCCACAAAAGCAGGGAGACTCCGCGCCGCCGCGCTCTCACCAAAGATGTTTCGGAAAAAGAGACCCGCGACGATGACTTCTGATTTGGCGAGGTCTGATTTTGGAATCGCTGCAAAGTACGCTACATTGGCGAGGACGTATAGAATCGTCACGCCGCCGATAGCTATAGGCGCTGCGATGGCGAGGGTTTTCTTGGGGTGCTTGAGTTCGCTTACTACATAGTTTGCGTTCTCCCAGCCCTTGTAGCTGTAGATGATGTTCAGAAGGGCGTTGGAGTAAGCGTATGCGCCTCCGCCACCGTACCCATCGCCGTCTTCGATTCTAAAGGCGTTGTCAAAGTTGTGAGGATTGGGCACGCGACGATGACCTGCGAGGGCGGCAAAGCCTGAAAAGACGATGAAGAGAAGAATGACGACTTTGAAAACGCCAAGGACGTTGAAGAGGCGAATACCCCACTTTGGGGTTACACTGTGCATCAAGACGGCAAAGGTCACGCATGTCACTGCGATGCCGCGAGCTTCCCATCCATCAGGTGTTTCTCGCCCAGACGCAAAGAGGATATAGCGTCCAAAAGCAAGAGAATTACCAGAGGAAAAGCCAAGAAGAATCATCTGCGATGCGAGAACGCATGTCGCTAGATATCGAGGACGGCGATAAACGCGCTCGAGATAATTCTTCTCACCTCCAGATCGTGGAATAGCTAAGCCGAATTCGAGAAAGACGCTTAGGCCGCAAAAGGTGAGGAAACCGCCTATCACCCAAAGCATGAGAGAGATGCCGACGGAGCCAGTGGCTGCAAAGATACTCGACGGCGTTGAAAAGACTAAAGGTCAGCGTGGTCACCTCATAAGATGGGAAACTTACTTCCTGTGCCAATCATCTTATTCAGAATCAAAAAGACAGCACCAGTGATACCAATCTTTCGATCCTCACTGTACGCAAAGTTCTGCGCGTCAATGGTACTCCCATTATCAGGTCTTTCATCACTGATGTCATTGTGTCTCAAGCCATCAAAGGCCTGAGGTTCTTTCCGGTCCGCCATTGCTGCTGAACAAATTAAACATGAGAATTCCGTGCAACTTATAACAACGAGAATGAGGCGCAGATCGATGTCGACATTTAACCCTGGTGACACGGAATATGCAGTGAGTTACTCAAAACGGCAGGTCGTGAGATTTACGCCCGTTGGTGCGGCACACAAAAATAAGCTCATAAGCATAAGACAAGGTTTCAAGGGTGCCGATCCCACGACGTGGGGTGTGCGGACACGGATAATATGCAGTGTCATTAAAGTATCTAAAAGAGTCTAGAAGCAAAAGATGTGATCGCTCATCTTGGCAGACGCCCCGGGCTGCTCAAAGCCAAGGTTGCCAAGCGACGTCTTTGCCGCCTTTACCATCCCCGGCGGCCCGCACAGCATGATCTTGGACTCTGCGCCTGGCGCGGGGAACTTTTCCTCCATAAGCTCCTGTGTAGCGAACCCCGTGCCGTAAGCCCAATTTTCCGGCGCCTTTTCTACGACGTAGTACAGCCGGAAATTCTGTGGGTACCGACGCGCAAAAGTTTCGAGTTCGTCGCGCAGAAGAATATCTTGTTCTGAGCGGTTCGCGTAAATGAGACTAACCTGCGTCAAGTCGCGATCGTCTTCACAGATGGCGCGGATTATCTGAAACATAGGCGTTATTCCCGTTCCGCCGGCGAGCATGCCTATTCGCTTGCAGAGACCGTTCTTATAGCGCATCGCGCCCTTGGGACCGCGGAAGGAAACCTCATCGCCAAGGGAGAGGTTGGCGAGGTATTTTCCTGTCAAGAGACCGTCGGGGTAGCATTTAATGACGAGCTCGAGTTTGCCGAGATCGTTGTTGTTGGAGATGGGGGTGTATGAGCGGTTGACGGTCTTGCCGTCGATCTCAGCTTTTATGGCGAGATGCTGGCCTGTTGGGAGACCGAGGACTGTTGTGGGTGTTGGGAGGCTGAAGACGAGACGGTAGACGTTGGGGGCGATTAATTCCTTCTCGGTTAGAGGGAGAGCGTGGTATGTTGTTGGGTCGAGCCAGCCTCGTTGGATGAGTGGGTTAACTTTTGTAACCTTTGGCATTTTCTTGTGAGGAGCGTAGCTCATGAAGCCGCCCTCTTCAAAGTGAAGATGCTTGGAGAGTTTCTTGGCGGTGATTGTACCAGCGACGGTGAAGAGCGCTGAAGCAATCAAGAATCCTTCTAGAAAACCAGGTCCTGAGCTGCTGGTCTTGAGCTTGGGTAGTGAGTTCAGCATCTCGGGGTTCAATCGGTAGGCTTGAAGTGCGACAGCGCCGACAGAAATAGCAGCTGTAGCTGTGAGTGCCGTTGAAGTGAAGTTATTCCCAGCAACAGCCTTTGGCGCTGCCTTTTTGAGCGTCACAGCTTTCGGCGCGCCTCGTATAGGTGCACCGCTGTATGTCCCAATGAGATACTCCTCCATAATCTCAAACGCATCTTCAGAATGACCTGCATTGTCAAACTCCACTGTTGAGTCCTTCCCAGCAACTTCAATCAAAACATCCGCACCACCAGGATGATCCTCAATGTATTTCGTAACGTCATAAACTAAACCGTCAGAAAAATCTCACCGCCAAAACAAAAAAAAGAACATACCTTTTCCGTTAATGATTGTCCAACAATCATCACGAGTGCTGTGAGCAGCCACTTCCTTAGCAGTAAACGAAGCCATTTTCTCTAACCGTACAGAAAAAACAATTACGGAGCGCAGGCGTGTTATATGAAGGCAATCAAATACCACCTCGAGGATTGGCCAGGTAATTTCCTCATCTGGTCAAACCGAGGCTCCAAGGTCTTTTCTCGGCCGACTGTGGGTCCCGGAACGGCCGAGAGACCGTGCTTGCTCCGTTTCATGATTTCACCAACTTTGAAAGGATATAAACCCGATCAAACATGGATACAAGGTTGCATTGACCGAGGCACGGAATTCGGTGTCGATGGATCCGTAAATGCCGTCGGATTTGTTCTTCATGCTTGAATGCCAAAAGACACGATAAGCTGCCGGGATCTGTACCAATAAAAGTTGCCATGACTCAAATGCGTTATTTCCATACGAATAAGCTAATTTAGTCAAATCATCGATACCCGTCCAATAGTGCAAGCCACGCCAAAACTTAAGTACTCACCGGCGTACAGCGGAGATTTTATGCGCCACCGAATCATCCCGTCCATGCGTCAAACTCTTCACCCCTATCCATATCCATATCCACCATCCATATCTACCGACAGATTGCAAGGTTTGGAGATCCACTCGAGATTGAGGCTCTGAGCCTCGGCTCATTTAAAGTCGGTGGTCTATATAGACAGACACTCCGTAGCAGCCCGTCATTTGTTAGACAATTCTCAGCATTCATCATGGCTACTAAACGCTTCCATCTTATGGGTGAAGACCCTTCAACTGCCCAAGAAATTGAGATCCCTACGTCATTAGACGAGCAAGGTCTTCAACATTTAGTGGCGTCGCATTTTGCAATTGTTGATCCATCGGGTAAGTCGATTCACCGACCAAAGTGGCGTCGCTAATTTTTAGGCATTGGTTTTGTCACCGAGTCTGATGCTTTGACGACTGTTGCAGACGTTCTCGCCGCTGATGACATTTCCATCACCATCGATGGAAAAGCTGTCCGCGAGATTCCTGGCCCAAAAGGCCTGCCTCTCGTAGGCAACTATTTTGAAGTCTATCCTGACCATCTCGGTAACCACCAACGGTTATTCGACAAGTATGGCCCTCTCTTCAAGACCACCAATATGGGCAGCACCATTTATCACACAAATGATCCAAAGCTGGCCAACATTGTTTTCGGCGAGACAGACTTTTTCTCAAAGCGCATCATCGAAGGCCACCCTCTGTTTCCCATTAAGAACAAAGAGGCTGGTGTTTTCCTTGGTGACACCGATACGGAAGAGTGGAAAGAGGTGCACAAGTTTCTGCCTCCAGCCCTTGGTCCCAAGGCTGTGCGACACTATGCCCCTACCATGCAAAAGACTGTCGAGGATGCGTTCAAGGTGTTCGACGAACTTGATGAGCGTGATGAGGCTTGGAACGTGTATCCCTACATGTTGAAGCTTGGATCTCAGGCTGTCGGCAAGTTGGTGCTCGGCATGGACTTCCAACACTTTACCTCTCCTGATGCACGACCTCATGCGATGGTGATGAGAATTGCGCAATCTCTGGAACTCAACAAGAAGATCACTTCAATGGGCAGCTGGTACAAGAACCTCCCATTCGGTGATCCTCAACGTCTTCGCGACGCTCGTGCTCACATGGAGCTGATGATGAAGGAATCTGTCGAGAACGCTTCCAAGGGTGAGGGCGATTTGGAATTGCAAGATGCTGCCGTCCAGGCCGAGAACATGGTCGATTATGTCCTTCGTGCTAGCGATAGCAAGGGCAACAAGCTTCCTCGTGAACGCATCATGGAGCCTCTTGTTGTTGCTACTGGTGCCGGTTTCACAACAACTAGTTCTCTTCTGTCGTGGCTGCTGTATGGCCTCGTTGCTTACCCTGGCATGCAAGAGAGACTTCTCCAAGAGATGGTCGATAACGGCTTCGATGAAAACACCCAGATCACTGCCGACCTCACTAACAAACTTACCTTCCTTGACAAGTACATCAAGGAGACACAGCGACGACACAATCCTTCATACCAACCTGCACGAACAGCGTCCGTCGACATGATTCTCCCTGGTGGCTATAAGCTACCCAAGGACTCTATCGTCATTCCCGCTCTTCACCACATTCACAACAACACCAAGATTTGGGACAACCCAGCTCTGTTTGATCCTGATCGATGGGACACTGACCGTGTTAAGAACCGACCTAACGCTTCGTACATTCCTTTCGCCACTGGGCCACGTATGTGCGTTGGTTTCAACTTTGCTCTCCAAGAAGTCAAGGTTTTCCTGCCCAAGTTGGTGTATCGATACAAGTTCAGCCTTGCACAAGATGGGCCTGTTGAGTATGACCCAATGTTTCAATTGATTCGACCAAACAACCTGTACGTGAGGGCAGAACGAAGGATAAAGTGGCCCTCAAAAAGCGATTAGATTGGAGTAAGGATAGACAAAAGTATAATAGATTTAATGTACAATAGATGAGATGAGATTACAATAAATATTGATATGCATGTGAGTAGATTGGTGTCATCCCCGCAGCGTCTTCAACGCTGAGTCTTGGGCGAGTAACTTCTTTGGATCGCCAGTCTCGATGACTCGCCCATCCTTCATGACAACGGCGAGATCAAAGTCTGTCACGTAATCGAGACGATGCGTGACTTCAATCACTGTTCGTCCTTGCATGACCTCTCGAATGATGTGCCGTACGTCTTTGTCAGTAGCGTTATCAACACTGCTGGTTGGTTCATCAAGTAGCACGATCTTTGAGTGTGAGAGTAAGGCTCGTGCGAGACAAAACAATTGGCGCTGGCCGACGGAAAAGCCAAGTTCGCTGAGATCAGCATCGAGTCCGCCGCGAGTGTCAATGGTTGCCCATAGGGTAGTCTTTTTCAGAGCTTCAATAAGTATTTCGTCCGCTTGGATGAGTGCTTCTGGGTCAAGATTCTGTCGTACTGTGCCTGAAAGGCTTACAGGATCTTGAGGGATTGTTGTGATTTGGGATCGGATGTGTTGACGAGGTATTGATGTGAGGTCTTTGCCGTCGATAAAAATGCTTCCTGATTGTAGCTCGAGCAAACGTAGAATTGAAAGTATCAAAGATGATTTGCCACTGAGATGTCAGCTAGCTCACCAAATGATCAATTGGGGTTGGACATTACCTTCCAGTACGGCCACATACGCAGACCTTTTGCCCGGCTTCAACATCAAGCGAAACATCGCGGAGAACAGGTTGAGAATCGCCACTAGACTGTTAGAGGAATCCCAAGAGCAGGCGGTCACATACCTGTATGATGCAGTCACTCCATCAAACACGATTCTACCACCAGGCCAGTTGTCTGGGACTTCAATTTCACTCGACTTGTTCTCGTTTGGGGTATCGCTGATGAAAGACTTCAGCCGGGCAATAGCTCCGAGTGAAGTCTCGAGAGTCGTCCATTGATCAATCACCGTTGTTAGTGTCATATTGAGCCCCAGAAGGTTCACCATGGCGAGCCCAATCGCGCCCTCACTAGTGGTGCCAGGAATCCGCAGGGCAATCGTGACCAGGAGGATGGCCATTCCAGCGACGAAGAGGTCGAGCACTAGTTCTAACCATCGTTGAATACAAAACATTAGGTAAAAAGGCTTTTGCGAGGTGTTCAGCATGCGGAAGCTTTCAGCGAGAAATTCGTTTGTCCATCCAGATGAGCGAATAGTTGCGAGTCCAGCCGTGATCTCTGTGAATTGTGTGTAGAGCGGTGTTTTGGCTTCCAGGTCCAGGAGTCGCATTTGCCGAGATGTGCGCAGGTAGTACTTTTGGATGAGATATAGAGCCAAGATTGAAACAGGAAGAAACGCGCCAAAGTAGCTCGCTCCAGAGGCCACCACACCAACCTGAACAAGACACCTCAAGGTCACTGGGAGGGTTAGCAGAGTCTCGCAGTGAGGAAGCACTTACAATCGAGTGTCAGGTAGAACGCCAGCGGAAGAGACATATCGATGAGTGTCATGTCCTGGCTGAATCTACAAAGATCAGTAAAGACTATGGAACCGGCTCTTGACCTACCGATTCAAAATGCTACCACTTTCTGTTGATGTAAAGAAATACAATGGAGCTCTGCCGAACCAAGTTAAATACGGACACCTCGATGGCTGACGAGTCCAATAAAAGACGGCGACCGTACCTGCAAACAGAGTTCAAAAGCTGCTCGTGGAGATTGATTGATGACTTTTCGACGCCGACAATGAGAAAGTAGCTAAAGGTCAGCAAAGAATCTCTTTAGGCAATTCACTTACTCAATGTTGAGGAGTGCCAGGGCCATTGAAGCAACAACTAGCCCTATATAACCTCCAGCATAGTGAGCATCCTTCGAGCCCTCACCTTTCTCCGTCCAAATTCGTAACCAGATTTCTACATTGTTAGCTTCGTCGGAGTGGCGCGCACAATACTCACGAGGCATGGCTTCAAGCACGGCGCCAATCACTGAAGTTGGAAAGATGATGCTAATCACTTTCCAACCCATTGACTTGACATATATCTTGTAGCAATCTGTATCCCCAGTCTTCCGAGCCAAGTCGATTTCCTTCTTCGGAGTAAACTTAACTACGTCTTTCTGTACAAGCTGTGGAGTTTCGATTGGCGCGATAGTGTTTAGAGTTTCGGTGGCTTCAAGTTGAGAGTATCGAACTTGATTGCGAGTGACCCGGCCTTCTTCAATCACAGTAACAAAGTCCGCGAATGGCAGATAGTGAACTAAACTGTCAGAAAAGCTTCAAATCAGGAGAGATCATACCGTTACTGGTTACCAACACAGCGGTGCTCGACCGTAGTAGCCCTTTAGCCCCTAGAAGGCGATGGAAGACTGCATCTGCAGTCGTTTTGTCAAGGCTGCTGAACACATCATCAAGTATGATGAGCTTTTTTCGCGAGTACACAGCTCGTGCAAGGGCAACCCGCTGCTTTTGGCCTCCACTTAACGCCACTCCACCAGAACCAACAATTGTCTCTTGGCCTTGGGGCAGTTGATGGAGATCCTCTTCCAAAGCGCAAGCATGAAGGACTGTCGACAGCCACTTTTCGTCCCTCGGCGACAACCCAACGATGTTTTCTCTAATTGTGGTGTTGCGGAGCCATGGTACCTGGTCGCAATACGCAAGAGAGTCGTCGGTCTTGACCGTCCCCTCCGATGGTATAAGCTCGCCGATGATCGCTTTCAAGAGTGATGACTTCCCGCAGCCTACCTTGCCAATGAGCATGTTTAGTGTCCCCGGAAAGATCCGGAGGTTGATATTTGTGAGCAATGGATTTCCGTCGGGCGTCTGAAAACTGGCGTTCTGCATAGTGATGGCATCAACATCGACTGCCTCGTTAGCAACAACCTGCTCATCGAGGAGCAAAAACGCTTGAATCCTGCCACAGCCCCCGAAAACACCCGCAATCTGCATCAAAGAGACGAGAATCATGATAAGTGGTTGGATCACAACAGAAATCAGAGATAGTGATGTGAACGCTTCTGCGACACTCAGGCCTCCATCTGCTTTGGTCCAGTAAATTGCAGACATAATGACAACCACCGGAGTCAACTGGGCAGAGATCATGGCTAAACAATTAGCGACGCAACTCAATCATGAGACGACTTACCAAGGGCATTAAAGTAGACGAGCAACCATCGGAATTTGGCAGACACTTTGAGCTCTTGGACTCTGAGGTCCTGGACCAGTTTGAGAAAGAAATCCGTCAAGCCCATCATTTTGATGCCTTTCATCTGATTGAGCATGCTTGATGTTTCGCCAACTCGCTTCTGAACAGCTTCATTCCACTTCACTGTCGCTGGCTCCATGGCTGGAGAAATGACGCCACTGAGGATCGTTGTGACTTGACTGTTAGCGTGGTCAAACGAGGGACAGAGTACTCACTGACGGTTGGGACCAGCACAAGCAAGCTAGGCTTGCCAACTTGACGATAAAGCAGATAAATCCCCACAGGAAGCTCTAGCATGTTTGCCCACATATCATGGACCGAGGCTCCTGCAGCAACAATCGTCTCCACATCTGCCGTCATGAGTGTGACAGGTGCAGAGTCTTTGATGGACGCGGTCTTGAGTTTGAGTGTCTTCTTGAAAATCAACGACACAAGTCCACCCCTGTACATAGTCACCAGTTGGTAAGACATGTGTTTGTGCCAGGCGCCAGAAATGGCAAGGCCGAGGTAGATGAGGACTGTTGCTCCGATTAGCCCGCTGGACGTCTGGACCGACATTTCCTTCTTGCTGACGAGCACGATAACGGATTGTATGAGGAAGGGTTGTGCAAAGTTGAAGCCGCTGTGAAGGAGTCGAGGGATGATGCCGGCAGCGAATTGCCACTTGTAAGCGAGGAAGGTGGATTTCAAGAGACTGGGCTGGCCACTATTGCGGGCTGGGATTGTTAGACATCCATAACAACAAGGTTCGGGATGGACCGGAGTCTTGGCTTACCTCGTTCCCATTGTTTCTCCAACGGCGCGGATACATTGTCTGTGTCAAACTTTGAGTCTATCGCCTGTAAGTCTTCGGTCTCGAGAATAGTGCGATGGCCTTGCAGGAAAAGTCCATTCAACCACCAGAAGAAACTCCTGTTGATCACTCCGGATGCGGTCTCGTGTATCTTTTCCTTGTCGCTGAATGGCGATTTCGGCGTTTCCTCCAGGACCAGGAGGATCGTCTTGGTTACAAACGAGGCAGTGAAAACACTTGCAATAGTTTGCATCGATCGTATCCAAAAGGTTCGGACGAGGGCAACGTCGAGGATGATGGTTATGACGAGAAATGCTCCGATAAACTTGGATGGCTTCCTGGAATTTCGGTGTTCGACAAACGACAGAGCGTCAAGCGCAAATGATTCGATCAAGCCAAGGGCGGGCTCAGCGATGGCTGTTTTTGTTGAGTTTTGTCGGCACCAGAGGACAAGCAATGCGGTTTGGAGGCAGGCATAGATGGCGATCATGATCTAAATTATTAGCACATGAAGCAAAAAGAAGTGGTTGCTTACCATTTTTGCCCATAGCAAAGGTTTAGATTTGGTAGCCCTCTCATTGTTCCAAAGCACAGAGAGTCTCACCGGCACAAGCAAAATGAACAGACCAGTCGGGAGAAGAGACAAGATACTTTGCTCGAAAAGGATGGTGAAGTCGAAAACGCCCGCTCTCTGCGGACCAAAACTGTTCTCTGCACTCATGGTATGAGTCTGTCATAATCTCGAGAAACCGCATATTGTCGCATCCCTCCTGGTTATATACCATGAAGCTGAAGGAGGATGCGCAGCGCTCCAAGGCACCTGAACCGGTTTAGCGCGGAGTCATGATCGCTGATGGTGGGGCCATACGGAATACGCAGTACGGAGTACGAGTTGAGCTTGGTGCTGACCTACTAAGATCGTCATACGATCGATAATATCATCAGCGCGGCTCATTTTGATTCCGTCCAGCAGCAGAGGTGCAGTATCAATATCAACATACTTCGAGGTGCCATAATAACTCTGAGTACCCTCAGCGGCATTACCTTTCTGATCAATCGGCGGGAAGGGACGGAAGCGACAATTATGGAGCACTGCGAGGTGCTGCGCAGTAGAAATTCAGTGGTCGGGACCCACTGATGCCCTGTAGCAGGACTGCTGTTTTTCGGAGGAGCAAGCGTCCCAACACTCATCCATCACAGGAGCAGTCAGGCTACAGGGCCCAACTGGCAGGATGCCCGCCTTGAAAGAGGTTCCAATTCCGGCGCCACCATCACACTGTTCTGCGCCAAAGGCCTCAAGAGAGCCTCTCCCAGCCGCATCTTAGCTTTCGCTTTTCCTTCGCACCAGCTCCAACAGACCGCAGCGTAACGTTATTCAACCAGCACATGGTGAGGTTTCCGTGCAAGGAGCAATCACTCATAACTAGCCTCGCGAGTCTGGCGCACTTCATTTTACCGACCAACGTCTGCTTCACATTCCTCCGAATAACCTAGACCCCCGCCAGATCCTGATCGCTTGCCAAGCACGCCGCCGCAGCAAACCCGACCAGCGCCCCGAAGCACCGCGACCTGGCTTCCCTGACTCCGATCTGCAAGAAGCGCTGGCAGCTTTCTTGGAGCAATTTCCTTCCGGCATGACCCGAATCTGAGCCCTTGGAAAGCCTCATCTCTCTCGAGTAGTATCAGTTTCAAATTGACTTAAAGTCGCTTGGCCGGTGGCAAAAGACAGCCATGAAGCAATCGACGACGCAAAGCCCCTGCCGTTTTTATGTGCACAAACGACTCAAACACGACATTTGTTGGATATCAATCACAGATGAGCAAAACGAAGCGAAAGGAATCTCATAGACACAGTTGTCTTTGCTGCCTGGTGTTCTCGACTATAAGAACTTCGGTTCCTCCCAACACCGCTTTCATCCGGCATCTCACCCCAGCATCCCCATCTCGACACTCACTCATATAATACAGCGCAATGCCGTCGTGTCAACGTATAGAGGCAACAGTAGCTCGGTGAAAGTACATATATATATCCAACGACGGCTCATTGAGAATCTAGTAAGTTACCCTTGTTCTTCCAGAAGTATTTTGTGTTGTGCTGAGACTTGAGACTAACAAAACTAATAGTAACTATGGAAGAAGCGACAAATACACCATGGATTCATCACTTATATATTCTCCATACGATGACTTCATTTTCTTCACCCACTCCATCGGCATGACCAGGCCAGACACTCAACCCGTGTACGAACCGAAGGAAAGGTAGTCGTACTTCAACAGTCGTCCCTTCTCCGAATCCTTGTCGTATTCGACTATACAGAACATCATCTTCCCTTTTGCATATTTTCGCCCCTTGAAGAATCACAAGTGGTCTTCTTCCCTTACCACCCAATACATATCCTCACTTCCTCCTTTCTTCAAACCATCCTCTCCTCACAACGAGTGAGATCAGGGATCCTGACCACGAACTGCCGGCTTCGTACCTGTACTACATGACCCAGCTGTGTGATGACCAGAATCGACCGCTGGATAAGCTCTAGAACGAAAGGTTTCGTAAAGAGTACGCCAAATGGAATCACCTCCAGTCCGAAGCCGACAAGGCCGTGTGGGTCTACTGGGCCGACCACCTGAGGACTGCCAAGTCAACCGACAAGTGCTATAACCATCAGCTTGGAAAGGCAGGGATAGATGGCAATCGGCGAATGAGCTGGTCGTGCATCTGCGCCGTCATTTGCAGCCCGCAATGATCTGAAGAGACCATCGCGAAAGGTGGCAAGGGAAAGGGGTGGGCAGGCAGAGCCACTGCCGCATGCCCCGATGCCAATATCTGGCGGGGACAGCCCAACGACGAGCTAGCTAGTGCAGGCATCACTAGCGAGCCCGTTCCCAACGACGGTAAGTAAATACAAGGACACCGGTGACAACCTCACTGACCCTTTTCCTGCAGACGCCGAAGAAGCTACCCTTGCTGAGCGTCCAACTCAAGTAACTAAGAGCAAGCAAATACAATGACACCGGTCAATGCCACTAACCCTTTCCTCGCAGAAGTTCAAGGCGCCCGCCATAAAGCTCAGTTCATGAAGACTAAGCCCGGCAAGGGTAACGCCAAGACCAAGAAAAATCCTTTTGGAGCTTTCATGCGCAAGAGCCGAAAGTTCAAGACTACCAAAAAACGATTGAAGAATGCGACCAAGAGCCTCCCTACAGACGATTAAGTCAATAAGCTACTAGCTACAACAACGCGTCAACAGCGATGCCCGGGAGCGCGACGAAACAATCCTCTTGCTCAAAAGCAAGCTTCGGCAGAAGCAAGAATCCACCCAGGGAAGTGACAGCCGTAGTCGATCCGCGACTTGGAGCCCAGGTCCCGAGGCGACTTCCAGTTGTTCTCGAGCGTCATTTCAACCCCAAGCATTCGGGTTTGGTGCTAGGGATCGGCGGGAAGGGAAGCCCTCGACATCACCCTGCACGCCGACCCGACCCCCAAGGCAACTCTCATCGCCGCGCTGTTTCAGAGGGCAGGATCACCAAACCCCATCACGACAGCAGTCCTCCCGCCCCTGGTCGTAACCCTCGCACCCCTATTGCTAGCAACTGGAGATGCCCCAACCACCCCCCGAAGGTGGCACGTTCGATTCTGCTCCACCAAGCACCCGATCCCAAAGATCACAAGTTCCAGATCACCGGAATTTGTTTGAGCATGTGATCAAGCTCCAGTGGTCCATCATCTGTGCCGCTGCCCTGTCAGGTGAACCTCTTATCGACGACGACTCGGCGTCATGGGATAGTGAAAAGAAGGACATAGGATACTGGGAGAGGATTATAAGAGTCCGAGGAAGGCGAAAAATGGGGCATTATTTAGAAGGTTCACAAATGGCTTCAGCTGCTAAACCCTGAGGATGGCACGGTGAGTGGTGCGCCACCATTCTCTAAACGTAGGGTAGCTATCCTAAATTTTTATAACTTTATGATGAGTTTTATGATGAGTTTAGGATATCTTATGACGAGATTGTCATAATTTATGATCAGTTTTATAAACTCTTTATTACCCAGTCTTGAAACCCTGAGATTCTTGGCCCAACCCCTGTATACGCACGCTTGAAGTCCCTGTAAGATGCACACCCGATGTACTTTTTGTCCTCTATATATGGTCTAGCCAGTCGTGGATGCGGTTGGCAATCGCCACAGGATCCTCTTTATCAGCTTCCACCGATACATCAGCCTCTTCTCCATCTGCAACATCGCCACGAAGTTCACCAGGAGCAAGAGCCCCGCCCGAAATAGCTGCAACACGGATGATGGCCCATTGGATCTTGATCATAGCCTCAAAGAGATGGGCATGCTTCTTGTGCCGTTTCACCACAACGATCTGGCCGTCCACAATCGGGCGGTTGGTGACATCATATGCCTTGACTTTTTGAATGGCTTCGCAGTCGCTACAGCTATTTTTGCATGGCGAAGTTGTTATCCCTCCGTAGTGGTGGCTGAAGCTTGCCGAGAGCCCTTTGTATGGGTCTGCCTGATGATCCAGGTTGATTTGTTTCGTTGCCAGTCGAGAGATGTTACGTGGCATCCACACGAACTGGAGATGGATCTCGACCAAGTCCTCCTCCACAGAATCATTTCTGCCGTAGTACCTCAGGCCAAAGTACGCATGGTCCCACGGTCTCAAATACTTGCTATGTTTTTATGGCCGATGGAGGCATGTCATATTTTACGTCCCCACTAAGCGTGGTTAGCTAACTATTATAGGCTTCTACGGATCTCACACGACAGACACCACTACATCAGCAGGCTCTTTGGACCTTTCCGATACCGGTTTCGTCTCTGTAGGCTACTCTACAGTGGCAGGCTTGATTGCGATCCTTGTCTTCATCGTCATTCTCTGTATCCCACTGGTCCTCTCACTTCGAAAGCTACCGGGTGATATGGTAGTTGTGGGAAGCAACTCTTTAGCCTTTGGCGCAGCTTGTCACGTTCCTACAACCGGCTCTTCTGCTTGTGGGCTAAGAAAAAGAGATTACGAAAGTGCGTCTAATGTGGAAATGATGACACTTGCTCGTGATACGAGGAAAGCGGAAGGCGGTAACCTTGTATCATCGATCGATGTGAATGCTGCTCAAAGAAAGATCAAGTGGGGTATAGTGAAAATGGAGGATTCTTTCTATCGAGAATTGGAGGATGAGGTCGATGTCAGTGGGATCAAACATCTCAGTTTTGGTGTGCAGGAGGATAGAATAGAGCTACCTAGACTGAATGAGTGGTATATTTAACGACAGAATTTCGGACCGTTCGCTATTTTGAGCTCGTGATTGCGTTATAGTCAGACTCACACAAAATTAATTCCTCTCTCTGGTGTGGTGATTATTGGTCAATCTGACTTAGGAATGATACAGCGTAACACTTAATATCTGCAATGGGCATGAGAATTCCATGACATGTTTTGACAATCAATATGTCAATAACATGAAAGGCTATGGCACGGAGAAAGATAATTGGTCCACTCGGGCATAATTGCCGAGCTTGATAATTCAATGCAATAGTTATGAATGTGAGGGCTCAAAGTCTATCTCGCCCACTGAAGTCAAACAGGCTAATGCAATAGAATGAGTGGTTGGACAAATTGCATGTAAAATCATTTGAAACTCTGTGTCGTAGTACCTGTGCACTAGATTGCACCTGATACGGCTTCTACATTCTCGTGTTCCTCCTCACTATCATCCTCCTCCGATTCTAGGTCCGATTCATTAGGTAGGGAGAACAGTCTGTTAGAACCGCTGGGATGAGGCATAATTTTGAAATGATATGTTTCCCTCTCGGTTTTGGTAGTTTCATGGATGCACTGGGTATCAGAATCATGTATCACAGCGCAGCAATGCCCGTCCAAGTCGGCCGACCTGTGTCTTTTCGAAAGGTAACGTCCATCTTCCTTAGTCCAACCTCCGCTGCGTTTTAATAGATCAGCTGCAACATAGAAACTTCCCTTCGTTGCAAGTCTTACAGCCCGAACAAACTGGTCACGACCGTGTCCTGTGATGAGAGCACCATGGTAGATCAAAAGCTCCAGCATGTCAACCCTTCCATACTCTGCTGCACCTTCTAGTGATGTCCTCCCATGAGACTGGGCACCTCGGGCGTTTACGAGAGCTCCATGGTTCAGCAGCTCACGCGCTATACCAAGGTGTCCCTCTATAGCAGCAAGCTGCAAGGCGGTCGCACCAGAATTGTCTGCTGGTGGAGCGTTCACGTTTGCTCCGTCGCGAAGAAGACAATTCACGAGTTCTAGATTGCCAGCTTCAACTGAAAGCTGGAGTGGGGAACGACTCAGTCCATATTCATTCAACCCATACTCGTTGATATCCGCCCCAGCATTCAACAGACATTGGACTATCTCTTTGTTTCCTCGTTCTACCGCAGTGCATAAAGCAGTTGGAGACCCAGAAGTAGTTGGAAGGAAGTTATCAAGTCGTTGTTGGTATCTGGCTAACAGCTCCAAATGAGGACGACTTCGATTATCAGCAATGGTGATCCAGGTAAGTGGATCGGCTTTGTAACCTTGACGTAAAAGCTCTTCAAAGCATGAGATGTTCGAGCCCAGGGAAGCAAGTGCTAAGGGACTTCCATAAACACATTCACAAGAATCTCCAGGATAGCGCCAGAACAATGGTTTATTATACCAAAATACAACGCCAGTGATGGTTTTTTTGAACTCCGAATGAACGGGAAGCAGTGCAGAATGGGCCTCCTTAGCTTCTGGGAAATGCTGAATGAGATGTTGCAAACAGTCTAGACGTCCGGACATGGCAACCAAACCAACAGCTGTGCCTTCGAAGACATGATATTCTGAGTGTGTGGGGCGATTCGTAAGAATAAGTTCAATCAGGGACATGTCTTTGGTTTGAGCCGCTGCGCATAATGAGCCCGGGTCGTAATAGCTCTTATATGCCGTAGTGCCTAATAAAGACACGCCACAGCCTAAGCACGCAATTGCAGCTTCGAGAGATGACACTCCACGCTTATCCGTATCTTCCCAGCCTGGATGGTAGCGCAGAACAAGGGACAACAGATCCCGGTCCTGAGAACGAATCACTGAAACGATTTCTCCTGTATAGCGTTTCGCTCCATGACTCAATAAAATCTGAACAGCCTGTAATCGTCGTTTGACCTGAAAGGATCGGGTAGAATCGTAGAACTCCGTAACACTATCAATAATAATTTGAAGCGCACTCTTTCCCCGCTTGTTTTGCACATTTGCGCTGCTGCCATGGGTTAACGCGGCGAGGATCGTGTCGGCGGGAGCATTCTTCGCTAAGTAGTATGTCTCACCCCCGGTCAGCCGAGCACCGTTTTCAATCAAGGTCCTGAGGTAAAAAAATTGGGATTGCTCAGAGGTTGCCCAGAGTGGGCGCCTTGCACATGTGTGCAATAGCGTCTCGAACACACTAGGCGATGATTTTCTTTTGAAACGGTCCATCAAGTCATGGCAAACCCTGACGCACTCAGGGAGGTCTGCTGGGGGGATAGCCTCATTCACATCTGCTCCCTCGTTCAAAAGAAACTGCAAAATGTCTCCATGCTCAAGGTAGGCAGCAAGAAAAAGGAGAGCGGGTGAATACCCCCCATAAAGGCGTAAAAGAAGCCTGCATGTACTTAAATTACCAGCTGACACAGCCGCCTGCACCGGCTTAATACCACGTGGGTTCCGAGTATTCCCAATAGTGGGATCTATCTCATGCAGGCGATTGATGATTGAATCAGCACCTTTCGCGGCGGCAGCAATAAATGTATCTGCTGTGATCGGAGGGGCTTTCAACCTCGACGGATCCATGAAGGCCATTTGTATCAATATCGCTTCTGTAACATCACTACCAGCTGCGATAGCGGCACTTAATACAGTTTGTTCATACAGTGAACCACGATTATGGTCGGCTTCCGTTGCTTTAGTCAAGTCGACACCTGTTGTCAAAGGGGAGTTGATGAGATCCAGGTCTCGTAGGCTGATTGCTGCATAAAGGACCCCTTCCCATCTGAGTGAGACATCGTACCGAATGAGTAAATGGACAATGTCAATTTTAATATCATCGGGCCGGGCAGACTTGAGGGCTAGCTCGAGGGCTGATTTTCCGAAAAAGCCTTTGTAATTTATATCCGCGCCGAAATCGAGGAGTAGCTCCAATAGACGTGCATGACCCATTAAAATTGCAAATTCGATCGGTCGCACACGTCTTTCCCTTCCTGTTGATATCTCCAATTCTTTCCTCCTCATCTTCTTATTGGGGTCTTGACCAGATTTGAGGAGCCATCTGAGAAGGTCAAAACTCTGGTTCGGGTCGTGTTTCGGGTCTGGAGCCCACCGAATCGCGCATTCAAAAAGTGTCTCCAATAGTGCTCCCATCGTGATCTGAACATCGGAAAAGACTTTTACATCAATCTGTAGATCCAGGATACCAAGTCCTATAATAAGGTTACAGAACTCTATCCATCCATGATGTGTTTGAAATTGATGTTGGAGTCCGTTGGATAAATGGTAGATGATCAACTTCAGATATCGTGGCACGACGTCCCTTCTCGAACCGTGCAGAAGAATTTGAGTGGTTTGTACGTGTTCACCCTCATACCACTCTGGTACAGTCTTGCCTATATCTGCGGCCATCTCAGAAACGTTTGCAAGATGATTGCTTCCGTGACTTTCTTTCGTTGTGTCCCTTCTACTTTCATGAAGAAGGCCGGCCTGGAGTAATCGCGGTATCACATCGATAGCAGGACAGAGGTTGCCTCGTTGCTGAAAGTTGAGAGCCACCATAGAAATTCATGTTAGCTGTTGTGGGTATGGCAGATTGAATATCAACTTACGTGTTTGGTATGTGTTCTGGAATTTCATCCAAGGTAGAGACACTGGCCATTCATATTCCATCCGAAGGGATGGGGGAGTGCAGATAGTAAGGCAAGGGTTGACGGGGGATGGCGGAGGTGAGCGAGCTGTGTTGGTTATAATTATTAGCTCACTATTGAGAGGGCTCAACATGATCAAATTATTACCTTGTGCCATTTGTGTGAAGATATCATTGGCGCCATGATTGGTAATGGCTTTGCTAATAGCTGACTGTTTGAGACGCCTTCCTGAGAGGATGACATCGGTATTCTTTCCTTGAGATTTACGTTTATTTATTTTGCGATCAATGTACTGCCACGTTGGCTTGTCCATCTTCTTTAGTATTCCCCATGCCCTCAGTTTGAACTGGAGTTGGGAGGATCTAAACGAAAGTCAGCGAAATAGCAAGCAATCCGCCCCCATATCGATACTGACGTTACGGTAAGCCCCATACACGAGAGGAAGCTGACGAGTTCTTTCAATGACATGTTGCGCACGAGGAATTGATATCGGATAATCTCCTTGTACTGGAGCCATTGTTCCTCGTGTAATGAAGGGCGGGGGCCCATCAGCTGAGACTCTTGAAGATTCATACTTGAAAGAATCCAGATTGAAAAAGGTTGGGGACAATTTACAAAAGAATGGATCGGGATTTTTCTTTTGCAGAGATGAAGGTATTGGGATTGAGGATCAGAAAGATGCCTCAGGGACCTGTCCCTAATTTGTACTCGGTGAGGCTCTGGAGGCTATGATATGATTGGCCGCAGCCGAAATCTGGAGTGGCTTGCCAAGTTTGCGCGTAAGAAAAGGTGACAAGGGGTTTATGCAAGTACTAAAAGCGGTCGCGTTCCGAATGATCCACTCCCCGGGCCATGAGTGGTCCTCTCAAGCCCCAGCAACTTGTGATTCGTCACGTCCGAAATCTGGATGGCTGTGCTGGTTTCTCTAGGCGCTTGTCTGGGTTGCTGTTGATCCTTGTGGTCGCAGATTCTGACCCTGGTATTGGCCATGTCCGAAATATGAGCCCCACCGTCAATGGTCATGGACGGTATCAGTCAAACTGACATTAAGTTATTGGCCGATGCCGAAATCTGAATTGCTTCCTTCTATGGGTCATGCATAGAAGTGCATGAGGTGCAGTGATCTACGAAAAACTTTGTGATTCTTACCTATAGCTAGAGGTATAAAAATCCTCTTGAAACCTTCTCGGTCTTGGTCTGTAAAAGATTAGGAGCTGAGTGACATTGTGACAACAGTGCATATCTCTCTCACAACCTTTTGCGTCACGAAAAAATAACCCCTCATTGTTCTTCGACTGAAAGAATTCCCAACCACGACTTGCCATGAACGTTGAAGCAATTATCGCTATCGTGACCTTAGTCGTTGCAATTCCCCCAACCGCCTACATCGTTAGCAAGTGGTACGATAGACAACAACGCAATGCTTCATGTAATAACCCCATCCAAACTTTCTGCAGACACCAACTCTCTCCTCCTGGGTTATTAGGCTAACTCGCTGACTAGCGGTAGAACAATTCTACTCAGACGTAAACACCAGACCACGCAGACACAACTCGCAAATCCTTCTCTCGATATCAGAACGTACCGTCACTTTTGACCTCAGAGTTGAGAATCTGGGGTTTAAAAACCAGAAGCATCGCGTAGCTGGACCTTCGGATTGGGACGAATGAAATTTCTTTATTAATTTGTTGAAGAGTTCGCCGATATATTTGACTAAATCATTTTGATTTATTAGCCACCTTTATCTACAGCGGAGACCTTGTTAGTCTCCTAGAACTTGTGATTAAGGATAAGCTAATATTAAGAAGGCGCAAATCAATAGAGAATCAGGCGTGAGTATCAGACATTGCACCTTGGTCCACTAACTATGATGACAAGAAATAACTTTTTGCTCTCCCATGGCACAAAAAATGGTAACCGCTTGGGGTTTGATCAGCATCTTCATGTTGTCTCCGCTTAGTGATGTGTGGTTTGACTTACTCGGCCCTTCCTTCTCATTCTCCCAAGCCTCAGTGATCTCCTTACCAGCCTCATTCTCCGGCACCGGGACATCAGTATGGTTCTCAACCTTACGAAGAGAAATATAGACAAAAGATTTATTCAGACTTTCGATTTCACATCAGATAGTACTGTTTGCTTCCGCCACTCCTTAAAGTCAGCTGCCACGAAGGTCTTTCCAGTGTACATTCCTCTGATCGTGAAAGCAGATACCAACACCCAGAGTAAGGCAACTGTCGCGGCAAAAATCTATCGATATCCATTAGTCTAGATTTGCCTTTAGACGGGGACCCTCATCAGAACTCACTGTCCCCATGACTTTGAAGAATGGCGATGGGAGCTCATTCCCAAAAAACATTGCTGCATTAGCCCAGACGCCAAGGGGAAACGTAAGTGCCCAGGAACCTAGCTTGAACGGAATTCGCCCCCGAGCCAGGCATGATATACCAATAACTAGCCAACAAAGTCCATAAGACCACAGAATTAGGCTTGTGAACCAGCCCAAGACATAAAGGTGGGTGCCAGCTCGTGTACCTTGCTCGTCAAGTATGTTTAATTTTTCCATAGCCGCTGCGGCTACCTTTCCTAGCTTCAGGACTGCAAAAGCACCTCGACCCAGTGGAGCTACTGGTATTAAGCAAGAAGCGACGAAATCTCGAGTAATGAGGTCGCCTATCAAGCTCCATACCTTTAGCATTTTGTTTTCGATGGACTTGCAGAGATTGCATCTCGGCACTTAGCTTCGAGGCCCACTCCAAAAGGCTTCTTCGGTGGTTTGCCGCGTCTTGCCGCTCTACTGCCTGTAGCTGCTGTTCTTTATGGTTGCATTAAACCTTTGTTAGTTGGATGTCTCCTTGAATATTGTCTGCCTTTACTCAGATGTCTTTAACATAGCTGTAAAGTTCGGACTGGAAGAATTGTGTAATCGCCTTGAGAATCTGGGTTTTTGCCATAAGGCTTAGGATTATTTCATACTTAGACCAAATGAATAAGAGGTTACTAACAGGGTCGGCAAGCGACGATAACGATTTACTAGCAGCGGGTAATAACTGCAATATAAACATAGAAGATTAAGCTTTTACGGTAAGGTAAATCATTTGATATAACTTAGTATTTAGCAAATTGTATATATAATGAGCCAAAATCGTATAAAAGCTTAATAAATAATTAAAAGTAGAAAGTAAAGTTTATAAAAGATTAATAAAATTAATAAAATACTAAAGAAATAGCAGTAATATTTAAATGTTAAAAATATTACCTAAATAAAACCCTACATCAATATAGCAATATTAAGACTTAATTAAATATAAATATTAACTATAGGCATAAACTATTTAATAATCTATAGAAATAAAGCTAGCCTTAAAGTAATGCTTTTCGCCCTTTAGTCTTTATCTAGATAATCTAACTTAGCAGTAAAAGTGATAATACTTTAGAAGTTATAGGCAGTATTCTCAAGCTAGTGTAGCTTTTTGCGACTATTATCAGTTTAAATGGCCTGGAACCCGGCAATTATGCTCTCTAGCTCCTTGACTGCGGCGACTGACTTAGCCTTGCTAGTTGAATGTCTGGAGGCCACGAGCTTGGAGAGTTTCATGACGTGAACATCGATTTTGCGACAGTCAAATTTGTGCGGACGCAGATAAAAATGCAAGAGGGGGATCAACTGCGGTCAGACCTTAGCAGCCTGTTGATCAGAGGCCTCACGTGAGGCCGCATGGAGCTGCAGGTTTTGAGTGGGTACAAGGATGGTAAGGCAGATTTTGGATAATCAGCCCCTACAAACTGTCAGTCAGAGCAAATGCATGTCGGCCGTTCTAGAAATTAAGTCTCAAATGAAGATGTTAAACATATTATCAGGCCTGGAACGGTAAATGAGAATTTGACAAAGGTCGGCCGGCTACTATTTTGGCATATTGGTCTTGAGAGCAATTTCTTTGAATGTTGACACATTCATATGGGCTATAGACATCGACAGGCTGTGGGGATCTGGACACAGTAATTGGCCGGGGCCACCAGAACAAGCCTCTTCCATTATGGAAATGTACAAATGGAAATTCACAGCATTGTCATATGATCCAACAGCATTAGGAATTGATCATTTTACTGTTGGTCACGTCAACGGGCCTTAGCAGCCTGATTTTGAATTGAAGTACGTATAAAAAGCTCACAATGCCTCCAACCTAGAGCTCTTCTTACTGGCGTCCGTTCCATTTTACTTGCATTTCTTTCCAAAATTCCACTACCAAGCTTTGAATTTAAACTCTTAAAATCCCTTTAAACAAGTCACACGAGACCATTTGACAGTGTTTGCCACAATGCCCCAGCTTTTCGTCCCCAATTCCGACCAAGAGGATAATTTCTCATTTGATCACACGCCATCGTATTTATTCAGACTTTATACACCAAATTCGGCTGGCTCAACTGACATCAACCATGTCGCGTCGCCGGCCTGGGTTGAAGGCTCTTCGCAAAAAGATGCTAAGGGCTTCGACTGCGACATGGACCTTCTCCAGCTTCCTTCAGATCAGGCCGCAAAAAGATTAAGCGCACATCTCGAATGGGAATGCCAATACTGGAGTCCGTGTAATCTCATGTCTTGGTCCTCTTCTCTTCTGTTTCTCCTCCAATATGGCTTATTTCGACATACAACCGACTATGAGAGACCTGCGTTATCCGATATCCACTTGATCATGATCGACACGCGCAACTTTCCCAGGCAAACCTTTCTTCGGGACCTTGATGCCATGAATCATTTCGAAGGGCATTGCCCTGAGCTCGATGCCCGCAGAAAAGGTCGACTTGGACACTGGTATTTCGGGGAATATCTCACGCAGGGCAATCTGGATATTCATGGAAAGTGCAGTCAGGTGTCTATACAGCAACTCATCGACTGCAGACTTTTTGAGCTATGCCCCGATCTAAATGAACCAAATAACAACTGGGGAAAGTGGCCAATGTCAGTGCGTAGCATCCGGGGCCAATTGAAGTTCTCAAAGGCCGTCAGTCAGAAGACACTTCGAATTGCAATGGCCATGGCTCAAGTCGGAGTTACGGACCAGTTTGTTGTCCCATTTTCGCTCATGCTCTTAGCGCTACATGGGACACAACCAGATAAGCATATCGTTGTAGATTCCTTTCGTGCGATGTTTACTAGTAAGTCAGTGGCAAGAATACTTCAACGCTATCCGCTGATATGTTCCTACAGAAACTGAACTAAGCTTGGGTGATGTCAAATACGACTTACGATCTGGCCAGATGGCAGAACTGGATCTTTTTAAAGAACTGATGGAGTCTGTCATGACACGCCCGGACGGCGCATTGGTGGAGATTAAAGAGCGTATGGAGAGGCTTTTGAACAACTGACATATCAACATGGGCAGCTTCACTCCTTGATAGGCTATTAGTAACAATGTTTTCCAGGGAGGCCAAGATCGCTCTAAGAAGACACTTAGCCACAACGCATTCTCAACCGGAAACAGGTTCATTTCCAAGGCTGACTGCCTTCTTGTTCGGGGGGTGGAATCAAACTCCGAGGTATCTTGGACGATTTATTACCTTTTTGACATTGTTCTTTTTTTAAGTCAATTATTTGTTACTCTCGATTTTGTTTGCAAGTACTCAAGAACCTGCTTCCTGTAGACAGTTAAAATCTTATTCCTTGGAAAATAAACTCCTGAGCGTGATAAAAACATGGACTGTATGTTCTATGACTGTACAAAGTGTCCTACCATACTGAAAGGAACCATTTGCCCAATATCTCCCACGCGCATAGAGGGATATGAACATATTGGTGTCGACCACGATAAAAACATCAGAACCCATAGATACCCTACTACCCGACGTACTGACATCGGAATATGTACGTGAGCAGTCATGGCCTGCACGGCATCTTCGAACGCAATCCCCACGGCCTGTAGAACATAGAACCATTCACTGGCAAACGTCTCATCGGCAGCAAATGAATACAAATGACCTATGCAGTGATGCATCAGACCAGACGCTAAGAAAGTAAGAAAAAGGCGTGTGTATCGCGAGAGCAGAGTACCACGACGGAGGCGGAGGAGTCTGTCCGGAACAAAATCTCCCAAACCAGTGAATGTCTTGCGATAGAGCTGATGCCAAAACTTTCTTCAAAATATTTTAGCATATACCCATGCTGACTCGGTAGATAAATCACTTACCCCCAGAAACCACGAACAGTGTAACAGGCGCTTATTGATCCATTGAGATGCGGCCAGTCTTCTGGCCGGCTTAAGCCAATTGAGAGAGATATGACAGCTGCGCAAGCATGATTAAGTCGATTGCAGACGTATGTTACTAGCCAGTACCCGAGTGTGCCGAATAATCGAAACCCTAGGTCCTCCAGTGATAGGTTCGATAACTTTGAAAGCGTCTGTTTTTCTCTCGTGATCAGATGATTCTCTGGAGGTGGTGCACTCATTGCCGCATCCATAATCAGATACATCACGAGAACCTCGGCTACTTTGGCACACAAGAGACGAGCTCCTGTTATTGTCTTTCGGCTCTTCATTGAGATCTCGCCTCGTACCCCAACGCGCCGCAGGTTGAAATACATGCATGCACCGCGAAAAAGAAGCGTGGTGGTGCCGACATAGTCATCGCCATCCTTTTCTCTCTTTGTGAGTAAATCTGCGGTATGAATTTGCGAAATGAGGATTTGCTCCGCGCTGTTCATAAAGAAACCCCAACTAAGGAGACAAATATTGGATTTCTGGGCGGGAGTAATAGACGTATCCACGACCGCTGAGTAGAAGGCGCATTGGAGGCAGGCCAGCGCTATAGTCGCTCCAACACGAAGGAGAGTAAGATCTTTTGGCACAAACACGAGTGTCGCAGCAAAGGTAAGTAAAAGGACGCACCATATGCTGACTACGCCAACAAATGAGTATTCGTCAGCGTGGTGCATGTCAGTTGATACAGCCAACGCAAAATGATTCCGCGTGGGTTTCTTAGAAATGCTGCACAAGATTGATGGAAAGCCAAGGGAAATTGAGAAATAAAACTTGGGCGCGGTGGGGTTTTAATCCGGAGGATTTTCTTAGTCTGACATTGTGGGTGGATTTTCAGCGGAGATAGCTTCCCGTTAAGCTTTGATCTAGCCTACTTTGTCTAGTCCTAGAAACATGTCAGCATTAAGTTGACCTTTTGGCCAGGACGTCTAAATATAACTTGTAAGAGCATATAGGCAAGGTAGGTCTCCTCATAGTCCTCATAGCCGGCAATCAAGGTTAAACTAGTTCGAGACGTACAGGGTAATATAGTAGAGAATTATCACGCCTCTTACGCTTTTGATCAATGACCTTCTGTCAAGACGAAGTTTAGCTAAATATTTTATTGGCCCTGATTCATTTTATCAGACATAGAGTAATTTCCAGCTTCCTCTTCTATTTAGATCCGCTTTAACAGCAGCCTCCAGCTTGGCAAGCGGGCTCTGTTGGATTTTCGTTAGTGTCTGTTCATTGTCATTCGACAGCAGAAGAAACTTACTGGCACCCTTTGAGCAAGCAGCACCTCCGATGAAGGGGCAGGACAAGTTGTATTGCTGGATACATCGAGCACAGCCGTTGGGCCCCTCGATGTAGCAGCGCTTAACAAGATTGCCATTGGCAGCCTCCCGAGCTAGGGTGGTAGGAACATCCTCGGCCGGGGATGTAGGAGCCGCAGCGGCAAAAGAAGCGAGAGCCGCGAAGGCTACAAAGATAGAGCTGGTGAAGTGCATGACGAGGGTTTGGTAAGTAGTTAAGAAGCTGGAGATGTTTGTGGATAGTTGTGATGAATTTTTACAACTGAAGAGAGATTCGAGCCTTTTTAAACCCGAAATCAGGACCCATTGTCAAGCAAGCTCATTCCTTCAAGACTATGCAAGTATCTATCGCTCGCTAGAACTACGTCCGAAGGAAGGTCAGATGACCCAGGAGATTATGTCTGGGGGCTGTAGACTGCGGACAGGCGTGGGGCATATTCTTCGATTTGTCTATCCCATACAATATGCAAAGCAAATACGGCGTAGGATGCATATCGTGGATTGGAAACCTTGATACCAAGAGAGGTTTTGTGGATATAGGCTCAGGGATACCAGTGCTCAAATAGGCAGTTACTCCAGTACCAATCATGAAAAGGCGTCAGCCGGCTTTCCGCACTTCTCATTGGCTTTGAGCCCGGCTTTGAGTTGCGTTGTTTGGCTGTGTAAGCGAGCCAAGCGCCAAGACTCTATTCTATCCGCGGACTTCCCTTTCAACGGCTATTCGGGATAGCGATGCCCGAGGAAGTATTTGGGATTAACATGACGATGTACAGTTGAAATCGTCTAAACATTTACGAAAACAGTCTTCAAGATGCAGAGGGAGGTTTTGGGCTGTTTTATCATTATATGCAACTACTCATATCTCTCGGGGCATAGATCAGTCTTGTATATCTATCAGATGTATATGTGTATATAGTCTTTCCTGTTTGCGATTGTCTCATAGCGTTCAACAAGAGGTTCTTCCGTGTTAGGCAAGTCCCCAAAAACCACTTGTGCCGCCTGATACACGGCTGTTCTGTCCTTGTCTGGGATTGGCGGTCTTGTAAGGAATGGTTGATGAATGATCGGCTTGACCTTTCATACAGAGCGGCAAACTGAGAGAACTTGCTTTTGTTTCACAATACTTGATACCGCTCCATTAATCACTCACTCCGAAAGCTCATGAGATTCATTATTCGCCCTGAGGAAACGGTTTTGGCAAGGGCCATGAGGTGGGGCTTGAACTGAGATTGCAGAAAAGGTTGGCTGGCAGAGCTAAAATGCAGACATTGATCACGATATGCCAGGCATGCAGGTTTCTCTGGCACGTTATTTTGAAATGGACTATTCATAGATGCTAGATCAGCTAATTTACAACGTTGAGATCAATGCAGACGCTAACTACTCTACCTTGAATCTAGTCATCGTCTTCATCCCCCGACTCATCGCCAGAGTCACTATCAACATCATTGCCACCTCCGACTGCTCCTCCTGTTCCAGCTCCTTCATCACCGCTATCCTCATCATCACTGCCTCCGTCCAGAAACGCGTTGGGTACCGTCGCCACAGCGCTTCCAGAGTCGCCTACTGGAGCGAGTGCCTTAGCTGCAACGGCATCAAAGCCGGCTGTTTTGGCTTGCGCAAAACGCGCAGTGAAAGGCCCGAAGCCCCTCTCATGGAAGCCAAGGAACGCACCAGGGTTAGAGGGGTCTCCCCTCGGAGGCCTCTCGGACAGCGCCCAGCCCATAACCGCATTACCAACAGCAGCTTCGGGACCGAGGCCGAGTGTACTATCGAGACAGTTCTCACAAAGGAATGTGTACAGCAACGACGTCTCGTTGACTGAGACTCCATCTGGTATCGGCCTTACTTTGAAGTTTCCTTTGACTTCCGCTGGGTTGTCCTCATCGATCGCTTGTCGGAACGAGGCCATGACTCCTCCTTTCCCGTCTGGCCATGCGGCGAGGATGAAGTTTCCTTCCATATCTCCCGTCAAACCAGCTGCACCCCAGCCTTCACCGTTGGCCAGTGGAAACTGGAGTTGACCGATGAAAGACCCGGCAGTTCCGTTCGCCGTTGCGGCGTCAGGCAAGGCGAGAGCGAAGGCGAAAGAAGTTCGGGCACCGAAGAAGCGCTCCATTGTGAGACCCGTTACTTGGTCGACGAAAGGCTCGGAGACTTGGTCTGTTGAGGATGTAGGCTCATCATCGGCTAGGGCGAGTGCGGGAAGGAGGAGACTGGTGGCGAGGATTCGATGAGGGTTGATGTGTCTTTGACGTGTTGTTCGTCGGTTGTGGATGTTTCGAAGAAGAGGCATTTTGGGGAAGTGTTCGTACTGGGTATCAAGACAATGAACTTTTGAAAGATACAGATGATTCTGCTGGATGAATACTGAATACAAGATGGTGAAAGTACGCATGAAGACTGAACACAGTCCACTACTTATAGCCCTCACTCCAGTGAAGCCAAGAAATACAGGAATAGCCTCAAACCTTTGAACCTCGAGAGGGAGCCAAAGGCCAGGCCTCTCCCACGCACCTCACTTCTAATTCCAGCACGCGACTGTTTCGCGTCCCCATCTGGACTCAAGGAACGCTCGCTTAAACGCTCAAGAACCCATCTCGTCTGAAGCTCTTCTGTTTCCAGCACACTGCTCCCACTGAAACGGTTCTGTTTCTACTATTAATAGGAACCGTTTGAAGCTTAGAAATATGGTTGCAATTGTTTAAAGCGTGATTGGCTCGAAAACTAAAGACGAAACGATGCGAAACGTTTCTTTAGCCTGTTTGTGTTGACGTCGTCGCTTAAGTGAGGATGAAACGTTTTGAGCCAGAGGTTTGGGTTTCGACCGCCCCCGCAACGATCTTGGCAGAATGCCGTCAACCGTTCTGTGAATAGCATTTTAAATTAGCCTTAGATTCTTAGGGAAGGATTAGGAAGTAGAACTAAGCTTGAAATGATGGGTGAATGGCTGGCTACGACCAGGCCTTCTGGATCTCGGGTCCACGGCATGCAGGGTGTCGCGCAGGCTGCTTTCTTACAGCAAACAAGTTGACTGCGTTACAGGACTCTTTGCCAAATGTCTCATTTCATTCTCAGTTCCCTTATCAATTTCGTTTCATTATTGGTGTTAAAGAACAAGAACAACCCAACCTTTGAAGTCTCAAAATCCTGATGGGGAACCTGAGATGTCAAGCCTATGATGTGTTGTCTCACCTTGCATATTCTCAAATACTTTGAGGAGATAAGTCCGGAGTCTTTCAATTATTTCGCTCACTGAACTACCCAAGATACCGGTCAAACCATAGTGATAAACAATGAATGTACTACGAACATGGCATTCGTGACGCCCAGCTGATGTTCATCAATGCATGTACTTCACCCCAATCCAGATTCATGTCCACCACTGTCCTTATCTTGTGTCTTTTTTGTGTTACCGGAAGTGCAGCGTATTTTCGTCGGTTCTCTATACCTGAAGTCACTCAATGATAGCGTCGACAAAAGGGGGGGGGCAGCAGAGAACGGCGGCAGGGGGCCTGAATCACTGAAACAGTCAGAATTATCTTTGAGGATCATTCCATAAACTTACCCATAAGTACTGGCTTAAGAGCCATCGATTCTTCCATCGTCCGTCACCACCTCGTACTCCAAGGGCCGAAGCCGCTCAGTGCGGCAGAATCTTGCTGCAGCTTCATAAGCAAGCAAAAGCATCTTCAAGGCCTCGTCACTCCCTTCGATAAGAATGATCTGTTGAGTGCCATCCTCGAGGTCATAAAAACTGACCTTTTGTTGGTGGCTTGGTAGCCCATAGCAGGTTTGCAAAGCCAGACTTCTGAAATTTCCTTGCTCGTCGATGGCGCCCACGAGTCGGAGCGACTGGCCGACCACCAAGAAGGGCCCGGGTAGACCCATGTGATATAATGTAGGTTCTCGGTCGTCTGCAGGGGTAACCTGGATCTGGTTGTTGACAGGGGCACTTTGGGTCTCTTCGTTGCTCATCGTGTCGATCTTGTGGTGCGCTTATGAGTTCGATGGTTAAGATGAGAGCAAGATGAAAGGTCGGTGTGAAGAGGAAAAGATGAGAAACTTTTAGCTATCGCAAGAAATACTTGCTGGCCATGTGGCCTGGTTTTTGGTAATTGGCAGCAGTCTTGAGGTGAATAGATGCTGTCTGATTCATTGGTGCACAGATGATTGAATGACCGACCGCCAGGGCACTGAGTGCGCTAAGGATCAAGGTAAACAACAAAGACAATGCGCCATAGTCCCCACATTTGTACAGTGAAGGAACAGTGCCTGGAGCCGTCATCAACGACTGACAGTGAAGTGTCCATGAGCTGCAAACAGTGTGAAAGAAATATGAAGAAGCCAATTCTGTCAAGAGATAAGCAACTGTATCTGTGGATGGGCCTCGCGCATCAAATTCGCAATGTATGCAGGAGAGGTCCAAGATTTAAGTTTGTCTTTTGTCTGGTGTGTAAGACGATTGGTGGAAAATGACAGGGTCCCCACGATTTCTGTTGGTTCACACTGAGAATGTCCACTACTGTCAAAGCAATGGAGGCCCTGTATATTACCCAGTGTCACGGAACTCGACACTGTACCTCAACCTTCTAAGGCGCGCTGGCATCGCCCTCGTTCTCTCGACCTGGGCAGCCAGTCCCACTTTCTTTACATACCGCGTTCAGGAAATCCTCCCAAGGCCAACTTGCTCCCATCGAACAGGCACGGAGATCGGGCTCTTGATCTCCTTCGACCAGGCAAAGCCCAGGTCGGACTTTTTATATCTTTTGTTCCACCATCTGATTTACTTCTTTCCTGCAGCCAACACACTCAAGAGTCCAAATCAACCTCAGCTTCGGAAAGCAATATCCTTTATCGTGTGCCAGCTCTGTGAAGCGCCGGAGAGACTTTCCGCAACCATGGCGGGTAAAAGCACTGAACTCTTAGAGTCAGATGCTTCTCATCAGAAGAATGTATGAACATTAACAACTTCATTGACGATGTCGCGATAATTTGCTGATATCTTTCTGCACAGCCCGAGAGCCCTGTCGCCAAGAGCGACGTCGACTCCAAGAAAGTGATGACTCCTGTGGCTCGTCCTGTTGGTCTTGAAGGTAAGTGCATATCGACAACTCCAAGTGTAAACCTCATCTGACATTTGGCAGAGGTCGCAACCCCCCACACAACCGCAGTCCTTCTTGAAGAAGAGAAGATTTGGCGGCGCCCTTCCCCCATTCCGTCTTTCAGTAGTAAGGCTGCCAAGTCCCAAGATAGACAAAGCTTTGACTGATGAAATGCAGGCAGCTCCCCCGGCTCCAAGGATGTGAGCATGAGCTATCTCGCGGCCAGCTTCACTGAAAGCTCATGCCGCCTTCCATGATGGCGCACCCACAGCACTGTCTGCGGAGCGAGGCTCAGGATCTCCAGGCTACACAACACCACCTGTGTGACAAGCAGGCGTCCCACAAGCAGTCGAAGTAGTTTTGGGGTATCGTGAACGTGATCTTGGTTGCGACAGTTGCCTCGATCGTGTTTCTCATTGCAGCATTTGTCTTCTTTGCCAACATCGCTCCGCCTTTGTTCGAGCTTACCACTCTGGGCAAGAAGACTTCTAGCGATGGAGTCGCGGTCCACGAGGCTGCTGCGCCAGGCACACATAGTCTGTGGAAGCCACATAGACGGCCAGTCAGGCGGTTCACCAGTGCTTCTGAAGCGACCCTCTCGTGTCTCGTGGAGATCACCTCCGCGCTAGTTGAGTTTACCCAAGACATTGCAGGTCTTTTGATGCTTGGCCGCCTCAACTGCCAATTAGAGGAATACGAGTCATCGGGGGTCATTTGGTCATGTAGGGACTCTGATTCTCGATTATCTGCGACTTGCGTGTCTGCCGTTGGAGACGAATGGCGCAAGTTGTGAGCTAGATGTGTTATTTGCAGTTGAGACTTGTGGCCGAGAGCTTAAACCAGGAGATAGAACGCAGTATTAATTGATATGGCTGCCTCCAGTTGGCTTGTGAACTCAGTGACATATACGACGGTTTAAGAACTTCGGAGTGTCTTGGCACGACCGAGAATCGAACGTCGGAATGGACAGAGCATCACAAACTCATCATGACCGAATCTCTCACAAACAGACAAAGAAAGATGAAGTGCTGGGCAATAGCTACACTTCTTGAGCGACAAAAGAATATATCACAATAAAGACGAAGACAAAGTGAAAGTCGCCCCGTTGGTGGTCAATTGTCGACATGCTGTCAGATAGCAACTGCTCCGATGATGTGTCACAATACTACCTTAACGACTACACCCTGCTGTGATCAATTGTTACCACATAGTTGCAACAACGAACTTTAGTTCTCCTCATCCTCATTCTCATCCAAAGGAAACTTCCAAAGACACTCCTCAGGCATCTTCTCTGGGCCACAGCGGGCGGGTATCTCGAGAAGGTCGGCGATACCAGCTTCCAAGCCACTCTTGTGGAGAGTGCACTGAGCGATGATACGCAGACTGTTGCTGATGTCGATCAAAGTTGAAAGCGTGTTGGTGGCAACGACACGCTTGTGCTCAGCGCGATGGTCCTTCATGGAGTCAGCAGCATCTCCGTTTGAGTGCGATGCGATAGCGCGGCTAGCCTTCTTGCGAAGGCGGATGGTCTTTGGGTTGGAATCGTACGCCTCCTTGGTGACGCGGCGATTGGCCTTGATGTGCTTGATGAAGCGTTCAAGCAGAGTTCCCATGCGCCGAGTACCCTGTGACTTCGTCAACACTCTAGTTATAACAATGAGCATAGATCAAACTGACGCCACCACAGTTCATATCGCAGGGACTGCAACAAAAGTCCTCTCTGTCGACTGCCCTTAAGTTAGCATAAGCATGGCAGGTGAGAATCGCAGCAACTAACAATCCTCTTCATCGATACACATCGCTGGAATCTCCTTGGGTTCTGCCTTACTGGGAAACCAGTCCATGGCTTTCTTGAGGCATGGCTCACAGCTGTAGAGACCAGGGCGCCTGACGTGGTTAGTGACAACACGGGGTTGGGGGTGAATACCAAGAACAAGGACTCACATGGTGTCGGCGGCGATGAAGACAAAGAGATGGAACAAACAGACGATCTTTGACAAGGTTAGCAGCTATCCGATGACGTCTTGTGTGTTGTGGTGCGGCCACTGGATGAGGCTGCTGAAGGTACTGACATTATTGTTGAAGCTTGAACTGAAGCTGGAGAAGAGGCAACACGGGAGACCACAAAGCAGGGTCGGAGGAACAGTTACATGGTCCGTGCGGCACTCCCGTCAGCGAGGGCAAAGAAAAGCAGAGCAGAGTTGGCAGTGTCCTTCCATGGGGTGGGTCTTTCCCCTCCTGAGCTTCGCATCACTACCTACACCCCTCCTCGCAATAAGCTACTCTTCTCTTCGTTCACGCTGCCATTCAAGTACCAGGTCAAGCGCAATCTGGCAAGAAACCTATCACTCGCCCACGCTATTGCAGCAATCGTATGTCTTGACATTTCATTCAAACTGACAAGGCGTTTACTGACCATGGACAGGTTCATATCCAGCGTCCTGAAGAACATCACGATGGACCATCAAGAAGGATTCGAACAAGGAACTATGGCACGGAAGAGAAAGCATACCGATGACCAGCAGGATGACTCGAAGATGAACTTGTTGAGCGCTGAGAACAAACATCTGCAAGCTGAAATCAAGCTCCTGAAGGACTGGCTGGCAGACCTACGCGACTCCATCGCGAGTAGAGACAAGTTGGTCGGCGCGCTCGAAAAGATGCTCGACACGGCTAATAAAGAGAATGAGCGGTTGCGAGAGAGTCAAGCTAAACCGAAGACTCCTGAGGATACCAGATCTCTGACCGAGCGGCTTCAAAATCAACATTTTGACGCAGCTCATGCCCGTTTCTACCCCAATGCCAGTACTAAGCCTAAATGAGTCTGTCTGAGAACTCTCGAGTACGATGGACCATTTTTTTCGATGTTTTGATCAGTACAAGAGTACATTTTACCGTTAGACAAACGGCAGTTGGGTGACAGACTGCAGTGTTGGATTTGATATGGCTGGAGAACAGGAGGGCTGGTTAGACTCACCATAGATCAAATGTAGACTCCCTTGTTTTACCTCCAATAAGTTACTTCATCATTTGTGGTTATAACACAATGTCATCCCAATATCAATGAGTCAAATTGCAGCATGCTAGGTCAAAGGCATATCCAGCATCCTGGAGGAAAGCCCTGATTTCTAGTTGATGTCCTGAACCAAATCTCAGGGTCGTATTCAATGAGAGTGATATCTGAACACGCCCGCCACCGACCTGCCTGGTGTTCAGAGACGAATGGGAAGCACTACACAGCGTGTCTGAGACCTGAGATAGCTCAGTAAGGCCCACGTGATCTTGTGTAACCCGCACCTCAGAAATGCTTGAGGTCATCATTACTCTTCCTCCGCAACTGGGTTTTCACACTGCAACGGCGGTATTGGAATCACTCTTCGTACCAACGATCTCGAATCCCCCTTGCCTTTACGATGGACGTCGAACTTCTGGGACAAGATATTCGCGACAAACTTGACTTGTCCCGAAACCGCGGTGAAATTTGCCGAAACCTCCAATTGCAACGCCCACCTGGCCTCATCCTACTGGACAGCCCGGATTTCTGCGACACACAAGGCCTTGATTGCCTTTTCGCCTTGGTTCGCCATATTTACAGTCAACTCCCTTCCTTTTACTTCGACAAAGATAAACACAAAGATGCCGAGGAGAAGAACCAGATTCTTGCGCTTGCCTGGCTGGATATCAACTTTGCTGCCAAAGACGAATGGGAACAATGCAAGCAAAACATCCCGAAGAGCTTCAACCCTTCTGGCGCTCACGACCTAAAGATTAGTTTTGAAGGTCTCGTCAACCCTCAGTTAATGAATGATACCTTCTGGAACCAGGAAGTTCATATCTTGTATAGAGCGCTTCTCGTAAAGCCAAATAATAAGCCTTGGGAATACGCAGATCTAGGTCCAAACCCTGATGCCGTTTGAGTCGCTATGAGCGAGATTATGGTTGACCGCAACAAGGCTCTATGGTGGTCTTTCAAGCAGTACATGCGATCTAACTTCTAACTTATCACAACAGAAAACACCACAGAGCTGAAGATGTGCGCTAAGCCTTGCATCATCCGCGTCCACTACAAGACAGCCAAGAACCTGGAGCCCTTCCCCTTCTCGGATCTCAAGAACACCTATATCACGATCGCCGAAGTCCAGGGATCCGAGGTCATCCCAAATGACAGAGATTGTCTTTACACCTTTATCGCAGCAGTCTCGCTGAAAGACAATAGAATCAGGACATATTCGTTCCTCGGGCAGCAGATCATGCCGTGGCCTGTCCATGATGCCTCAGAGAAGAAGTGGAGTCTCGAAGATAAGGTGGACGGGGACTACATGCTCTTCTATTGTGAGGCTGGTGATGCAGTTCCAGATTTTGGAACTGAAGAGGTTGTTGTTCTTCCAGAGGAAAACCCAAATCTAGCCTTTGTCAACGATGCCCTGCAGCAGGACATCAATAAGCGAAGGGAGGCGAAGAGAGTTCAGAGGGAGAAGGAGGAGCGAGACCGGGAGCAGGATAAGTAGCGTTTCTCGAGAGGATGAACCATGGTGTTCACATCCTTTCAGCTAGCTTTCGTAGAAGTTCTCTATACCAATCCCGCTCATTATGAGATATGAACTTGTCATTGGCTATGTCCCCTTTTTCAGATAGTGAAGTCTTACAGGTTAACCTGTGCGATAGAATATCACACAGATCTGAAATAACCTAGACTTTTTAGCTCCTGTGATGCCTCAAACCACTTTATCATGCATTTTCAATTTCGAACAATGGCGGGCTTCTTGCAAGAGGCTACGCTGTTGTGGCTGGCCCCTCAAAGGGCTTATATACCAACAGTTCAACATGATCTAGTAGGGATAGTGAGTGAGGTATGACGCATGCTAGTGTGGTGCAGCGGTTCCTGGGAACCGCTGCCATCTCGAGAAAATGAGGTGCTACCTAAAGCCGCTATCCCTTTTTGGCGGTTTGTAAAGTTAAAGATCGATAGTACGAAAACAGCTGTCTTGTGTAAAAAATGGTTCTTCTTTTTTGGCTTAAGTTCTAGTTGCTTGGATAAGACAAGGTTATAATCTCATGTGATTGTAAAGTCTTACTTGAGAATATATACTTTTAAACGAATAGGGGATGATATAATGTGCTGAGATGACTGAGCGCTTTATATTCTTTCTCTTGGGCTGCCTTTCGCCGACACATCCAAAAGCCCTTGCTGTAATACCCACCGAGCTCGCTCGCCTCACCATGGTCCGCTGGAAGTCATCCACAGGGCAGTCTGAATACTTGTTGGAGAAGTTTGGGGCTACTGATGCCGTGGAAATCAAGGTGACACAGCGCTTAAGTAAGTGGCCAATCGGTACCAAGTTGCATCGGCTGTCGGACTTGCGACATGAGAAGATAATGATCTGATCTGATCTGCGTGCTTGTTTCTATGATGATCTGTCTCCCTGGGTGCTTTTGGCTTGTCTGCTCTGACGTCTTTGCTCTGAACATTGATGAAGTCTCTGGGGATTAATACACTCTGTAGTTTGAGATACGGTGCCAAAATCAACCGGTCTAAAGATCTCCTAAGGTACACTGAACTTATCTAAATAATTCCAGTCTCTAGCATAGTTTACCTACGAATCTTTATCGCTTAGGATGATGATCCTAAACCTGCTCGCCTACTTTGAGGTACAGTTTGTTATGATGGGATGTGGGTGGGCTGGAAGATCTACGGCTGAATCCCACTTCCGCTGCAGCTTGCCCACGGGCGTCTGCCATTTGTTTGCTCCAGCGACGTCACAGGACATTTCTGTACCACCAGACGCGTAAAGCTCATTTCTTTCGGTTGCCTGGTGTCTTGTCCAGAGCTGTTCTCACTTCTCATCAATTCATCACACCATGCCCAGCTCTTCTCGAATTTCTCCTTTCATCACGGTCTCATATCTCCTCCTCGCTTGCTCCCTCATCTTCATTTACACCGTCAACCCCGTGTTCTTCCACATCTTTACTTTCTCTTTCACTCTCACCGTCTGCTTCCGTCAGATTCTGGCCACCGTCCCCACCGTCCGCAATGGACGAGCTCATGGCACTTCTCATCGACCTCCCCCCGGAGGCTCGTCTGCGCAAGGTCGGATATCCCTCTGAAGCCGACCTCACCGACGCCTCACTATATCCATCTTGCATGGTCCCTGAAGCTATCACGTACGAGTTTGGCACTGCAGCTCACTTCGCATTCCTCTTCAAGATCTGCAAGCGCAAGTGTGATGAGAACCCGATCTGCATCTTTTCCCCCGTTCGTGGTCTTCGTGCACAGACTCACGAACAGATCTGGGGCCATACCTTCTGTATCGAGCTTTGCCGCCTCATGACTCACCCAGTCTTCGAAATGGAGGGTACCAACAACCTCACTCTCATCCTTCAGTATGCCGTCATCTGCCGTACTGATGACAGACGCCCTTGGAAGATGCCCCCGATCCCTGTTGGGGTTGATCCACTCGAGCAGCTCCGCGGTGTGATGCAGTCATGCACCGGACCTTTGACCACCCCCATCTCTGAGGTCTTTGCAAGCCACTGCACGAACGAGAGCCCCCCACGTTGTATCAAGACTCGTGACATCAACCCTGACGAACCCCTCCTTCGGGAACAGCGGGCTGCCATCGAAGCCTACCTGACAGACCCGAGACACTTGATCTTTGTGATGCTCCAGCTCGCTAAAGTCGTTCAAGACTCTCCGACGGAAGGCCCTTACATCACGAAGGAGCGCGGCTTCGAGGTTTACAGTGTGACCACGCTTGATCTTCAGAACATCCGCAAGGCCATTGACGCAATGGAGCTCCACTACAGTGAGGGGAGTGAGGCGAGCTTTTTTGATCTTCCTATGGATCTCGTCTTCTCCCGCTATGTGGCCAAAGCTCAACTTGAGGACTTAGCTCCTCATGACCCGGATGAACTGTCAGATCTGATCGTGGCAGGATCCATGAAGAGAGAACGGGAGATCTTCGACACTACCCTCGGTCGCATTCGCCAGTGATATTTATCTGTCATCTTGCCCCGCAGACATGGCGGTCTTTACCCAGCGGTTTGTCATCCCGTCACAACCTGAATTGGACCCTACTAACCTGCCATACAGATCATGTACGGAGCGGGTGGAGCGTTGAATGGCCAAGAGACTGCGAGGCCGTCGAAGGAAACCTTGGTATGGTAGACAATGTGTATCGTAGGAAGCACCGAAGTACTTGAACAGTGTAACCCATGGCCAGGAATACATAGCTTTAAATGAAAGTGATCGCAACCAGAAAATGTCTGTCACTTACTTTCCAGTTCACGATACCTCTCTGTTCTTTCGATCATGGTTCCATCAAGTGTGATTTCTGTACATGTGTTTCTTGCCTCTATTCGGATTATGGACACAACTTAACCAACATTCAACCAAACACCCCCTTGTAGATCATATTGAGCTACTTCCAATTGCCATCCTCCCCTTTCAGCATAGTACGACTATATATTCAGTCCCTCATCATCTTTTACTTCTTCACCCCTCGCCGACAAGGCCCTCCTCCGATTGGAATTGTCTGCCAAGTCTCTAGTCGATCTGAGTTAGCTGTACCTCTACCTTGATACTGTCCCAGATGGATTCATCGATTCTCTGAAACTCAGAGTGCCAAGCTCGACGGTAAAAGTCAGCTAGCTGGTCGAAGTCAAGTTCATCATCGGACTCCTCTGTATTTTCCAGGAACAGTCCGTAGCATTTGTCGGTAGTGGGGAGCGTATATATCCCATTGAGTTCTGCGTTATTGATGGCACAGTTGACGTTTTCGATGTCGGCGGCTGTGACATGATACAGAGGGACATCCAATTGCTTTCTAGTTCCGTTCTCAGGTGTAGTAGGGCGTTCGATGGTGGTTCGAGAGACGACATGAGGTCGGACAATACAGACGTTTCCCTGAAACCATTCGCCATTCGAGCGAAACTATGAAGATCCTTCACCGAGCGGGTAAGGATTCCATCAACTGTCTTGGTTGTTTTGATGCGTTTTTGTAGATCTGCCAGGGTACCGCCAGGAGTTGGATGCTGCAGAGCCATGATCCACGGTCGCCTATCATCTGTTCGCAAGATGACTGCATACTGCAAGATCGTGGCGAGGTGATCCTTGTTGCCTCTCATGACAGGGTGCGTCAAGATCTGGGTCAGCAGACGGATGGGAGTCTGGGACCAAAGAGACGTAGTGCCATCAACCGATGTCTTGTCCACAGTTGGAACGTCGTAGCAGAGGCCCAGAAGAGGACTGAGCAGAGCGATTGGGGAACAGCGAAAGACACGGGCGCAGGCGATGAAGAGATTGAGGTGTCCATCATACATGTCCGAGTTTCCTTCATTGATGTCGTTTGCCATAGCATCAACAAAGTTTTTCCAACCCAAGATGTCGTAAACGGGATGCTCGTTGTCTCGTGGGATACCGGGCCCTAGGAAGTGAAGCCACTTGCAGCTTGATTTGAGAGCTTGAAAGACATCGCTTGAAGCTTCTGTGCGAATCGGACTCACGTGCTGTCGTCTCTTTTCGACTGGGGCAGCGACGGCTGGTGAGGTTTCCCTGGCGCGTTTCTCACGTCCACTTTTAGACGAAGGGCTGTTTGAATCTCGTCTGCGCTTGTCCATGCTTGTCGATGTTGGAGCGAAGACTATAGAATTGAAAGATGACGAATGGTCGACAGCGAGATATACTCAGCGACTGAGGGACGCAGTGAAGTTGGACAATCAAGAGTTTGTGTCTGAATGGACAGGGCCTAGCGTTGCTCATCAGTAACATTTCCGTAAGGTAAGGTAGCGTAGAAAGGCGTGTTTAGGTACCTTCAGATTTGGTGAGGTCATTGGCAAGTCCAAGGTTGCACTGGGTCTGTTGGAAGATTCACGGCGGGTTCGATACGGCAAGGTAGGCGAGGTCTGGGCTGGCATTTCCTTGTGTCACCTCAACTCCTTCCACTCCCACACAGTGAGTGGGTCGGTGCAGGAGCAGGAGCACAGCTCACTCGAGCGCAAGAGGCAAATCTCTCTCGAACATCAACACAATTACCAACACAATTACCTTACTATCCATCAACACAATTACATTATTATCCATCACATTCAGCTTCAAGAAGCGTTTCAATCTCAAGCATGGCACCTCCGACCGAGGAGCAACTTCTGCATAACTCTGTCGTCCAATATGAAGTTGCGAAAATTAATCCCCTTCTCCCCGGCGAGAACCGATCTGATAGCTACTTGGCAACACTGAACGATCAATGCCGCCGTTTGCCCATCATGCAGACAGAGAATTTCGAAAGGTTCCTCAAACTTTACAAGGCTAGACAGGTAACTACACCTACAAATGCCCTCGGTTGCGATTCGTTACTGACAAAGTGCAGGTGGTGGTCGTCAACTCTGATACAGGCTCTGAAGACTCGAGACAGCTCGTGAAACGAATCATGTACCTCGAACTCAACAAAGGCCTCAAGGTTGTCTGCACTCAGCCTGATAAGGTTGCAGCCAGAGAACTCGGTCAGCGCGTCTCAGCAGAGCTTGAAGTTAAGTACGGTGAACAGGTTGGTGTTCAGTACCGCAACTACAACAAGACCAGCGATCGGACTCGATTGTATTTCGTGACAGAGGGCATGCTCCGCAAGCAAGTCGGGGACAATCCTAACCTGGCCGGTTATGTAAGTGTCCAGTATGCCGCCTCCTATTTTTCCAGTAACTAACTCTTCATGCCAGTCATGTGTCATCCTCGATTTCCAGGACCAAACAACAAACAACGATCATCTCCTTTGGCTACTCAAGCAAGCCCTCGCTCTCCGTTTCGATCTCAAACTCGTTATCATGGCAGCAACCAAATCCGAAAGGCTTGCCAGTGACTTCGGCGTTCCCAAAGTCCTCAACCTCGATAAAGATTCATTCTCGGTTGTGATCGAGTACATGCCCGAAGAGTTCCCTCACTATTGCGAGATGGCTTTGAGTTACGTGAACCGCATCCATAATGAAGAAGGCCCAGGTGATATCCTTGTCTTCTTGGGATCTGCCCCTCAAGTTGATCGTGCGGTCGCGACGCTACGTGAAAATATCTCAGATCTAGAGACTTTCCCATTGCATGACAGAATGGCTAAGGAAGAACAGAAGAAAGCACTTCAGTCGGGCGGTGAGAAGCGCAGGTGTGTTGTTACTACCAACATCGCCGAGAGTAGTGTCACTGTCAATGGCATTTCTTATGTCGTTGGTAAGTCAATAGATCTCCTGATCGGTGTCGAGAAGCTAATCTTTGCTGTAGACAGTGGTATCCAGATGGATCCGATCTTAAACCCCCGCGTGGGAATGAAAACCCTCCGAGCTACGCCAATCTGCAAACAATCCGCCGATCAGAGAGCTAAATGCGCCGGACGAACTCAATCAGGAATCTGTCAACGCCTGTACACGATAGTGACATATAATGAGGTCTTACCCAATGTCCAATCTTTCGGGAAGCTAACAGAGTGTTTCAAAACGGCCCTTTTGGCTTTAAGGATAAGGGGTGCAGACATTAAATCTGTCTATACTTTCGACTTTATCGATCCTGCGAATGAGGAAGTCTATCTCCGTGGGCTAGAGAACCTCAGAGCCTTGTAAGCATTCGCAAATTGTTTTCCCACTTCTCTTCTAATTATCGTACGCAGCAATCTTATCGATGAAAACGGAACCATGACTCCAGTTGGCAAAACCGCTGACAAGCTTCCCCTCAGCATCAATCCCATCTGGCACAACGCATTCGAGGAGGCCATCAAGCTTGGCTGCCTATCTGAACTCATCGACATCGCTGCTCTCGTGAGCGTAAAGAACATCTGCCTGATACCACCCGAGACACTACATGCAGCCGACGTGTTACACGAACAATTCATGGACCCCTTGTCGGATCATTTGTCAGAGCTCAACGCTCTGTACGCCTACTTACACAGGAAGCGCAATATGTCAACAGAAGAGTTGGCAATCTGGTGTCACGAAACATTCCTGAATTCGGCATCACTAGAACAGGCCTTGAAACGGCGACATGAGTTGATCGGATGGTGCAAAGCAAATCTTGGCGTCTCTGAAATCTCTGGTCTAACCCTGGCTGACACAGACTACCACGTCAAGATCCGCAAAGCCATCGCCAAAGGGTTCATCCACCACGCTGCGACCAAAGATAATACTTGCCATCAACGTCAGTACATCACGCTGGAGAACATTCCCGTCGTTCTTTTTTACCGAAGCGCTATTGGGACAAATTGGAAGTGGGTTGTGTATCACAGGATTGAAACTACAGCTACTAGCCTCCATTACATGGATCGATGTACTGTTGTGGAAGAGAATTGGCTTTTGGTAAGCTGCGTCTTCTGGGTTTGGAAATTGGCTAACACGCGTTTTGGAAGGAAAACGATTATTTCTATCCCATCAACTTGCCCAAAGACGACAATGGGAAAGTTCGAGTAAAGAGAATCCAAATTCTCTTCGACATTTTGAATCGACCATACCAACCATGATCAACAAAAATATCTTCATCAAGCGCCAACCTTTTTTCGTCATTCTCTCTCTTATAGTCTTTGAGTATCGCAGTCATTTCATAGAAACAGCGAAAGAATCGAGTAGCGGAGAAAGAATCAAACTTGCCATGGACATACTCTGTCAGAAGGGATGCGATTGATCAAATTCATGTAGCCATAGATGCACTGATTAAAGAAGGGGGCATGATATTGAATACAAAAAAACAAGTCCCTCAATAATGGTTCATGCTTCTTCACAAGCCCAATCAACTACGAGCCCATGTGTGATGATCTCCTTCGTCTGTCTCAGCTTTCTGAGCTCATCGTGATCCTCTCCCTCATAAAATCCAAACCCCTCTCATCATCCTCACTCAGCATGCAAGGCAGCAGAGTACTCCGCTTCCTTCAGGACGCAACAAGCTCCATTACTCCCGGTGCAGTGTCGGATTGTCACCTTGCTTCGGCATCGGGACAAACAACCAAGAGACACTCGTGGCAACTAGAAGCGCGCAAAGAACAGGCTGGAGAACTGACACTCCAGCGCTGGTGGCGACAAGACCAGTGATGATTGGGAATAAACAGCCTCCGAGCTGCGCGAAGACAAAGACAAATGCCAAAGCTGTCGATCGAATACGAGGATTGAACAGTTTCGAGCCGACAGAGATGCCCTGGTCTCATTAGCTGAGTACTTTGAGGGTCGGAAGCTAACTCACTGTGGCAAAGTATGGTCCCATGAAGAAGCCGAGCAGACTGATGGCGATGGAAGCGGCGATGATGTTGGGAACCCTGCAAGTGTCAGCTCATTCTTCAATGTCAAGACGCAACACTCACAGCCAGAACAGAACTTGCAATCCGATGCTGAGAATCGTGAAAGCAAATATCATGGGGCGAACCCCAAAACGATGTGTAGGTTCAGCAAGAAACAGTCTCCCAAGGAGCGACCCTCCACTGAAACCAGCTGGTACAAAACCCATCTGATTGATGTCGCCGTTGCGAACCTCGACCAAGTATTCGACCACCCACCCACTAGCTGTAAGCGTTGCGCCAAGAAAGAAGAAGAAGAAAAGGCTGATGAGCCAGACATTTTTGTTCTTCAAAGTGTCCTTGATCAACGAGGATGCATCATCATTTTTAGATGCAGGCGATTCAACAGCCTCGAGGGTTCGTTCAGTCGGCGGTTGCTTTCTCTTCAATCTCAGAGTGTCCCAGAACGCGTATACCACGAAAGCGACATTCAGAACACCAATACCGAGTGGGAACGTGTAGAACAAGTACCATCTCGATGTACTTCCAGCCGAAGCAACACCCGTCGCGACGAAAGGGCCGACAAGACATCCGGCCATGTACATCGCGTGGATGAACGCCAGCCACCGATGAGACCCCTTCACTCCAGAGACGTATGTATTCCCGTGTGTATCCTGGTAGGCTTGACCCAAGCTTGCGAGCCAGAAGGTGATAGTGAAGAGAGGAAAAGGCGGCTTCCATGATCGGAGCGCATGAGCGATGACTTGTAGAACAGCGCCCAGCGTGAGCATGGAGCCGAGATCGAGTACTTGACAGAGGTGAGTGTTGGAGAAGGCGCCGAAGAACCAACCCATAAAGTTCGCGCCGTAACTGTCATGGTCAGTATGAGTTGAGCTGAGTTGGGGAGATAGCTGCTCACACTGATGAGACAATCGCCGTTGTGACATTGTAGTCTCGAATGATGTGAGGAACTAAAGCACCGATACTTCCGTCATTGACGCCAGCGACGAAGAAACTGAATCCAGCGCTGAGAATCTTGAGGAGTTCGCTGGTACTTGGCTTCGATGAATGCGGAGGTTCAGCCTCATCGAGCACATCCCGCGTCGGGATGGGTGAGCTCCGAAGCTCAAAAGTCTCTGACCTCGTATCGGTCTGCGTAACTGTCGCCATTGTTAAAACCGTGACGATTGAAGGTAAGATGGGGAGTGGTTGATGTTTATATGCGAGGATGTCATGCCTGTCGGGGGAAGTTGGCACAGCCCAATTGGCGCTTCTACCACTTTCGGATTGACACGCCAAGTGACTGTGGAGATCTAAGCTTAAGCTGGTTAAGCGTGCTTGCGGTATCTCCTAATTTGGTAGTAAGCATGTGAGAGATCACCCGCGACGACGGGCCGGAATGGCTAAACGTCGGTCAAGGCGCGGTCATCGGGTAACATGAAGTGAGATGGCGAATTATTTACCCTCGTGACGCAGAAGAAGATGAAATAAAATAAGAGTGATTGATTTGGTGTGTTTCCAAGGTCATTGTGTTTGGGTTTCCCCATATTGCTTTATTGATGGCTGGGGATTGTCACGTTAGTCTCATGTTTTCTGCAGTAAAGCACTCATCAAAAACTCTAGCTCCCAAGCATCGATGAAGAGATGGAACGGCAATCTCGTCACATTCATCTCATCTATCTTGTTTTGAGAGCAAAATGAGATAATCACGCGAAAGAAACTCACATAAAACAGTTACACTTATTTTTAACTCACTCAGCTCTTGCTCGCGCTTGTTCCATAAGTCCCTCTGCAATTGAACCTGGCAATCTCATAAAACCTTTACTCACCCTACACCAAAGCTTGTCTTGACTAGTGGTGTCCCGGATCTACCCTAGTCAAACGCTAGAGTCCCCTGTCTCCTGCTGATCCATCGAGAAAAAATATTTAAAGTTCTGTCAAGATTGAAGAAATTTTAATCGGATTTTATGTCTGCTGCAAATATCATATCATAGAGGCTGACAAATCTGCTTTTGAGAGTTACAGGGTAAGCCAGGGGCGAAACCAATCATGATTTTCACTGGAATGACGTAGCGAAAGCCCAAGTCACGTCTTTCTCTCCGCGTCTGAGCGATTTGGCAGAATTGACAACAACAATTGCTGCTGATGCGGAGACCATTCCACGATAAGGTGATGAAAATTGAGCAGGGCGACATTGTGATTGGTGGATGGGGCATCGGAATTTAGTCTTTTCCGCCCTCCCCCCCTGTAACGGTCCCCACTGAATGCCACGTCAAAGGCTCTTGTCGGTGAGTGAGTGAGTCTGCTTGCAACCCGACTCCAGATCTCTAAATCTGGGGAGTCCCCTTCACCTTGACGAAAATAACAATACACACCAGTCGTTTCCGATGCAATTACTGCGTGGCGATCGTGGAGACACCAGCAGCACTTCTTCCAGGAGCTATGGAGGCTTCGGAGCCCCAGAGCCCCGGCTCTTCGAGTTCAGCGAGCGGGGTCGCTCCGTAGCGCCCAAATGCATCGAGATGAGCAAGCAGCACCCGGAGGAGTTCCTCAACTATCTCCAGCAGGCCTGGAAGAGGGACAAAATATACGCCAAGGAGAACCCAGACTCCATGTTCGACATCAAGGCCATCCGCGTGCTCTGCCAGGATGGCAAGTTCAGACCCCTGGGGAACTCGTATATCCCGCTGCCCAAGCTGCACTACCTCCGGAATCGATATATGCTGGAAGGAGAGCCCTTTCCGTTTCTCAGACTTGATCCGCCCATACGATCTGAAGGGGGTTTCGGCCAGTGGAGGTGTCTCAGGGCGTTTGCCAAGTATCATGATGACCTAGATTTCTTTCTCGAGATGTTGGTACGGATACGACGAACGAAGGCCTCGACAGTTGAATTTCCCCGTCGCATCCTGGAACTATACCTCCGCATACAAGCAGAGTGTGAAGACTCCAAAGACCCCGCAGCGAGTCAACAAAAAGTCAGGTATGTACACTCATCAAATTCATGATGATATGCTCACGCGACCAGGAACACGTTTGAGAAGGAGCAGCTAGTCTATGTCCACCCAATATGGAGACCGCTCAGCGAATGCTTGTTGGAAGATACATGCGAGATATCCAGCACACTCTCAAAGTCACCGGTCTTCCCTGTGCCGTCAGATTGGGACGCCAGCAAGTCGGAGCTCGTGTCATTACGAGAGTTTTACACACAGACGCTACGGCTTCAGAATGCGAGCTACCGGACGATCGTCGATGTCTTGGAGAAGCGCGACTTTGATGCGGAACTCGACCCTGCGGACCTTTGGTTGACGGATGAGTTGTATCGGGCCCTGGATAAGATGAGACTAGATCTCTCACCGGACGACGCCGCTGATCTCAAGTGAGTACCCCTGACTCATGGTATCTCACTGCTAACATGAATAGGCTCGCATTCGCTGAAAAGGCCATCATCGCCATCGCGCCAGGTGAAGCCGTGACATGGCTCAACGCCGCCGACTGCACATGGTCACCGAAACTCGAGAGCCCCGAAATTAATGACTTGAGTAAACACTACCCCGAGCTTCACGACTTCTTCGTCAACTTCCTCGACGTGAAACAGAACGACTCCGGTCTCATCTTCGACACACTCATGAACGTCTCATCACTGAGTCCCGATTGTTCGCGCGACAACACAGCTAGAGGTCTTCTCGTCGCTGTGAGTCAACGGATACCAGAGTTTGGTCACATCTTTGACAAAGAGCGGTTCGCAAGGAGTAACGTCTTTCCGGTTTCGACGGCGGATGGTGTATTGTTGTGTGCTTCGACGATGGAGTTTTCAGTTGCGGATCGACAGAACTTGAAGGAGGCTTTCACAGGGAAACTGAACCTGTTGGACTTTGATCCCAAGACTGTTTGGATGCTTGATAACTTGCTCGTCTGGGCTGGTCTCGATTCACGGTATCTCTCAAAACACGTTGAGGATCAAGGACCAGCCGATGAGAACTTCAAATCAATCGAACTCCCCTACGAGCTCTCCTCCAAAGCCGACCAACTCCTGCGGTACGTTCCCCCTCCCAAACTCCCTTTCCAGCACTGACCTCCCCAGCATCGCCGTACACTTCAAAAGCCCCCGAACAACCACGCCAAAAGCAACATCCTGGCTCCGCGAAACCCTCGAACACTCCGAAGTCCGCCTCGCGTCGGGCTTCCAATCACAACTGATCTACCGCTCCGGCAGCGCCTTCATCACCGCCGTCAACCCCATGGGCGGCCTCGACATCAAAGACACAGTCGGCTTCACCGTGTACGCCGACGACGAGAATTGGGAAATCCTGAAACAGACAGTGCTCCCGCGTCGGCTGCTCGAGTGGATCATGACGGACCCCGAGACGAATGTCACTGGCTCTGTGCCTGAACAGGCAGTGAGCCTTGTAAGAAGTATTTTGAACATACCCGTTGGTCGCGAACATGTTATTCCCAAGATTTTGGATGCAGAGGGGATTGTGGATTTGGAATTGTTAGAAGCGTCGCCGTACTGGCGTGTAAACAGGTAAGTTGCCCAATTCATGTTCGGTGACAGAAGGCTGACGGGTCAGTGAACGTGTACCAGACACAACCATCACCACAAAATCCGACAAACTACGACCCGCCAAGATCCTCGACGACGACGACGACGAACCCTCACCGGCCTACACACAGGGCGAATCCTACCACGCAAGAGAAGGCCTAGCCGACAGCAAGAGCAGCCCACCACCAGCAATGCCGACCTACGCTGAGCCAGGCCTGACGACAAAGATCAACTCTGCCGAGCGAGGGATGACGACCAAGGCAGGCGATTTAACGAAGGACACGAAACAAGACGCACTGCGCGATAGACTGCCGATATCAAAACGTGGTTTGGAAAGACGACATTCAGAGAAGTCTGCTTGGGAAGAGGAGTTTGTGGCGAATGAAGCCACGTTGATTGATTTCTCGGGGGAAGATGTATATGGTATAGATTGATAGATTTTTATGTGATTATGAGACAAGACAAGATAAGATAAGACAAGACAATTGACAATATTGGGAACTGGGAACTGGGCATTGAGTGTTTCAGTTGATAAGAGTGATTGCATGGTGTTGAGTTCGTAGAGGTGAGGGTTGATCCTCATGATGCGTGCCTGAATGGATGCATCATGCGTGTCTGTTCAGCTTGAGCGTGTTAAGTTAGCTATGGAGCGGAACAATGAAAAGGGGACTGAGCCAGGCTGAGAGGCAGGGAATGGGGATCTGTCTAGGCTCTTTCCTTCATCATCATCCATCATTCAGACTACAACTTTCATGAATACAACGTAAACAACTCTTTCGCTTTACTGGGTATTCTTTCTATTATCGTGGCTATCTTTGGAAGTGTCCGATCAGCAGCACTCCGACCATCCACGCTTCGCTCCATAATTCAACCACTAGTTCAACCATGTCCTACTAGGAACATTCACAGGGGAGGAGAGAAAACTCAGGACCTTGACCCTAAGCGACACAAATGCTTCGGTAAATCTAGTCTAAGCTTAGGGGACTCTTTGCTGAGTTTATTATATTACGGTCCGGTGTTCTCTTGTCCCCCGAGGCTAGGTTGAGTTGGATGAGTGAAGAGCAAGGTGAGAGTGGAAATCGAGTGTGCAGGTTGCGCTAGATTCGTGGCTGACTGCCCTCTGGTCTCTCGACTCTTTGCTGCCCCACCTTCTCATCTGCATCCTCACTCCCACATCATCTCCTCTCATTGTCTTCTTCCCCATCAAATCGCACAACATCCAACGCCAGAAAGAGGTGAGTTATTTGAATCCAACCATGTCGACCAAGGGCATGTGCTTACTGGCTCAACTTCGCAGCAACTCGCTCAATCATGGGGGGCAGTTCTCTCAGCAGTTGCCCTGGCTCTGCCAACCGCTTCCAAAACGAGATGGAGCGCCAAAAGGAAAACCCGGAGTGCCAGAACCCAACAATGCAGAGAATCATAGCTACAATCAGCAGAAGCTTTGCCGAAGTCACTAAGGATATGAGCGTCCTGCTTGCCAACAACCTTGCTATTTTCGTAATGGGTGAACTTAGGGAAATGAGTTCAAGTGTCGCGGCGCATATTACCCTTTGTTCTGCCTACAAGTATCTGCACTTCACTCAGCTGCATCCTCGTGTCAAGCGCATCAACTACCCGGCCTGGTTCTTCCTTGCCTCCGTCTACGGACCTGACCACGAGGAGCTCCGCCCCTACCGAGACTAGTTGTCTTCGTACTGGGATGTCGAGTTCCCCGCTGACAAGGTCATGTACCCTTCCAACAAGAGCGAGGAAGAGCAGGAGCTCCTTTTCATCGCGTCTTCCCTCGCCGACCGTGTTGAGCCCGAAGATGAGGACCAAGATGAGCCTGAAGACGAGGAGAGTGACACTGACGACCATGTAAGTATTTCCTGCGCGTACGAACAAAAGCTTATTGAATACAGGTCACAAACGAGACCACTCCTATCTCCGAACGCGAAAAGATGGAGAAGAGACTCGCCAACGTAGAGGCCCATTTCCTCTTCATCCGCAGCCAGCAGAAGCTTCAGTCCGAACTGATCGAAGAGGGCATCAAGGCAGTCCGCGAGATGGCCAAGTCTCTCAAAACGGAGACTGAGTTGAGCCAGGAAGAAGCGGAAGCCGAAATCGCTTCTTATGAACTGGTGCATCGCGCCGTCAACTCCGAGGATGGTGCTGTTGAGGATGAAGTGGACTAAATCAACACGCACGTCATGGAGGGTAACGCCATTCGGTAGGAGGGACAACAATGCAGAGGTAGGAGATGAGGAACGGGCTAGAATCGGATACCTTTCGGCAACATGGCCACGGTACCAAGTAGTTAGTCTAGCGATCAATTCATCTCAAGTTACGAGCACAACAGAGCCATTGCTCCCCATGTATCGTAATAAAACTCATCATAAATTGAAACACAGCTCCTCCAAAGATCTCGGCGTTTGCTGTAGCTGTTGAACGGTAATTCGCGCTCCAGCCTAGGAGCAAAGCGGTTCATCAGAGTCTGTAGCAGCAAGTTCTCGTTTCCATTTGTCTCAGACCACCATTATCTCTGGCCCAATGGCTCAGCCCAATCAGCCTCAGATCTTTTATGACTATTAGCAGTGCTTGTCTTGCGTAGTATTAGTACATACATTTCTCCTCTCCCACTCTTCGCTTCTATCAAGATCGCCGCTCACACCCCTGTCCAGGGCCCATGCAGATCCCACCGTCCTAAGCTCATCGTAAGATATCCTAAGCTCAACAGAGGATACCATAAATTCATCATAGGGGGCTTGGAGTTTCGGAGGATGATTGATTGCGCTCGGTCAACTATTGCACATTGCCATCGCCGTGACCACCTTGATCTTTCTTTTCGCTGTTCTCACGATTACTAATGTCCTTCTCGGAATCAGTAATACTGTTCAATCCCTTCACCATTTAGCTTCCTCAATCACTCCATGACTACTTGGTCTTCGGCTTCTTCCCTCCAGTCGCAGCCTTCCCATGGCCATCAGGAGCAGCTCGCTTCTTGCCAGCTGCCTTTGACGTCTCCGGGTTGTTGTTGTTGGGCTCCTCATCATCTTCCGAGTCCACGAGATGAGTGATACCAATGCTTCGAGACCAGGTGCTGGGGCCAACGCGGGGAGGAATGAGCGGAAAGTTGTCGGCATCGATTTGGGCTAGGGCACTTGCATTGCCTGCCGCGGCTTCACGGTAGGCTTGGCGACGATGCTGCACCTCCAACAGGCCACGCAGCGAGTTGCTTATATCGATTTGAACACGGAGATGCTCGACGTCGAGATTGCGCTTAGTCTCTATGCTTTGACCGGTGGTAGTCTCGACATCAAGGGTTGCACAGGAGGATTCTGCAAGACACTCCGGCTCGAGTCTTAGTATTGCATCACGAATTTCGTTACGCAGTCTTGCAACCATCTGCACTCAGTCAGCGAAAAGCCAGGGCCATGGAGATGACTACGTACGAAGTCAGTCTGGTAGGCAAGGTCGCTTCGCCAGTTACAGCTCTGATTAAGCTGGAGCTTCCCAAGGAGTTCAACGTCTGCGTCGGACAGCTATCCAAAATCAGCTACTAATGTAAGACACAGACAAGAGGTGGAAATCACCATTTTGCACGTGTAGTTGCCAGTGATCTCGCAAGGAACGTTATTTTCAGCAGCATCTGCGAACGTGTGAACAGTTGGCTATTCCATACAGTGTGGTCCCCCTTACCATGCATTCGCAGCGCGCACGCTGACGAGCGGCATCCATAGCAAGTAGTCGAGGCCCCGTTCCGAGTGCGGTCGGATGGAATCCAGGAGACGGCGTTTTTCAGGCAATGAAAACAGTGCATCCTATGTTAATCAGCGTTTAATAATCATTTTTTGAACGGCGGTGATAGAGTAAGTTGAACTTACATTTTGGGGCAGCCCAGGTGTCGGTACGCCCGAACACAGCGGCAAGTAGATGGGCGATGCCTGATCACGACCGAAGATGGTCGCCTGAACAAGTAAAAGGTCTCAGCCTATTGGCAGATTAGTATAGAACAAGTTGAGACTGAACGCGTGTTGATGAAGGGCGTTGCGGCTGGTTGTTGTACGTACAAAGCTGAGGAGGGTGGTGTTGAGGAGAGATTGAAGAGAGAAGATTCCAAAGATCGAGAATGCATCATCAAATCTCCAGCTCAGGGGCCCACTTTCATGCTCTCTGAGATTTCAGGCTTACTTTCTTCAGCTTTGCAAATGCTCGCGCTTCTGATACTCAGTGGCACCCCATCAACGCAAAGGGGTATCAACCGACAATGATCAGGCCTTGCTACACTTGAGAGGTTTGAGGCTAGGGGCATGGTTATGAGATAAACGGGAAGTTATTGATGGCCGAACAGTGTAAATGGCTGCAAACGCCAGTTCAGGATGACTACCAATCGATTTCACAGTTCGCGGTACCAGTGGCAGTCTGGAATGGAATCACCATTACCTACCAGTGGCAGCCCCATGAACTATTGCTTAGGCACTAGACATCGATCTCTTCCTTTCTCTGATGTCCATCATGTCAAACTTCACTCTTATCTTCACAACAGATCTCACCTTCTCATATCAAACCATCGATCTCTTATCCAGGTCAAGACACTCATCACACACCAAGGCACTCACTATACCTCACGACTTCACCGCTATCATGTCTGACAACAACAGTGTCGTCCCCAGCGATGAAGCGGCCTCCGAAACATCCTCTATGATCGTTGAGACCGGCAAGTCCGACATCAACGAGCCCTCATCTACTCCCTCCACCAACGAAGGCGAGTCAAGCACTACCTCACAACCCGTTGCAACCATCCCTCCCGCCCCCCGAGTCATCAATGTCGAGTGCGTCGGAGAGCTTCGCCTCATCGGTATTCTCGACCCCCTCGATAGAGCACTTGGCTACTACTTCGACAATCCTCACGAAGACTACCTCATCCGCAACGTAATGGCCCACTCCAACCTCGCCGTCCAAGCCATTGCCTTCCAGGGTGAACGAGCCGCAGGTAACTGCATTGCACGAAAGCTGACTTCGTTCTACCCCGGCCGGCCTGTTAGAGAATTCCACTTCAACCTCCCCTTCCGTGTTGCAAGCACCGCTGCGTTTAGACAGCTGAAACTCCCCCTTGGGTTCCGACGCTGCTTCTTGGGACTGAAGCCAAAGGGCACGGTTGTGCACAAGTTGACTAAGGATGCGGAGTGTCCCCCGAAGTTGGTTAAGCGGTATAATCGGATCTTCGAAGCTTGGAAGAACAAGAACGGTGCGCTTCCTGAGAATCAGTGTGATGTTGCGCTGATGGCGTGGCCGCGTATGCCGTATTGTGAGGGTGGGATGTCATTGGAGTTTGTTCAGGAGCTTGAGGCTGATTCTCTTGGAGGCACTGACGTGGTCCAGTACTGAGTGGTATTTGGAAACTCTGAATTGGTTGAGATTTGGGTATTCTTGTTGATGCTACTAGCATAGCTGTTTGATCTCACCAGTAGTAGATGTTTGAGAGAGTGGATGAATCGGGTATTGGCACTTTTGTAAGGTTGGATACTTGATACCACCTGTAGCTGAATAGGTCAAGTCTGGAAATCTGGATGAGTCAGTGAACATAAGACTGTTGACCGCTAGATAACTCAATTAAAGACCCTCCCTCTATTGATTGCCCCTGATCTTGTTTGAATGGTCTTGCAGCTCAAAATGAGTTGGTCGACTCTAGAGGCACTTATGATGAGAGTTTGATCAATCACACGAGCCCAGCAGGGTCGACACATGGACATGCAGCCAGGATATCCTCCGGCGCCAGGGTTAATAGTTTGTGACCAAATCCATTGATTTTGATCAATTCTACGGACAGCATCAATGTAGCTTGAGAACAACTGAAGAGGAGCCAAGAAGGTCACGATGATGCAAATGTGGTTTGACAACAAACGAAATCGATTGAATCCAAGGTATAACCCTATGATCTCGAGACATTCTTGATGGAGTTGAGAAGAGGTGTCTTATCACAAGACCAAGCCCTCTGATGAGGCTTATTGCCTCCGTAGGCCACTCTTTGAGCCAAGTGAGTATGTTTAGTCCAATTTCATTCGCGCAAGCTCAGAAGGTTCGGCGGATGGACCGTTGAGGGGGACTTCCTCCAAAATGACCTTTGCTGTGGCTCCCTGGACTTTGTCCGAATCCCATTGAGGATCACCCGGCGAAAATCGTTGAGTGTCATCGGACAACAAGATGACAGCTCGCTCATACTGCGACAATTGAGACCGGGCATCGTCTAGGTTGGTGGGAGTATACCGGCTGCCGTCGCATTCAAGCTTTCCGATAACTCTGAGTTTCATGGGCACCTTTCGGTAACCTTCTGGGAGGCGGAGTATGAAAGAATTGGTGAGGATAGGCAGAGCGATAACGTAAGCACGGCTGGGGTAGGCATCAAACTTGGCGGTCTCGAGCACAGGAACGAGTTGAGGCTGTCCGCCCTGGAAGACAAGAGCGTTGGGGCTGATATCGCACGCAGCCATGACGTTGGTATCGTCACCACTAGAGTTCATGAAGCGGAAACCTATCAGGGCTCCATCCAAGTCCATGACGCCCCAAGGTTGCAGCTCGGACACGAAACGAGGCATACCCATGGCGGGCTCGTATGACTTCGCGGGAAGCGCCATGGGCTCGCTGGTGGAAAGCTCAAAGATTTCGCCCGCATTGGCAAAGCTCATCTTGGATTTCTGTATTTTCTGTATTAGCTTAAGCTCAGCGATGCAGAGTGTATTCCTACCTTGACCCAGATTTGGGCTTGGTCGTTGCAGGCGAGGCGGCTAGAGAGAGTGGCAGAGATGAGTGATGAGTGATGAGAGATGAGAGAAGAGACTGGGGAAATGGTATTTAGAGCGAGAGCGTTTGCACTGACTGATAGCTCCACAGTTTAGGAGCTGTTGCACTGCCAGCCACTACCTACCTATTGTTCCTGTCCGTCCCCACCACACTGATATTCGCTCACATATCTCACTGATCTCAGTTGCTAAGCTCCTAAGAAACAAGCTGGATCTGAGCACCAGACTGAGCAAAATAGATACCCTCTTTGCGGAGATTGCTTGAAACATCCTAAGAAACGACAGACAGGTTTGAGAAGGGCGAAATCTGATCCCACCTGAGGCATGCTCCTTCATTTCACCATTGGAAGCCTTTCCTGACTCCCTTGCGAAGAAATTGAGAATAAAGGCTTACAAGCTTAGTCTCTTATTTACAACCATGAAGTCAAGAGCCCCAATGCTTCTAGCCCGCACATAATGTTAGGAAGTCAATAAAGGGAAGAGATTGGATACAAAAGGGGAAGTGGAGGGAAGGGGATATCGTGAGACCACCAGTAGTAAAGATCGTGCCTCGATTGGGCTCTTCGCTGGAAATCAGGTATCAAGACCTGGGAGTTGGCTTACTGGGCACGTCGACAGATGTTGAACCGGACAGACACCTAAGAGCATTGAATAGATTCCCTCGGCTGGACTAAGCTCTCAGCCACAGGACCAAGTCACGCAAGAGAGCTTGAGACGTGTCAGTAACATTTCATTCCTCAGGGTATATTCAATAACTGAATCTATCTATCAAATCAGTGTAGCCCAGAGATACAGTCGTAGGTAGTGCACAACAAGATCAAGAGCCGTAAGCAATGTCTTGTCGAGATTTGAATTTACTTGAAGTAAAACTGGCATATTTTCGACGCCTCATTGAGATATTGTCCTTCTAGCATATCCTCTAGAACCAACCGAATGCGTGGACTAGTATAAGGTAGGTCGGAATCTCGGTTAGGCAAAAGAAGAACGCCTCGAGGTATTAATATAACCAAAAATTCGCCCTCACTTCCAGCCACTTTGGGGACCGGTTTGGCGTCCTCGTTCAGCGTCCCAACAAAACGAAGGGTCATCTCAACAGTGCGCCAGCAGCGAGCCCCAGGAGAAATAAAGAGTGAATTACAGCACAAGTTGATCATATAGTATGGGCCGTTATGATTATTGGTCTGAGCAAGAGCAGATTGGTAGGGTCCCCTGTAGAGGGTGGATCCGACACACATACGGGCGGCGGCCATGACGTTGGTTCGTGGTCCTCCATTCATGTTGCGTAAATTCAGTCCAACCAAGTTAATGTGGCAATCAATAAGGCCCAAGAGCCGCATACCGCCAAGGAGCTGTGGCATAGCTGCATTACCTGGGACTGGGGACATCGACAAAGAGGTACGCGGTCTTTTCAAAGGGGCTGCACCCTCAATCATCTCACGGTCTTCGGGATCCTGACTGGGATCTTCGCTTGGTGGTAAGGACATCGTGAGTGTAGGGCTGAGAAATGAGATATGCAGAAGTCTGGGCGGAGTGAAGTTGACGGACACAGAAGCCAGGCCAACGAATCTGCTCAAGACTGATGGTTAGAAATGCGACATGAAGATGGCTGGTGTCTCACCTTTCGTAATAGTTGTTTCGTATGAGACTAGTTCCTACTGTGGGATGACTTCGTAAAAGACGGTGGACGGGCGGCTGGCACGTTGCTGGTTGAAGGTGATGGAAGAAGTTGACCTGCTCAATTTGAAACGAGGGTTTAAGTAGGATGGTTGGCTTAATTCAATGGTCTAGGCAGCGTTGGTGAATAAAATTAAGATCAAAGTCACAGAGGAGCAGTTTGTGAAATGTTTGACACATGTTGTCACGTCAATTGGAATGACGGTGGGAGTCTCTTTCTACCACACAAAGGGCAGGCAACAGAGGCCGATATTCTTCTTGGTGCGCTTGTGTAACTAAAATCCCTCTTCCTATTCCAAGACCTCAGACAGACTCCAAAGGACCGAAGAAAACATGCTGCCCGACGCCATTCATCTGAGCGGCTTTGATGTGTCCAAGTTGACAGCCCCATTTGTTTGCTCCTCCACCCTCCTCCTCCAAGACAAGTGCCTTCTTTTCCACCTTATAGCCACAGGAGGCAAACTCAGTTTCCTTTCTGAAGGGCAAAAGAAAGACGGCAAGTGGGCCTGAAGAGTCGAGAGGAGAAGTCGAAGAGTTGTCTCTTGGCCGAACGTGTTCGTGGAGATCGGCGACACGGAGGCGGAGATTCGCGGTGCGACTGGCGGCCTCAAAGCGTTGAGAAACGTTGATGGCCTGGATATAGACAGCCTGGGCATCGGAGAGGAAAGATGCGGTAAGCTTAGCTTTGTAGATCCCTTCCTTAGTCCCATGGTACACGATGGCGCCAGGACAGACGTCGGAGGGCAACATGGCATTCATGACTTTGGCACCGGTTGGGTTTTCGAATCGCAAGTCAAACTGTCCATTATAGCCGAGAGCGGCAAAGAGCTTGAGCTCTGGCTCAAGTTCAGGCCAGAACCTGTCTGGCCCATCGACCTTGGCAGCGCGCATGATCTCGGCAGCAGCTTCCTGCAACTGAAACTGGGTTTGAGACATGGTAGAGATGGGCAGCTTCATATGGTTAGACGAAGTCAAGACACAAGCCAAAATGATCACTTACGCGGGCTTTTTTGAGAGAGTGTTGATGTGATGAGATCAGAGAAAAAGAACTGGGCCGGGCTGAAGAAGGGATGCCACTCAGGCGAGTGAGAACAAACGCCCGACGGTGGGGCACGTGAATCACTGCAGATCGGCTGCCACCTGCTCAGCACCATCACATCTCCATGGCTGATGAGATTGAAAACATGGAATTGAGGACACAGCAGTTTTGTCTTATACACGCATGAGCCCGACTCACCACTGTGTCCACATTTAAGTAATCACCAAAGTGCCTCACGTTTAGGGCAAAATCTGAGGTTTAATCATCAAGGATAAGCCACAAAGCGATCAGTTTAGTATCTGAAAACTGCAGTCACAGCGTTCGATAAGCGCAATACAACTCGAGCTACCACCGTGATGCTGTGGACCTGGAACGCAGATCACTCCATTCCGCGTTCCAGAATCCAGCAGGCACCGGTACCTTCACCACCATCAACGACCTCCTCAAACATCAGCGCCTTGGTATTGTTTTCCCCAAGGATATCATCATCCCAGGAGAACAAAATGTTCACCTTTTCCTTCTCATCCGCACACGTAACAATCTGGATACCCTCCCCATGCCGAACATTAATCTCACTCTTCTCAACAAAGCTCAGCTTCAGTTCAACTCTGCGATACCCATCAGGCAACTTGCATTCCATGCGGCCCTTGTTGGTGATGCGGAGAGGCATACTGCCAATCTTGGTTTGGCTGCGGTGTAAAAGCCCTGAGCCTTCGATGGCAGGTCGTTCGCCGGCGTCGTCGCCCTGGTAGATGATGGCGTTCTCGGCGAGGTTGGAGGGGGCGACCATGTTGCCCGTCTCGCCCGAGGGGCTCTCGAAACGGAGGCCGCAGAGCACTCCGCCGACGGTGATGCCGATGGCCTTGAGCTCGGGGACTTTCTTGAGGGTGCTGGCGTCGCCGGGAAGCATGAGGCCGTTCTGATTGAAGATGATGGGGCGGCGCATTTGGCGGAGCATGTCTTCGATGGTGAAGTTGCCGGGTGTGACGTTGATGTAGTCTCTGTTGCTCATGGTTGCGGGTGAATGTATCTGCACTGAGAATGAGAAAGGTTGAGGTAGCGGGATTGAAGAATAAGGGTTGACTTGCGATCAGCTGTGATATAGAAAGTAAAAAAGTAGAACGGAGGAGATGAAGATGGAGTGCTGGATAACGGGCATCAGAAGGGATATTATACTCACGGCTCATTGTACCTACGCGGTACGGACTCAAGTAAACCTGAGAGCCTGAACCCTCAAGAACGAAAAGACATGGGCAAAACTCTCCAAATTTCAGGGCACTCTTCGGTGACATTTTTTTCGTCCCCTCTGTCTAGATCCGAAATTTTTGCTGCTTCTCGAGCGCACGCAAGACAAGGTGGGACTGTGGCGGCGTATGAAACAAGATGGCGGACGTTGCGTTACCTGAAAAACAGGTTGGCACTACATAAAAAGGCAGCACAGTGGGGGAAACGACTGTGAGATGCAAACGTGGTCGGTAAAGTTAAGTGCTAGCGAGATTTAACTCTAACGGGCTGTACATCCGACGTTTGGGTCAGACGTTACCAAAAGGCAACCGTTGCACCGCCCTCCCGGCATGCCTGAGCTCAGCCTAAGGTGGCTGCTTTGCGGAGATTCTGTGACTTCATTTGCTTTTGTTTGTAGAAAGTCTCTATTGAGTTACCCATAGAGTGCCGAAAAACACTGAGTTGTAGGAATCGACGACGTCACTGAGATGATGATTTACCAGGGGGTGGGGAGTTTGAAGCCTCCCACTGTGAGCGAACAACCCGAGGGTGAACAATTTGGCTGGTAATCACAGTGTTTGCTTGGAAGCAGTGCCTAAAAACTCGGTTTGTAGGATAAACCAGCGGAGTTAAGTCCAAACAGAGCGCAGACCCAGGCCATCTTCCAAATTTCCTCCTGCAGCAATCCGCTCTGTGTAACCACACCACGGCCTTGGAGTACCCACCACTTCGATGGAAAACAGAGATCTCATGCTCAAACAAGCCGTAGACATCAATTAAAACATTTCGCGCTGCCATGGCGCAGAAACACTACCTCGAGTGCTCACCGCGCAGACGCCCCTTCGAAGCAAGCACCGGTCAGCGCTACACTGGCCAAGTCCCTACCGCTGAGGATCTCGAGCAGCCAGGTGTTCGCCGTCGCCACATCACGGATTACATCGCGTTCATACGACCTGAGATCAGCCACATCATCACCGAGTATGGCAGAGCGGCTATCAAGAGGGTGTGCCAGGAGCTTTACGCGACTGGTGTGCGAGCGACGCCGTCGCCTTGGTTTGGGCTGATGTGCGAGCGCATCATGTGGAAAATGTGCTGTGAGTTTTATCACCCTTTGTTTTGCTCGGGAACCGCGCTGACTGGCTGAACTTAGTTGATCCGCTTGGCGATGATGCTCCGGAGTGGCCTTGGGCGCATGTCAAGTACCCTTCTGTGCTTGCGCCAGGCGAAGAACCGAGCGGAATTTATGGGCGATACTGCCAGGAACGAATGGTGCAAGATGAGGGCATCGCACGAATGAATGCACAACTCAAAGCGCAAGCCGACGCAGCCGCTACAGCCCGCGCCGCTGATCCCAACAGCAAATTTATCGTCACTTCACCAGCTCCCCTCCAAAACATTGGCGAACCGCTTATCGTTGATACCGACTTTAACATACGAAACGCTCTCTGGAATCTCACTATCAGCAAGCCATTCAACGAATGCAACGCGGCCGGTCCCTTCGAAGTTGAACTGAGAGTCCCGCTGGAGTGGTACGTCTCCAAAGACCTGGCGGCCATCAACGAGCTTCTTCCGCCTTGTATCGCTGTCAAGATGAACGCTACGAAGAAGAGGGTCTTTGTGACTATTGTGGAATCTGGGCAAGTCAACCCCGCAGTCCCTGTACGAGATATTCTGCTTGAAGTTTGGGAGGTTGTACAATCGTGGGCGGTTATGGTCAATGGATGGGGAGAGGGTCAGATGAGTAGTCTGCTTCAGTACTTCCTGGGAGTCAAGCAGCGTGGTGGACTTGTGTGGAACAAGTCGGCTCCCTTACCAGTTCAGCATTAAAGAGAGATACTGTGACTAGAAGTACATTTCACCAAGCCTATACTGTAGTATCAAGAATGAGAGCGCTCATGGATTATGATCCTGTATCTTCAAGTGCTCATCTGAACTACCTGTTTGAATCTTTTGAGTAGTTTTAGGTAATTTGGGTAAGTTTTACGTACTTTGACTAATTCTGAGGAACTTTGAGGAACTTTGAACACTTTTGGTTAATACCTACAGGTAGATCTGACAGCTGCTGCTCGCTCTTTCTCGTACTGTTTCAATGGGGCAACCGTAACCTGGACCGGCCCCTTACCATGGATTGCTTACCCGACCTTCCTTGCCTCTGCATTCACCACCAAACACTGAACAAGACCTTTCCATTCCATCATTCATTCTTCTCGACTTCTGAACTTATCAACCACATGCCCCCAGACTCCTTTCAGCGACGACCCGAGAACATTCCAACACTGGCGCCATGTCTTCCCCCTTCCGACAGTGGTCACTGAAGAATCTGGAGTCCATTCAGGAATGGATTACTCCAGAGGCACAAGGCAGCAAGTACCGCCAAGATATCGAATTCGCCCACGTTGAGATAGACATCGATCAACCATCTGACCAGTCCATCTGGGAAACCATCCTCGATTCGGCGTGCCGAGACAGTGATACCCGCACGCGTGTCTGGGTCGTCGGACCAGATACACAGACCGATATCGCTACACTAGCATGGCATCAAGTCAACTCACGCAAGGAGGGCACTCACAAACATATCAACACGGCCACATACCAAGAGTTCTCCGCATTCCTCCATGACAGCCGTAATTCTCAAGGCCTCGGATTCTATGGTTCGGGCGAGATTCGGGGCTGGACATTCGAAGATGATACACTACAGACAGTGATCATCTACATCGATCCCCTTATGAGCGCAGAATGCGCCCTGGCAATGCTGGGTACCGTGCACTGGGCGACTGTCATCAGTGACGCCGTTCCCGTCCGAATCCTCAGCATCTCCAACGCACCTCACCCAGAATCACTCAGCCGGCTTGTAGATCACTACGGCCATTCGGATATCACAGCCTTCAAGAGCGAGACCCCGGAGACGACATGGGAGCAAGACCCAGCCACTGTCATGATCTATGTCCCATTCTAGACAGATGAGAACATGATCAAGACCATAGAGCACGATCTTGAGAAGGAGGAGGAAACGGAGCGACAGATCATTGTCTGTTACTCTCCTTGGGACTGGACTCGAAACCTACCCAGAAAGAGCAACCAGGAATTTATCTTAAAAACGGCTCAAGACGACTCGGTCGAGGATCGATTGAAGCACTTCGACAGGGTGCCAGCCAGAGACATTCTGAACAACGAGCCGAAGCAAGTACAACTCGAGAAGAAAGACTACGATGTGGTCGCCAAGGACGAAGCTTGCATAATGCTTCACCTTCCCCCGGGCTACCGACATCCCTCCCCTTTGGCCGGATTCGAAGTAATTCATCTTTGCCTCAGTACACTTCGCGAGCAGACCATTTTCGATCCATATACAGAGCAAATGGCACGACTGCATCTCCTGACGTCGGAAGAAGAGCGGCGAGAGCAGGTTGCGATGACCTACCGCACAAGCCGCGCTCGTCGTCCACGAGTCATGCTTTACTGCGATCAGGGAACCATCGATGACTTTGTGGAGTTCGGGGCCTCCAAGAGGCGGCTTAGAATCTGCAATGATCATACCCCCGGCTTTATTCTGGCTCTTGTCTGCCTTAAGGACTGGGAACTTGACATGGAAAAAATACTTTCGTGTTTCTTTTCAAAAGACCAACAACAGTCCATCCTGACTCTTTTCCGGTGTAGGCTAGGTACGCAACGTATCATACGCGAGGCTATCTCTGAGGTAGAAGAGAGACTATTCAACTTCCTTGGAACGAGATTCCATGGAAAAGAATCTCTTCTCCTGAAGCTCCTGCCCATCGTTGACTTCGATTACCGACTTGCTGTCTTCATCGCCCACCCAACGCAATCTGCAAAGGTCTTCAAAGTCAAGCTGCAATTGGCCGCCATCCTGGTCACCGGGATTGAAAAGCTATTCACGTTTGCTCGTCGAGGAAGCATGCCATATGAGGAGTATAAAAAATCACTTATTCTCGCTTGTCAAGGCTGGACCTCTCTGCTTGCTCGCAAGGGCGGCAGTATGTGGCTCGCTGTGGGCTTATGGAAAAGTGGCGCCGCAGACGTGAAGGACCGTGATGTTGCTGAGTTGAGCGACGTCAAAATACATGGCGCTCCGGTCACGATGAACATGGCCGCGTTTCATGCTGTGCAGCGGACACTCAATTCATTGACGAACGCCTGTGCCCTATCATACATCCCCGTCCTTCCTGACTCACTGCCTGAGAATGACGTACTCAGTAACTCAGAGTCCGAACAGATCCAGGAACATCTAGCTTGGGCCTACCTCTGGCAAGTAGTGCAAACCGAGAGACTCCCTGACGGCAAGATAGTTCACCGACTACTCAACGGGACCCACGACAACTACAACCTCACCTTACCAGCTTGGGTTTTCGATGAAAGCGATGTAGACTGTTTGCTTGATGGCGATGTTCCTTACTACGACGACGGATCGCACGACAACAGCATCTTTGGTATCTTTCACGGAATGTCACGGGAGTTTGGAATTTCGAACTTTTATTTGGACGACTGGACCTACATTTCAGGTGACATTTTTCGCAATGCTCATCTCGACAGCGACTTTTGGGACCTCAAGGACGGTTCGAGCTTCTGTCCTCGCGACCCTGAAGAAAAAGAAGCCCTTTCAGGGTTTCCTGAGTATACTGAAAGCCCGGAAGGAGATTGGTTGTAGGGGTGAACTGAGATGTACTTAGTAGTAGTTTGTTGAACCCGAATTCTTCTGTGGTATCACTACCGCCAGTTTTCTATCGTATCAGCGAATACTACGTTACTTTAACACGGCGTCAAAATAAAAATCGGAGTATCGCGAACTCCTTGTTTATTGAGTGAAGCCAACTCTGTCAAGACCTCGTTGATAGAGCGATAAACTGCCGCGAAGTGCTTTTGTGAACTGAGTAGTCCAAGGAAATCCGTTGGGAGGTTTGTGGCCGCTGGCGACAGCAACGCGGACGACGTCGACCCAGTCTTGTGTCGGCTGAAAAGATGGCGTGTTGGCGCGCATTTGGATGACTTCCAGCTGCATGGCTAGATCGTGCTTTGTTTCCGGACAATTGGCGAGGCTGTGTTCTAGGGTGTTGCACCATGGGCAGCCTTTTATCAACCCGTCCAGGAGGCCTGCTTTCATGCAGATGTTGAGGCGGTGAGATGGTGAGCCGCAACCAGCATATTTCGAGACCTTGGTACCAGGAAGACACAGAGGGGCGGTATCTGCAGTAGATGCTGTGGCGGATGTGTCTGAAGCACGGTTGAGTCGTTGTTCTTTTGGTGCGCTCGTTGGGGGAACAGGGGCATCCGTCTCCAGTTTCAGAGTCGCCGCATCGTCCTCATCCTCTGAATAATGAGGGTTCACCGCTTCATAGACGTTAGGAAAGCTACATAGAGCGCGCTTGGTAGTGACTTACTTGGCTTGCGAGTACTTAGCTTGTTAATGCGCATGGGCCTCAAACGCAGGCTGTCTCTGAACCGAGGCTTGCGGACACCATCGGTGGCTGCTTCCAGCTGCGCCTCGCCACTCTTCCGCTTGCGCGACTTTTCCTCTTGTATTGCCATCTTGTCAAACGATGGCGTGGGGTGTTGATGTTTGGCGTTTGTTGTTCTGTGCTGGCACGACCAAAACAGAGGTGCATGAGAAGAGACCCACATATGCCTGTCAATCGTCACCTCACCGATTCACGGATCTGGCCCTGAGCAAGCCTGTCGCCGCAGAATCGAGGCCCTCAACAAACAAGCCAACATGTGAATATATTAGATCCGCAGAATTTTACCCTTGCGGAATCATTTGGACTAAATAAATGATCACAATAATGTGCATGAAATTTCTTCATTTCATTGGTCTATCACTGATGCTTGGAGAACCAACTTTGACGGCGTGCGCCCGAACCTTCATCGAAGTGCGTCATCAGTAGAGCGGGTGTATCCAGGACAAGACAATATCAACGAGGGGTTTCTAGACACAGAATATCACTTCTCCCCGTTTCATGCTTTGGTTCATGACCTCTTGAACTTCACGAGTTGCATGAACAACTTGGGATTGGATAGAGAGTCCAAGTAGGTCAACCCATAACTAGCTGACCCGGCACTAACACTCTCTCAACCATTCTTGTGCATATATCTACGCTTGCACACGAACTCCGTCTTGGTCCCATCATGAGCGAGCCCAGGTACCATACGAGCAAAAAGCTTCTTGTATGTGCTCTCCAACAAGACTGGCCTCTCGGGATGTGCCTTGATCTCAAGTTCAGCATTTTCCACTGGGCACCGTTTTAGCATCTGCATTTGGTGTCCCCTTTGACTATAAGGTAGTCTTTTGTAGTCTATCTAGCCATGGGCGAAAGCTCACTCATAAACGTTCCACTTACCATCAGCATTCTCCTTCATGTTATGGTTTCAGTGCGTGTGGTTGAGAGTTAAGGGCCTGATCGTGTATCACTAGAAGACAAAGGGAACTGGACCGAATCATGTCAAAGTTCGAACGGCTTCAGTTCAACGTCTTTTCGACACTTATCAAAAGCTTCTCGTGGCGCGGAAGGATGGAGATATGTCATGCACACGAAAACCGATACGAAAGAGTCAAGTGTGAGGGGTCGAGTTTGGCAAGTAGACATGAGAAAAAGTTTTGTTTATTAAGTTTCGGGGAATTTTCTAACAATTCCTCTTGACTAGCAGCGGCATGTCGGCACTTGAATCAAGTGTGAAGCATGTTGATTGGGCGGTCATCTTAATCCTGTCTAAGAATAGCCACCACTGATGCCTCAACAGAGATCTAAATGACTCCCTAACTAACATTATCAAGGCGTTGATCGGCGCTAGCTAACATGCGTGCCCCGTCTTAGCGCCATAGCCTCATTGTCTCAGTTCAGGTTGCGCATAATATCTGATATCTCCTCATCGTCGTAACGTCGTGAGAGCCGCGTTTCATCATTCTTACTCTCCACTGCTCCAGTACCAGTGAGCTAGCACTGCCTTCATCTTGATTCGACTCAGCCATGGCGTAGATCATCAATGCGTAAGCAAGTGCGACAAGATCTGCTGTCATCCCAGCCCCTATTTATTTAAGCTTTCGGTTTCGGTCTCGGTAACGGTTTCCAGTGCCAGTCTAAATTTAGCGCCTCTTGACATCCCTCAAGTATAACCCATATTTTTCCTTTCCAAGATCTTTCTCTTTCTTTGATATAGGCTCAAACCGACCTGCATATTCATCAGTTCATTTTGCTCAAGTCACTTGATATGGCGGCCTTTACACTTCCGGATCCTCCGTCGGCGAACAAGACCAATCTCGCCATTGCAGAGCTCGTCCTTTACATAATTCTTTTCATTCCGGTGGTACCGCTCGTCTGGAAACATGGCAAGGCTGGCATGACCTGCTGGCCAATCTTCTTATCCTACTTTCCGCTTAGGTTCGTCGCGGATGGATACCAGATTGCCAAGCGCAATGATCCCGAGATTCCCAATGCGGTCATTATCATGACCACTGCAGGAAGCATTGCCTGTCTGTCGCTAACTATAATCGGGTTGATCTATGAAGTGTAAGCCGGACTGTTATCAGACCACTAGACATTTAACTAATCAATGGCGGCTATCAGAAACGTCATACTTCCACTGCCTCCAAAAAGATGGACCGAACGAATCCTCCTCGCTGTTACTCATATCTCCATTACCGCTGGTATCACGCTGTCAACTTATGGAGGAGCACCCAAGTTCGGAGCCCCCGGTGGTGTCCTTTCGCAACATCTCAACCAGATCGGCACCTGCATGATGTTGTTCGTTATGATATTCGGTGTAGGATGGTGGCTCTGGTGGACAGGAAAACGGGTCACAGCCATGAAGTCTCACCCAAACTTCATACCCGCGAGATTCCTGCTTCTCACAGCATGCGCGGCGTTTCCGTTCCAGCTAGTCCGACTTGGCTACACGTTGACCTACTCCTTCACCCCGTACTCGAGTCTAGATCCCGTTTCTGGAACGTTTGCTACTAGGCTAGTGCTTATGTTTGGTATGCAAATGATTGTAGCTGTAATTGTTACTGTGGGAGGCTGGCGGAGCACTGGTGCTGTACCAAATTCGGCACAGAGCGGCGGGCGTCAGGGCTTTGGAAGTGTCGCGAATCCATGGGTATGATGTGATAGGTCTTGATTTTTACGCTTATTATTTGAGTTCTCTGTATGGAGTATCTGGGATACTCCATGGTATGTACTCGAGTTGTTGATGAATCAATCTCATGTCTTGCGAATACGGGACTTACTATCCGACATTGAGCTCCTTCCATCCTTTCAAGTCGACTTCATCAGTCTCAATTAAAAATTGCTATTGGAAGATGCTATCTATAACGACTTGTGCCAGGTTCCAGAGTGCTGATCATTAAAGAGCTTCCATTAGTGGTAATACTGGGACCTCTATCACCACCAACTACGAATATGGCCAAGAGGGCTCAAATATGGAGTCGAAAGCGCTGTTCGAATTTCGGCAGTCTCTATTAGCTTTTCTAAGCATGTCAGAAGTGCTGGAAAGTGATGATACAGGGGGACTTGGCGTGGTGGAAAATCGACACATTAAGACCTTCCAGAGAGTAGTAATGTTGACGTATGGCGTTTAGCGAGAGCCTGAGGTAAGTAAAACTAGGTAGGATTTAATCCATCAAGCTATCAGTTTGCAAGTATAGCACTGTATGTAATAAAACAAGACGTTGGGAACTGCGCGCAGCCACGAGCTTAACAGTCTATAGAACAGCCAAGACTCAAGTCGCAAGCCGCGTACCATGTTTGTAATTCAGACTCAAGGCTGTAAGCCTAAATCAGCACAAAGAATCTAGAGAAACATGGAAGCTTTACTGTAACAAGTTTGGTCATTCCATGTACGGAAAGGAATTGTTTCTGACTCGCCTTGCAGGTCAAGGGAATCTGAGCCTTGAGAGTTAAACTTTTCGCAGCCAAGTCCGGTATGGTGTAGTGGCTAACATTTCGCGCTCTCACAACCTGAGAGATCAGTTCCGCGGAGCCCAGGGTTCGATTCCCTGTACCGGAGTTCCCTTTTGGGCGACATGCCTGATTAACCTTTTGACAATTCTGTAAAAAACCTATACGGGAATTGTTTTTGCCTCTTGCTTGTGCTTCTTGTATATCTGTTATAGTTATACTATGTAAAATAAGCTACCTAGGTATAAAAAGTAATAACGACACTGAGACAGGTCGACTTGGTTAAATGTCGCACTCACCTATAGCTCAGAAATGCACCAAACTTTCTCTCTTCAATCCTTTAATGCCTACTACCGACTCGTATCCCAATTTCCAGTCCAGTGAGTTATCCACTCCTCTCCCTTTGGCTCGGCTATAACAACTCGATAGAATTCCTCAAGTGTGTAACGTTCAAACTCCTCTGCCGTGAGACTCTGCAACTTGGCGAAGTGAGGATATCCGCCCATGAGAAGATGAATGACATAGCAGTGTTCTTGAATCCCATCCCTTTGTAGGAATTCCTTTACTCGTAGAGCTGACATGTCCTGTGTCCAAGTTCCAGGCCTCTCGACGGGTTTTGGCTGCCGGGATCGAAGAGAGTCACCAAGTCGGGTTATCCGACCTCGATATCTTTTGAGCATAGTACACATGAAGGTCCAGGGATATTTCTCAACTGGAGCCCGAGGGTGATAAAGAAATGGTCTTGTAAAACTTTCCTTTGCATGATTCAAAGTGCTGAAAAGGAATTCGGTTCGATAGTAAAATATATTGCAATAACAATCAAGTCTCAGAAAGTCCTCGATAAATGTGAACTTGGTTTCCCACGGGGCGTCTTCCAGCAAAAGCTTGCTGCGAGCCTGCTGCAGATGGGTGTCAAAGGCACGACAAAGCTCCGGTACTAGATTCTGAGCCATATCTAGAACTACGAGAGCCGGGTAGTTTTCAGTGGGTTGCTTGGGATATTCCTGTGATATGACGGAGTCCAGTGCAGGTTTGAGCTTTTCTTCCAGTTCTGAGACTGTCAAGTCCTTGTATTCGGCGCGAATAGCGCGGAGGTCCATGGTGATTGCAGCAAAAGGCAGAAGAGATTTGTCTACATAGAACTTGAGCAGGTCTTGCACATGATGCCCCAAAAGAGAGGACCGGTGTCTTTGGAAGACTGACAGTAGAGCAGGTGAGGCGGAGATAAGATGTCGCAAGTCCTGGAGGGGGGTTCGGTCGAGTATTTCGATTCTTAGGTTCGGGGCGAGGGCCGAGAAGAAATCGGCGCAGCCTTGATGCTGCAAAGTTTGTAGGGAGGTCATTTTTAGTGTGGAGGAGTAGAGTATGCCAAGGGAACTTGTGGATTCCATTTGTTTAAATATGTCTCATTTCTAGCAGATGATTAACTCATACTCGGCCCGATGACCGTATAACTCTTAGGGGGCGCTATAGAGTTTGGTCTCCTTGCATGCTATTGCTGCAATTCGAAATGCATGAAACTCTAAACAGCCAGTTTGTTACACCATTGGCGCTTGGGTCAAGATTGCCCTCAGATTGTCGAATGTCCTAGAAGTTGGTAAGACCTGGCGCATGATCTAATCGGCCTTTATTAGTATTGTGTTCAAGTGGTATGACTCCATGAGTGTTTCTCTAGCCTTTCACGCTGAAAGCAGTTTCTCTTCATCACTTTTTGGTACTATCATAACCATTGCAAGTCTCAGAACCCGTGCGTATCTATGTTTTGTCGGTATATGGACCTGCCAAAAGATGTTTCACGATCTCACGAAGATTGGCCACGTCCAAAAGGTGGTGACAATGGCAGCTGTTTATTTCTACAGCTCTAAAATACTTTTAATCATTGCGAAACCTATTACAACTCTGCTAATCTGTCGACTGTGCTGATGCCAAAGTTCAGGGCCACATATTATCCCCAGCCAAGGTTCCCAATCTCGCAGCCAAGCAGCCATTCTCGGATCAAACCATATACAGAAACAGCTATAGCCATTTACCCCGTACTACCATCCTACTCTTGACTTCAATTCCTCCAGAGAGTGAAATGTCGTTGAAGGTTATTGTAGTGGCTCTTGTCGGCTGCCCATGCTCCAGGAGCTTCCAGGTTTGATAAAACGAGTTCCTCGAATTCCTCCTCCACGGTACTCACAAGAGTCTCATGGGAAAGCTGTTCCCAGAAAGCAAGTTTGGGATAGCCTTGGAGCATGAGGCGATGCACAAAATACCCATGCTCTATCCTAGTACGGTTCCGAAAGTCAATTCTGGCCATTGCTGCAAGGACATCTTTCCATGCCCCCTTTGACCATACAATCTTTCGAGAGCCACGTATGGTCCACTCAACATCGGTCATGAGATCCTCATATCGGTGACGGAGTCTTCCTAGGATCATATATGGATACCTCCACAGAATCTTGTCATCGAATTTAGGAAACTCGGGAAATGAATTCAAGAAGGTATCCTTGATTCCAGCACGTTCCATAAAAAGGTCCTGACCATTGCGATGGAATATGTTCCGGTAGCAATCAAATCTTAGGAAACCGTCGCTGAATGCTCTCCTTATACCCAGGGGGGCCTTGTCCGGCCAGATCGAGCCCGGGCTCCGATATTGAAATTCGGCTTCTTCGTCCTCCAACGGGCCCGGTGTCATGAAAGCCCCGGTGATCTCGGGAAGGAGTTCTTGGGCTGCCGTGACCATGCCGAGGTTAATGATGCCCGTTCCCTCTGTCGTTTTGGCGTTCAACCGCAATATGGAGTCCAGAACAGGCCCGACCTCCTTTTCCAGGACCCAGACAGTATCTCCGTCGTGCTTAGAATGCAGTTCACGGAGATGCATAGCTGCTGCTGCTAGCTGAAACGATGAGACGTCACCATAGCTAAGCTGAAGTTCATGTAGGTGTGGCCTGAGAATATATTCGCGATTGCTTTGGAAGATCTTGAACAGCATAGGCGAAGACGCGATGGCAGACTTCACGTCGCGAAGGGAAGCGTGAAGGGAAAGGTATTCTAGCACCTGAAAGTTGATCTTGGGCTGGAGAGCAGAGAAAGGATCCGACCATGGTCGATGGCGTGAGGCCTGTGAAGAAGCCATGTTGCAATGACAGTTGACCGCGTAAGTAGTTTGGATGTTCGGTATGATCGATGAAGAAGACAAAACGGCATCAGAGGAAAGGACGGATCTTGTTATATTTATACTCGAGGAGAGATAATTTTGTGACGCGCGGTGGGATTTGTGGGAAGCTTGATTATTGAGTAAATGTTAAAACGCAACATACGACGAGGTTGATTGCTGGCGATACATTTAGACTTTAGGTTTCCAACACAGACAATCAGGATATCATCTCAACAATTGGACAGTGTTAGAAACTTGAGTTTATTTGTACACTTGATTTGCCTTACAAGTGACTTTAAAGTCTGGGCGGCCTCGGTGTTGAAATTGGTCTCCATAGGCTGATTTCCAGTGATTGAAGACTCAGTCTTGGTACAAAGGCGCTCCAGAGCACTTACCCTACGGTACGAAGCGCGAGCGCTATGAAGCCGCGGTCATTGGTCAATCAATACCGACAGTCTGGTTCGCGCTAAAAGCTCGTACCAATCAAGAGCAACATTAGTATGGGACTTCGTCTAAATTGGTAATTAGTGCGACCATTTGGATTTAGGCGGCCTGTCGAGGGAGAGACATTAAGTCACGCAATCGACCTGCCATTAGCTGCCCAAGCGTCGCGAGCCAGTGGCTGGACAAATTACAGTGTCAAGGGCTGCAAGGTCCGAACTGCTGACGGTGCAGCTGAACAAAGAGACTCGTTTAGATACCATACGATGATCGCCAATTCTTCTCTGTGAACGCAGATGCACTCTTTCAAACCCCCAGAAAACTGAGTTTGGTAGCGGCGTGATATCACCAAACCCTTGCATAGTGGAGTCGTGACGACCAATAGTCAGCTGTAATATCACACCGGAACCGCCGTCCGTCTTCACCCTTGTCGACACCCCCAAGGTTAACTACTCTGTAGGCAATGGTCTGTCACATGAGCACCTTGTCCTGTGTGTCATACAGGCAATGGCCATTCGTCCCTTTCCTAAAAGTAGCAGTTTCTTGACAGGATTAGAAAAGGAAAATAGCGCAACGCATTCAAGTGGGACTTCGCAGCCCTTTCTCCAAGTGCGCAATGTCTGTTGCATCGGTTTGTAGTCCTTTCGATGCACATAAATGGGCCTGACCCATGTCTCAAGGAGTACTACTGTTGGTTTGCTGGTCGGGCTACCAATCAATCCGGTCGGGGATGGTGGTATAAGGCAGCCACACCACGGTCCTAGTACAACAGGGATATTCATAGAGAGCCAATATTAATAACCAGCATAGCCTCACAGTTATTTCATTACCCCTCTTTGTCAATTTTCCTTCTTTCCCTGCCCAGAAGACCCAGAAATCAGCATGAGTGCAGTTGTTGATGCAGCGGTTACTAAATCGGAGGCTCTCAAGGCATATTTTATGCAATGGGCCATTGACATCAGTAAAGTCAAGAGTCCTGAGGAGGAATACAAACAAAAACGTCAAATGTTGCGGCATAAATTCGACAATGAGCTTCACCAACTGCTGCAGCTCTCGTCTGATCAGAATGAGTACACGAAGAGATCGGAGGCGATGCTGCAACATGCCGGTGAGCTTAAAGAACTAGAGATCCAGTTTAAGAAGTCAATCGCTCTAGATGAACAGAAGTTTGGAGAACGACTGGAGGCAGCACACAGGAGGCTGGCTTGTGGTCTGTTCCGGGCATTGGGGGATACTCTATGGGATCATTCGGTTTCAACTGCACTAAACGAGTGTTTAAAACCTCAAAGACCAAAGGTAGACGCTGTTAGTGCAAAGGAATACAGCGGGGTGCTTGACACGCGAAATGGTGCGGACGCAATTCCTGACACGACAATCGACCTGGAAAGGGACAACCAGGGCTTGCGCCACGTTGAAGACAGGCTGAGGCCACGGGATCAAATTACTGCATACTATCAATCTTCCACAGAGATGGTAGACTCTGCCTTCACTGGGTCGCTGGAACAACAACAATCCTCAGCTCTCCAGGTACCTCTTGGCCAGGAAGCAGAGTCAGGAGCACAGATAATCCCAGCCACAGAAGAAGCAGAGGTAAATAAGTCCCAGACGACTCGGACTCCAGGCCCAGCTCCAACTCCAGATGCGAGCCGTTCGTCAGATTCTAACAGTCGCTTAGCCGAGAACTCGAATCTCACAACCATGCCAATCTCGCCGATGAGCTTGAAACAAACTGGGGGAGCAACCCACCGAGATACAGGGCAGACATCAAATGGGGCGGCTCAACCAGCGCTTTCTATTACACTGGCACATACTCAGAACAATACATCACCTGGTCAACTGCCAGCGGACACTCTTGTCGCCCACCTTCGCGCCCCGCTAAAAAGGGTCTTAGCAGAAGCATCCGATCAACAACAGAAACGGAAAAGGCTACACATCAACTCCCCCGATCCACCCGAGGAACGTGTCATCGAATTTGACCAAGTCTTCCAGAACGGAGACGCTCAAACAAAGTACATTATTGTTCAGCATCCCCCAGACTTCGGACATTGGTACATCCTAGAGTGCAAGGAACACGGCAAACACTTTCACAAGGACCCAATCAGAAGTGCCTCTCGGCATCTAATAGGCCAAGACCATGGGCTGAACGGAGACCACTCCTTTGCAGTCAAGATGCTTGGAACGCGTGTTCTGCATTGCAATGATTTACTGGCCGCGATGAACAACCGAATAGCAAGGCAGTCTTTTCCGGAGGCCGTAAATGTTATACCTCAGCGGGTAACTCGAGGAAAGCGGATGTTGCCCCAAGACTATCAAGCTCAGGGCTGTGAAGTCATCCCTGTTGCTGGCGAGATATACTCTTCAAAGTCGGCCTCACAGGGCAATATGTATCCAGTTCTTGTCCTCCCATGGAAAGCCTTTCATCATTTTCCACAGACGAAACAGCTACTAAATAGCACTCCTTCATGCTATGTCTTTGATAAGAAGGTTGATCAGTATCCTCGAGGCTGGGCCGAGGGTTACGAAGACGGCGGTGTTATGCTCCAAAACAGGTCTTATCCTGTCGTTTCCTTTGACAAGGAAGACTTCCCGGACCAATGTACTTTTGGATGGGCTCCTCTGACAAGCTTCAAAGTTTACGATCCTGATCATACTAGTGTTGTTCAGTCCGGGATTGTCAACCGATATCTCCGGAGGAAAGACCCTCGATTGGCTGTCGACTATCGTTACTCGACAGATCAAAGTAACGTCATACCGGATAGGACTGATGGGGAGAATATACACATGGGCGACTGTATGGAATAAAGAAACGACAACACACCTGGTAATCCGTCCCGCAACGAGAAACATTTGCGTTCTAAAGTTAGTATTTGCGGCGAAGAATACCATTGCAGAGTCAGCACGGACAATATAAGGGATGATACAGTCGAACAGAGGACAAAAATGCAAATAGGGAACCGGAATGTCGACCGAAGAAGTTCCAACACCTCTGCTTCACAATGGGATGCCACAGAGTCGTCCCGTTACCAAGTACAAACCCAAAAGCCTAGGACCGCTCTGGGCTCGATAGCACGACTCGAGTATCCCTTTGTCAGTGGCGGATCAGAAGGCGTGGCAGAATCAGTGCCTGGATTAATGACCACTGCAACTGCTTCGATTACAAAACAACCGATTGTCAATGTCGTGGAGCTGGGAGAGATACATGTCGAGAGTGCTTGTAACAGGCCAGTACAAAACTAGAAGCTACATAGAGTTGCTAATATCTATTGAAATATTCCCTGAATTCTTTCCTCAGCCATTGCTTTGTCTAATATACGGCGTTTACTTGCTATTCATACCGCTTCAAATACTGCATTAATGTCGCCCACGAAGCTGCTGATAAGTCACCACCAAGCCACAAATTCCCATCCCCATCCCGTCCCATATTAATCCCAACTGACACAGGAAATATAATAGGCGTAAGCTTTCCCATATGATAATAATTCGGCCTCGCAGGTGCCCCCCTCCCCCCTACAACTGCAGGTCCAAAATCAGTCTTATCCAAGAACCCCGACTTAGCCCAGTTAGACGACATAATCATTGTACTTGTCGTATCACCCACGATAGGCGGGTTTCCACCTTCAATCATGGACACGTAAGCTGCCTTGGCTGCAGCCTTGATTTGTCCTTCGGTCAAGTACTCGACGACGGCTTGGCGGGAAAGCATCGCAACTTTTCCGAGGGGAAGATCCTGGGCATCTCTAACGGGACAGTAGAAAAATGCTCCACAGGGCGCGTTTTGGACGTATACTGAATCAGGAAGGAAAATGTTTTTGAGGCGATCGCGGGGGTTGACGGCGATGAGGGTGACGATGGCTCGACCTCTGCCCATACTCTGAGCAACAGAGCGGTTGAATAGGGCCAGGATGACATCATTCTCCGAAACAAATGGTTTGCTGCCGTCGGTAGTTTTCTCAAGCGAAATTTCACTCCTGGCTTCGGCTACTATGGCATTGATAGCCTTGCCTGGCACACGCAGCATTCGACTCTCAAGAGGATACATCCACCCGTCATAAGCCGCCCTCAGAGCCCAGACCGCAAGCCTCCAACCCGAAAGAAGAGAACCGTCGGTTTTTGACTTCTCCGTGGTTTCAGCTCGGTACAGGCCAGCCATAACATCATCTTTGTATCCTGAGAATTTGGCAATTTGTTCAGGCTTTCCAGCTAGGATTGAACACCAAGCTTCAAGAACGGATGACAATCCGCCTAGATCAGTGGTCATATGCATAAAGGTAAGTGAGACCAGTGTACCGTCTTGGAATGTGGCAACGTGCAGAGAGAATTGTGGTGCATCGGTGGAGCAAAAGTCCTCGAATGACGTTGGTGCACCAGGACCTATACCGACGGATTGGAAGTCAGCTGGATTTGGAAAGAAGGCGATTCCATCTGACCGTGTTGGTAGTTTGGATGCTTCGGGGTGATCTGCAAAGGGCATGTCATAAGTAGCCTTGGTGAAGTGAACCGCTGGTCTTTGTGCTGAATATTCCTTAGGGATATGGACTTCAGCTTTACCTTGGTCCTGTGATTGTTAGTTGTTGCACCTGCTGGCAATGAGTTCGCTCACGTTAAGGCGTATTCTGCCGCCAAGTCTTCTCCATCCGTCCATCTCAAAGAGTTTCGATAGTGCTTCGTTCAAGATGTCGGCGTCAAGAATCTCATCGAATCGTATCGTCCAGAGCATTGGACATTTGCGCATAAATGGCGTATCATCGAAGGGATGCATAGGGAGTACTTCGTCAGTGGGCACTGTAGGAAACTGGGGCCGCTTGGGCGCGCCCATTAGACTGGATATCGTAGCCCCCATGTTTGGCACTGGATTGATGCTGAAAGTAGCAAAGGTACTGGGATTCTAATGCCTCAAATTCGGATCACAGTTTGTTCTTAAGTGTATTGGTGGTACGGATACGAGTGTCAGCATTTAGACCACAGCTAGTGAAACTTTAGCGCAAGTAGCGGTCAAGCTTGTGCGCTTTGGGACTCGTGTAATATCTGCCGAATTAGTTAAAATGCGGGATTGACAATTGCCGTGTCCCAAAAGGACTTCCGAACTGGTAAAATATGCCTCTGGAAACAAGTTCGTTCCGAGGAAGCCGAAAAGTCTAATTGAGCTAGGCAGGTAGTTACAACGTTTGGCTTGGGCTGGGGACTGGCAGACTGCCGATGGTCAGTGAGGGTGATCTCCAGCGCTAAAACCCACTATCCCGATTTGCGTATATCTGTAAGCATTTAGGGGTAAGGATCTGCATCCCTGCCCAACAGCCAAAGTCCCATCGCAGTTTCTTATCGGCATCAGATAAGAACAGAAAGAATAGCTGACTTGATTTATTAAAACTCAGATGTATGTTAGCTTTCTTATGGACCCCTCGCGATAGAACTGCAAGTGGTAGCCAAGTCCTTAGTGTAACGAGGCTTCGCAAGCATCCCAAAAGGTTTGAGGGTTCTGCCACTAGGATAGTAATGGCGACTACTTAGACTATTAATAGGTATGATCTTTTCGTATTTGCTTATTCTGATATACAAAACTTGATAATAAGTTGACCAAGGCAAGACAAAAGGCTAGAGTGGACAGGATGAGTCTCTAGACATGAACAGTAAAGTTTCAAGTGGATGCTATTGTAATATATATTGAAATAGTGAATAGAAGTAATTGGGTTGATGCATGGGGTAGTATCGAAAATCCCCACGGGCCGGGTACTGCCGTTGGCGATGTGATCAGATCCGTCCACAGCGGCTGTAGACAACAGAAGCCACATGTTGACCAAAGCGTAGCTGGTACTAAATTCTTATTATTAGTTCAAGCAAATGGTGACGCGTAGGGTGAAATGGTAGCAGGAGCACACCCACTATTGCGCTTTTATCATGCGGATCACTTCCGAGTGCGGAATTAATGATCATAGCATTGGCCGACAGTCTAGCCGTAGGTTAATTAAAGAGGTCTAGATAGTGATGCATTGGCGGCCAAGACGCGTGTTGATAAGATTCAACGCCGCGGAAAGCCACGGGGACCTAAACTATGAGCTAAACCGTGTTTCGGGACGCGTGGTGCTTCTGCTAGTGTCAGTTTGAGTCCAATTTTCGCACTGATACGAAAACCTGTATGTTACCTGCCTTGTTTAGTGAAGCTCTCCCACTTACCGAACCTAAGGTATTAGCGTATGTGGTTGCTATTCTGTAAAGTTTGGAATTTCGGTTAACCACTGGTGAGAGTGCTTGTAAAATAGCAGCGTTTCATATTCAATTGCCCAGACATCATCAATCACACATCGGAGTCCATAAACAAAACAAGGGTCTGTGTCTGTAGGCTTGTGGTCTTCCTATCTATAATATTCTGCTAAAAACCCAATCACCACTTCTATGCCTGTCAATATAAAACTGAAATCAGTCAAGTTTCGGGCTTTGCCTGCCTGCAATCTGGTGCTTTTTTCCCTATATCTATCCCCAATATCGCCTCGTTTTTTGCAATGCCCTAATGCCAGCGCTTTCCTTTCGCCCAAGAAGCCATTTCCAATCCCTGTAATGCACCCTGTAGAAGCATCCCCTAGTACAGTGACACCGGATTGTTAGCGTCAGATTAATGAAACATACTAGCATCCCATCCCATTAGGGCTTGTTTTCAGTTGAGACACCTTTATCACCTATTATAGTTTAGCTTGCGACGTGCAGCTCACAATCCTTAAGTATTAGTGGTCGGTTTCGCTGCCGTGCCTATAGACTCGGACTGGCAGCTACATTGACCAACCTTGGAATAAGTTGGAAAAGAATTGAGTAGACAATGAGGCATCTCAGAAATGAACAATTTATTCGACAGGACTTATGTATCGACTCTGGATGCACTTCGAGCCCTCTCTCTAGTTTCACTGACTTCCGGCCCTGGTTCTTTCCCTTTCCTAGATAGATCTGGAAGACCGTGCCAGGCAAGGAATTTTAGAGACCGGCGATAAAAACACTCTACAATTTGCTTTGACATGATGAATGATGCGAAGGATAATTAAACTTGTTTTGTATTGCGAGGTTCTAGTATTAAGCTTCTTTCATATGCACGTGCGTCTAGGCTGCAAGTGTTACTCTTATCAAACTCTACCATACTGGAAGATATCCATTGCTGAATGCGTGGATCTTCTGGCAGCTGATATGAAGTTTGAAAATTTTGTAGCTGTCTTATAATCTTTGCAGTCTTGAGACACTTCGAAAAGTTTATGTAGACCTGTCCAGATGCTAGTTCACTTTGTAGGTCCGGTTCTACTAACGGGTGAGCCGTATCTACAAAGACCAGATCAGTTAGGTACATCCCAAGGAAGGGCAGGCATGGAAGTTTTGAACATCTCAGCGATGTCCGAAGGCATTTGAAGTTGTGCGAAGGACTAACAAGACCCTTCAATGCTTCCAGGTCGTGTAGAGCCGTGGGTGATACTGAATTCCACGTTTGATAAAGCCGAGCGATAGAGCTATGCCCAAGACCAGACAGAAGGGCGACCAGCCCATCGTAATTGCGAAGATTGGAGCACTCTTGTGCAATTTTGATCCAGTGCTCGATTATCTGACCACGTCTGGTCTTTGTCCGACATTGGAGGATGGTCTCGATCACAACATATGAGAGTCGATTCGTGAAGTGTATCATTGCCCTAACGTTGGGTGCGGAGTCAACAGTAGTACTCATCCACCCACTGCCCACAAGTTCGGTTGGCTTTATGGAGCAAAAGAGGCCCATCTGGTTGACGATTAGCTGGTGGGCAAATGATATAGAGTCGAATGCAAGGATGTCGGACGACTGCATGCTGGTCCCCAGCCTTTTTAACCCAAACCGTATTGTGCGGCTTAGCTGAGTTCGGTGTCCCATGGCCTTTGAGGGAACCACGTCGTCGGTAACACATGTAGCCTCACCAGTGACCAGTGTTGGGCAAGACTTGTGCATTGTGTGACCACGCACGCGCTGAATGGATACCACCAGCCTTTGGCTAAGAATCGGATGGGTTGAAGAGAGACTGGATGCAAATGAAGCAATCCTCTCAATAACATCCTTATCAAGGCAGGAACACCAATACAACTCAAGCCATTTCAAAAAAACATCGCCAACTCTTAACTGAATCTTGTTCGGGGCAGAGGAGTTTGAGCTGATGTGGAATCGATCAATGAGTTGTTTCGCTAGTTCTTCGGGCGTACAGAATAATCTGAACGAAAGATAAAATGCATGCTTGAATCTCGTGTCGCAAATGGACCGCTGAGAAGTGAGATACTCCACGAACCCACTGAGGGTACCACCAATGACCTCCAAGTTTTCATCGAAACTAAGCTTCGGTGGGATTTCGGGAGAAGACACTGACTCAAAAGCGTTCCTTTGTGTAGATCCTTTTGATGATTGAAGTTCCTCGCTGAAGACGCGCTGTACACCCTCAGCCCGGTTGCCTGCTGTCTCCGGAATAGCGAAATTGGTAAATGGGGTTTTGCAGCGATTTGGCCCATGATATAATCTCGAGAAATTAATTCGTCGTTCAGCTTGGACGGGGCTCAGCACTTCATCCTCTGTTGTGTAAGCGCCATATGGCTCGCAGGCTTGAGAACGTGCCATGCGAGGATGGACATGGCGTTCCTTTTGAAGCAGCCCCCCACTTATTTGGTCATGGCTGCTTGATCCTGTGAACATCTCGTTTTGGGATAATTTCTGACTTGCGCTATAGAAATCGATAGAATCGTATGTTGATCTGTCATCGAAGTGCGCTGCCGATGTGTAGTGTACGGATTGCCCTAAACTTGTAGAGCGTGTTGGGGATATAGGGAAATCTGAAATCGGTCTTTCTAGGTCGCTCAACATATGACTTTCGGAAGCCACGCCCATAGATACTGAGACCTGTCGATATAGTTGGCATTCTTCGCCAATTTGTTGTAAAATGTCATGTGTCTTCCATGATAGCCTACTTGCTACTCGGATAAGGGTCATCGCAAAGGAAAAGACAGGTTCAAGATCGAAAGATATTGATAAGGGAGGGTCACTAAGGTCACGACTGCTTCCTTGTGTATGTATGATAGACACTAAAGACTGTGTTGCCTTTCTCACGCCTCCGATCAAAATTTGTGCTGCCTGATGGGTGATTTTGAGGCGCTGCAGCGTATTCTCCACGATAAAGACAAAATCTTTGCTGCGGGCAGCCGACTGTTCTATAACAAACGAAAGATCTTGGTATGACTGAGATTTGACGAAAAGACGCCCGACAAGGCGTCCGACAGCGGAAAGGAGTTTGTCATAACTGTCTTCGATATCGTATATGGTCTGATAGATTTCGTTTTCCAGGGGATAGACAAGGGATGGCATCGCTTGTTGTCCTTGGTGTGAGGAAGAAATTGATAATTTCTTGAGAATCGGGTTTGGCGCATGGGCCGAGGAGGACATGTTGTGTGTTCTAGCGACTCATAGTAGGAATCAGCAAGATGGCCAGAGTTACTTTATGAAACGCGTTCCGCACTTGAGATGAAAACGCGTCATTATTAAATGTTCGTATTAGCGTTCTTTGTCTTCGTATTCTTAGAATCTGAATTTACCCTTATCTATGTACCTGAACTCAAGACCCATGAAACAGTTAGTCTTTGGGTTGTTACGCTCGGACCTGTCTAGTTGCACGCATTCATCCCTCAAATTTCCACTCGTACCTGATGCGCACCACTCGAAGCGACCAAGCCTAGGTTAGTCCGGTGACGACGACGAAGCTTTGACTTCATTGACCCCTGTGAATCTAGAACTCCAATCACAAGTTAGGTAAACTTTAAAAGGCCTGATGTTTGAACCGCAGGTCAAAGCGCATGCCTTTTGCAAGGGGGTCGGCGAATTTGAACTAGCCCAACCAGATGGGAAAGTTTTTGTTTCACCATCACTGTTCATCCTCCAGAAAGGTGGTTGGTTACATATAGAAAAACGAAACTGTTTTAGTAATCGAAGTCAGTAGCTCAAGGCTGAAGGAAAAGTATCTAGGAAACGCGGGGTAGTGCTGGACGACTAGATGTACGCGTATGCAACTCGCTGTAAGCCACATAGGTCATGTTAATTATATACCTTGTTCCGTTCTAGGTTACTGATTGGTCGACGGAAGCCCCACGACTGTAAACAACTTCAGTCTCTCTATTAAGGGAATAGCATGTTGTTTGCTATTTAATCACTAGAATCGCATACCAGAAACCACTGCTAATAATTATTCTCAGAGAGGCTACCTTAAAAGGCGCTTAGGTTTGTCGGTATATGGAGAAGCTACTTCGGCCGGTATTAACAGACCTGGACCCATGAATTAGTCATTTAGCCTGTAAATAGTAGATTATCCTTCTACTTATAAATATTATACATGTTCATCGAAACTTCGTGGCGGAAAGGAGCACGCTACGACTAATTAAACGCTCGTTTAATGACTTTCTGGACTAACCCGCAATGCTCTAGAAGCTGAAAATCCCTCTCGCAATTTGGCCTCAATAGGCACACAATAAGATTACAAGAAATACGAACCAGACCATTTTAAGCTTTATCTTGGCATTACTATCTACAAAAGCTAGATATGGTTTAGTGGCTATGGAGATAAGACTATAACTCCTATAAAGCTTACACATATTGTCTTTTAGGTATTTAAGTCTTTTATAACGAAAGTTGATATTTTCTTGTCCTTCCTGTAGCGAGCGGTTTAGTGTATGGGACCTTCTAAAACGGATAAGTCCCTAAAAATTGAAAAAAGTTAAAGAAAAAAAAACACCAACAAGACAGGGTACGTATATGGGAAGAAAAAATGGGCGGGACCGGAGCATGTCTATATTACCGCTACACGGCCCGGATATTTCATGATAACGTGCACAGCAATGTAAAAGGATAGCTTGGCAATAGAAGCGGACCGGGCAATGCCTAATGATATAAGTATCAACCTTACCATGCCAGACCATAACGAAAGCACTCAATCGTAGGGTACCATTGCTATTGCCACTGTTCAAAATAGTCTTCAACTTCGGAAAACAGCCATCATCATTTGTCTCTCCAACATCAACTTTATCTCTTCTGCTACTAATGATTTTTTTGTTATAGGACTTCTTATAATTATAAAGGATCTTAACTTACTGGGTAGTCTTGCCTTTTACCCATTATCTATAGGAAGGTTGACTGCGGCATCGACTCTCCTACCTATAGGGTCTATAGCTGACATTAAAGGATTAGAATATCTAAATTCAATTAGGTGTTCAATCAATGGAATAAAACTCTCTAGTTGCGGTCTCGTCCAGCGGAGAGAGCACCTGGTAGTTTTGCAGGCTTTCTAAGGTGTTGGCCAAGCAACGCACCTTTCGATGTCTGTAGCGCTAGTTGCCCAGACTTTTTACAATTTGTTCAGTACCCTATAGAAGCTGAATGGTAATTACGTGCTTTGAGTCACCAGTAGGCAACCAAGACGGATTTCTAATGGAAGATGTGCTAAGGAGAGTCCAGATCATGCGCGATAAGACACCCTGGAAGAAGAATCAGCTTCCTATGGTGTAATAGGCTTTAGACGCCGGATCTGTAAAGACCATCACTTATAATGTAACTTAGAGCAAGAGACTTTAGAAAGTAGCTGATTTTATTGCTAGCATAGCCTCTGCAACATGCCACAGGAACAATACCTGCGTCCAGAAAGATAAACTAGAGCCTCTCAGGCTTATCATTCCTTGTCCTTCTTTGCCTTCTTACGGCACTTCTTGCAATTCTTTCCCGTGCTTTCGCTGTTTATGACCTCGGCCTTTTTCCCGCAGCCCTCGAATCTTTGTCCTGCCTTGGGACAGAAAGTTTCAATGATATGCGTGTCCATTTCGCATTGCAAGTGCCGCATTTGTCGACTAGAATGGTTTTGATGCACATTGTGTGTTTATGTGATTACTTTTGAGTATAGAGTATTTTGAAGGTACCTTGGAATGGTCGGTTGTTGTGTGGAATGGGAAAAGAGTGACTTGAGGGTGGGAAGCGGTTCCTTTATATAGAGAGAGAAAGGGCACTGATGATATGTGAATACAGTGATTGTACGAGGGAGGACGGAGCCAACGGCAGGTTTTCAGAGCAATACATGATGCTGATTCATGGGGAGAGCAATGACAGTAATTCGCAGCTATTCCTTGCCATTCTGGTTCTGCTTCTGTCCACACTTCTTGTGTGGCTTCTGTAATTGTCGGTGACAACCAGGTTGGCATTCAATCTACAAGCTTCCTAATTGCACCCGGACTGGAGACAGCAACACTAACGTATCACCTCGTGCGTCTTTAGCCTGCACTCGTCACAGGTATCTCATGACGAATATGCTGCACGTTCTACAAACGTAAGAGTCAAACGTCAAATGTGTAGATTTTTGTATAATCATATGAAAGCTCAAGAAACTATTAGTGTCATCATTATGTTGATTCAGATCTGGTTACCTGGTGGACTAAATGCCCTGGTCGTTTCGGAGTCCATATTAGCCCCTGGGACGGCACAAGGAGTAAATCCTTTGAGTTTCTTGTCTAACCAGACTGTTATTATCACGCTTCATTTTGCTTCTAGATCAACTGATATCTGGAAGCCTGTACCAACTGTACCCTTAGGGTTTAAGACTGTTTGCGGTTTATTATGAGACCAACGTCGCAACAACATGAAACTCTAGCTGTGTTTTCTAATCTGTTGCTCCCAGCCTTTGCCCTCCTGCGAATCCTGTCTCCTTATAGCATCAACCAGAGCTGCAAAGTCACTTCCCCAGATGCTGCTAGCCACACTCTTATCTAAAACGCAGATAAAGTGGTTTGCCTTGATGCGATCGTAATTCTTCCGGATCCAGCTTTGCAATCTCGTCTGCCTGACTGTAATTCCTGTGCACACGAGTAGTAATATAAATGGAGTGTCTCCCCAGTGTTGAAGCTCTCTGGCTTCAGCTTCTCGCGTAGCACTCTTCAGGTTCTTATGCCAGTTGCAATCTAACAACGTTTCCATCGCATCCTCAAAGCGGGCTCCTCGGCCAGTCTTGATCTATTTACAGTGTATGTGAGAACATGGTTTCGATTTGCCTTGAGAAAAGTGGTATTGAGAGCTCTTACCTGAGATATAATGACAAACTTATTTACTTGGCCGACAAGTTTCGATTGACGTACACTGTGCCTTGTAGAGCCCGTAAACTGCTTCTGCAGTAGGAAAACCAGATCCGGACCAGCATTGATATCGGGAAAAATGAAGGTAGGTGTAGATACTTGGTCACCTGATCGTTGTTGTTTCAACCAGTCCCAGATCGTACATGGTGTTTCATACCTGAAAGCCTTCTGCGATTCAGGCAGCGAAAAGTCGCTTATCCTTACCACGGAGCTCAGCTTGAACATCTGCTGGGTGTTCGAATCGATGGCAATAGATTCTGACAGATATTTCAATAAGCTTTCTCGATGGGAGGACCTTTCCAAGAGACTTAGTTGGCCAGCCTGATCAATGAGTTGAGGTCGGAGTAAACGGTCGAATGACTACAACAACATAAATTAGCATCTTGACCATAATACTTTGATGCTAGGATGTCTTGCCATTGCAACGAACCACTCGGTAGCCTTACCAAGCATTGCTCGAACTTCATAATCATCTTGGGTATGGACAAGCCATTGCAACATGAGATCTTGATAGTCGTCCCCCCCTTCCGTTCGAAGATATTCCATCACCGCTCGAACAGCTATCGGCTCGGAAAATGTATACCTTATGGTGTCTCCGTCTTTCTGGACTAATGCAAATCCGTGGGTCACTAACTGTGCAAAGTTCCGTTTGACAAAGATGGAAGGGGAGCTCATCATCTCTGCTCTGATTCCAGCACGAAACAACTCTTGAACTAATTGTTCCTTCCCAGCTGATTTCATCTTGCGAATTTGATCTTTGAGAGCATTGATGGCTGCTGCTATCGTTCTGCTTTCTGCCTCCTCGATGATCATTTGTATTTCTGAAAGAGTCGATCCTGGGGCGGTCAAACGCGGATAAAGCATCATCAACTCCTCAATGTAGACCGTTGACCATCGATATCGTCCACGCTGACCAATACTGTGCAACTTGATCATATTTCGGACGTGCAGGTTTCTCAGACCAGTGTGTAAAGTCGCTGCTATTCCACTCAGCGATGTATTGGGAGTTGCCACTCGCGAAAATATGTTCTGCATGATGGAAGACATTTCCTCTATAGCAATATTCCCATGCTCAGCCAGTAATTCTAGTAATGAAAGACCCAAACTATCTGCTCCTGGTACTGTATCGGCCTCGAGGAGTTGGACGAGACTCAGAGTAACAAGCGAAGCAACAGCTTCTGAATCTCGATTCTCAAGAAGCTCTTCTAGCTGCACTCGTGGGATATCAGTAGAAATCTTGTCGCTCTCCATCAAGCAATGAGCCTGCATGACCAGGACCAGAAACTCTTGCGTCGTAGGAACCTCCAATGGTCTCCGTACCCATGCCTCAATTGAATCGAAATCAACCTCAGATGACTCAAACGGCAAAGGCCGACCACTGCGGCTCAAAAGTGGTAGGCTTGACCAAGTTACAGTTTCCTTTACACCTCGGAAGGTTCTGAATTCTTTGAGGATATCAGTCGTATGTTTCTCGTAGAGCGCCCAAAAGTCCGCGTCAGATGCAATTAGTTGAAATGTATCATCAATGCGATAACTGTCCCATTTCGTCACTGTTTCTTCGCCCTCACCCCATGCGTCCGAAGAGTAGGTGGCAAGATTTTCTTGAAGCACTTCCAGGCGAAGGGATGTCCCCAAAAGCACCAGGATAGGGTCTACATACGGCATCTCATCACTGGTCTGCAATGATCTTGCATCACTCTCCGGATCCTCCATATGCCTGTCAACTAATTCTTTGTTGTTAGCGCTAGCCCATGGCACAACATACGTCAATGTGAGTGTCTCGTAAAGATGACGAAGCATCGAGGAAGCCTGAGGGTCGTCGAGAGTAAGTTGCGCTTCATCAAAACAGTGATACAACGAGCCCTTGAAGAACTGGTTAGGTTCTTTACTGAGAAAGCTATAGCATTTGTATATGATGAAGCCCGGTATTTCTGCCCAAACATAGACATATTCATCCCACCATAGATACTGGTCTGCTGACAATCTGAAAAGTCTATACAAGGCATCGAACGGGTCGCAATTATCACAGGATACCTGCAACCAGAGCCATTGTCTTGGTGTTGGAGAAGGGTACCTGCGCAAAAACTCGTAAAGCAGCGCAACACGTGCGACGATAAGAGGCCGGAAGACATTGATCTCTTTCGAAATCCACTCTGGAATCATCTGTGGATGATCCTCAAACATGGTATAAGTGTCTCTCGATGCCGAATATCGTTTCGTATCTATGATGTCCATGCCTTCATGGTCTTTACCATCAGTCCTTGATAGTTCCGCTTTTGGAGCCAGATTTGGGGCAAGAAGATAAAATCCCCACTGCTTTTGCAATAGTTCAAATATCTGTCGTGTTTTACCGGTGCCGGCAGACGAGAAAAGGACGTGAACGGAACGAGGCGTTTCTCTCTTCTCATTTTCGCCAAAGACTTTATCTTTCTCTATGCGATCCATCAACGATGATTCCACATCTCCTAACATGTCCAGGTTTGGAATGGCAGGAACTGCACAGTCTAGGTAGACCCATGCAATATTCTTCCATTGTTCTTCAATGTAGACCATGAGACCGAATTCAAGAGGGTACATGTGATTGTTCTGTTTCATTGGCTTCAAAGTCCAGAATGCTCCTATCAATCTTATGTTAGTATCAGGCATTTTCAGAGTCCTGTCCAAGCTCTGGACATAACTTACCATAATGGTGTCCCAAAAGGTAATGCATGTAGGTCTCCATCGTAGTTACGATAGTGCGATGCGCTAGATCTTGATCTCGCTTAGGCCATCCGCTGAGTGCAACCAATAGTTCAACAAGACTCATTTCTTTGTGGTAGCGAATGTGTGTTGTGTTCGATAATGCCTTATCATGGTATCTTGCCCAAAATGCGCTTCTTGGATTTGATACAAATTCCAGGAGGCCTGTGTAGTCACCAGGGCTCATACCCAAACTTTCCCATAGCGCTTTTGCCATTTCAAAGGTTTGCGAAGTGTCAGAGGCATAGAGTCTTGCTTGGTAGAACGACTTGTCATTTAGTAGAAATGGCAAAAGAGGGTCGATGTTATGGGTAGATTTGGTGGGCATCTCATATGGAATGAGACCATAATAGTGGATACGCTGTTCGTAGCGGTCTTTGAAGAACTCGAGGCATTTTGCTCTGTGTCTCTGACGTATGTCGTTCATTGCGTAGCCCTTATCTTGGTACAGATATCCAGGCAGGTGTTGTGAGTGAATATTGACTTGGCTCAACATGCGGGGTTATGGAAGTTGGGCTTTAGAGTCTATTAATAGATCGTTATCGCGTACTGTCTTTAGATAAGACTAGGGTGAATTTGTCTGTTGGCTCTGTCTGTTCTTCGATTTGGTCTCCCATCACGTGCGTAATCACGTGCCTAACCGGAGGGCTTACTACGTATGTTCTTCGTACAACTTAATCCATGTCACAATTAACACCACTTTGGGCAGCAAAGATATGTCGATTAGCAGGCCATACACTGAATGAGCTTCCCTTCCCATCACGAGTGCATATTCTGGAGCCTTTCCAGGTAGGGACTTTCATGGTGCAAATTGATGATTTAGTATAGTTTCAACTGTTGGCAGCCCTTGCATCAGCTCTCTGTCACTAAGCGCGCGTAGTTACATCTCCGGGGACAATGTGACAAAGCCACTTATCTCAACTCGCCTGGCAGACTCAGGCCCAACGCATAACACTACAAGCCTTAATTCCAGCGACATGGGATCTCATGCAATGTAAGCCGCCACACAGACTCCATCAGAGTCGCCTGATCAAAGACCTCGAAAAGCTTACAGGGCCTGATTCCCGGGCCATGACTCTACATCCTATTCTCTGCCAATTCTGTTCCTGCTGCTGCGGCTGCAGTTTGAGAGATGCCAAGCATCCTTTCAACAATTCTCCTGCCATGTAGATGCTGACATAGCAAAGAGCTTTCCGTAGTTCATTACCTGGGGTGCAAGCAGTGCCAAGACCACTACTTCTAGGACATGGCCTTCATATCTTTCAGCTCGTCACGCCAAATGAATCAAGCTTGACAGGTCCTCAAGTTCTGCAAGCCACATTACAAATATCACATAATGTGGAACCACTCGGTCGCCCAGTCTTGTTACGCTGCACCTGATGAACTTCCTTATTTGAGGACACGCTCCGTACTGGCGTGACCTGACCTCTTGAATGCTTAATCGCAATTCCTCACAATATCCACATTTTCAAAGAAGGTTCCTTCCATTTTGGCTCAATTTGTTGCCTAGTCGCTCGGTGCTTGGCTGGCGATGTATTACCCAACCATTCTCATTGTCGTTTTCTTTCTCGCCTTCCAGGTCACTCATGCATTGAAAATTACTCATGTCGCAGAAACGAAACAACTTTCTAATGCACCAGCGAGAGTAACGGAAGCCCCGTTGGGAATAATTGAGCCTTTGGAATTGCTCCTTGGACATGGCCCTGCACCGAAACCACGAGCAGAGACAGAAGACTCTGCAATTGTCGTTACCATCGCGCCCGATGAGACTTGCGGCTATATCGACGGCTATAAAGAGTTATCCATAACCTGTCCCAGCAGTAGCTTATGTTCTTGGGCTGTGCTTAGTGGTACTGGATTAGTCGCTTGTGAAGCACAGGCTTACGTTCTCTGCATCGAATCATCAATAGCAGTTAATTCGACGCGATGTGACGACGTCTGTCAGAGCAATACATTTTACCTTAGATGGTAAGAATCTCAGTATTGAAGACTCCAGCGCTAACATTACCTCCTAGCACCAACTCAGACAGGCCCTTCTGCCGCACATACGTCTACCCCAGTGGTATTTTCGATTACAGATGTGCATCAACTGCAGCTGAGGAACCCGAGCGTGTTCAATTCACGACTTTTGGAAGGTGGCAAGACCGCTTTAAATAGTGTATACATATTTACTAGAACTAGTAAAGCCTGCGACATTCGTCATGAACTAGTCGTTCTCCTAGTACGACATACTCTATATTATCGTTGCCCAGAAATTCAAACTAATATTGAGAGGCAAATGCATCAGCATAAATATCCATATCTCCGGTAAATCCATTCAATCTCGTTGGTACCCAGCCAAGTAGCTGCTTCGCGCGATCAGAGGAACCTCGAAGGCTAGTTCCCATGGCTTCCGCGAACAAATCATCCCCAGGACCAACCAACTCACAGCTTCCCTTGAACTCCCAATGTGAAGCCATAGCTGTGAAGATCTCCGACATGCTTTCTTGACTTGTCACAAGGTCAAAGACAGGATAGACCGAGCTGCTGTTGATAATAGAAAGCTTCTCTATAGCTTTTTGGAAACCAGTGGCGACATCACTGACGTGCACAAGCGCGGGCCGAGAATCAACGCTCAATGAGATTTGGATAGTGTCCAAAGATCTATCTCGGGAAGCCTGGAGGAGCGGAAGAAAAAAGGCGGTCCAGATAGTACTCTCGCCACCGTATATGAGCGCCGGTCGCAGAACTGCCACGTCGAGGACGTCAGAAGCAGTGAGAACAGCATTCTCATGGGCGACACGCCATGCAACAAGAGGTGCAGGTGGTGTCGTGGCCTCAGGCCCAACGATATCAAGATCATTGACTAGCTTGTCACTCGATCCATGGACCCAAGTTCCTGAGCAGTAAATAAAGCCAAGCTTTGGGGCATGCGTGAGCCCTGTAGACTTTGCCTTGTTCAAACGCTCTTGCCCGATTGCTTTCACATCAGCAAGGAACTTTGCAGACTCTTGATTTGCTCCAGAGACATCAACAACTATGTCAATGTTGAAGTTGCGAATGGCATTGAGGTAAGAATCTGGTTCGTTGATGGGGTCGTGGCAGATGACGGGGGTGACTTCGGCGACGGCCAGAGACTTGGCTTTGGCTTCATTACGGGCGATGCCGTAGACTCTGTGTTGGCCGCTATTGATGAGGACGTTGCAGATTCTGCTTCCGAGGTAGCCAGTGGCGCCGATGATCAAGACTTTGGGCATTTCGGATGTTGAATGTCTTGTTTTGTAAGAGGGTGTAGAAGTTCAATTGCGTTCTTGCAGATAATAGATTACAGCGTGTTGCTAAAGATCATTGTGCTGGGTTGCGATTTAACACTACTTGCCCCGACTGCTCTTCCCTCTTATACTGCATCACTTTACGGAATTTGTCGTCGGACGTATCAATTGTATTATTCCCAAAGAGGTCCTTCTGGGGATAGTGCTGATGTTTTAACAGGACCAAGCCGCCGGAGATAGACGGACGGCGGCACTTACGGATCTAAGAATTACCGCATCTGGAAATCCGATCACGGAATTAAGCCATCTCAAACCTAGACAAGAACTGCTCTTCAACCTCCCCGAAGAAAATATCCCACAGTGAAGAAAATTGCGATTTCAGATTATCGCGTTCTTCTTCGACCCAGACCCTACCACCACGAGTCCAGCGCATCGTCTCTTTTGCATAAGGTATAGGTTGATCGTAGGTGAGAGTCATGAACGGCCCTGTTGCTGAGTCAGTACATATCAGCATCGATCGGAGGGCACATACAACGTCCAGCAGGCAGGCCCAGACTCTGATAACATTGTGGCTCGGTTTCTGTCATTCTCTTCTCAATCCAACCGTGAAACTGACGGAAGCCTTCGATTGCTAGAGATGATATGCGGACTGAATAGAATCTGAGGATGAAATTGTCATGTTTCCAAATGAGGTCCACGACTGGAACTCGGATAAGTCGCGCATCTAGACTGGTTGTAGTGCCGACCTCGACGCATCCTTGTGCGGTTAGATGTTAATTTAGGGACACTGTGGCATGGGTAACTCACTGTCAAAGTCGACGTCTGGTGGTCCTAGCCCAAGTCTCTGTGTCGCGAGCCTCAAGAAAAGTCCAATCTTCTGAAAGTCAGGCGTATACATAATCAATCGTGCCCTATAGCGATCAGAACCGTTTCCGCAATTCCTTCGTTGAACTTACGCTACTAGAGACCCCTCCAACTCCCAATTATGCAGCGCTCCATTCTCACGTAAGAATACATAGCATGCCAGCGCGGCTTTCCTGGTGGAACGTGTGGCAACTTTGTTGACTTCAGTGTCAAGCGCTGGGAGGGACTTCTCTTTTATACCCTGCAATGCGTGGTCCAAGACTGTGTTGCCGCTAGCTTCTGTATTCCATGGAATGTTCTTGTTGGGGAAATGTCGTTGTGCATGCTCTTTGATCATTTGCAAAGCAGTCTTGTTAGACCAGTAAGCCGCGATGTGAAGAGCGGTTCTGCCTCTTTCATCGGCAATGCGGAAGACGTCATCAAAAGTTGGGCACTTCGTTAGCAGCATTTTTGTGATCTGGTGGCATGCAAGGTCATACGAGTCCCGAGCTTGGAAAGTCAGCGGTGTCTTCATAGGTATATGTACACTTACATCCTGAAAAGCCTTCGATGGCTGTAGCTAATAAGGTCTTGCCTGCTGGCGTAGTTACATACTCGGGAAGTACATCAAGGTTCAGGAGATACTGGATATTTTCGATTGGTACCAAGCCATCAGCAACAGCTAGTGAAACGAGGTAGCCTCCGAATGTCACCCAGCTGGCATCTCGCCTCATCTTGTAGTCATGCTTTAGCGAGTACTTAGCCCGTAGACTCTCTGCCAGCTTGCGCTCATCATCGTACCCTTCAACGAGAAGCTGAGCAAAGACTGTGAGTCCAGAGTTGCACTGCCCCTCCAATATCTCTGTCATACTCTTCCCCTGTCGCCTATCAGAGGGAAACTCCTCAAGTGTTTTGATTAGCTCTGGCAAGATTTTGGGGAAGTAGTGCGCCGCAAAGTGAAGTGTATTTCGCCCTCCCCTCTCCTTGGTGAGGATATCCGCCCCTTGTCTGACAAAAGCACGTACAGCCTCAATATCTCTCCTCTCAATGGCGACATGTAGAAACAGTCGCGGTAAGTTCCACGAAGGATCGTCAATGACTGTATCTGGGAAGACTTTCAGAAACGCCTCGACGAAGAAACCGGATCCTCGAAAAGTACACATCGTCAAGAATGGGTCTGTCGGTTGTTTCTTATCTACACGTCGTCGCTCGATCAGCACCGAGCGGGCGTCGTCATCAGCTAGGATCGAGATGACTTTTTCCAGCTTTTCCTTGTATCCTTTGCCACCGACGCACATACAGTAGAAGCGTGTTCTGCGAAAAAGCGCACTGAGGGCCTGGGCCTTGGCGTCGCTGAGTTGACGTCGCGCTGACAAACCTAGAATCGCCACCAAGGCCTCTGAAGCAGCTAACATTCTTCGTAAGAGATCGACGTCAAGCTGCTGAGCTGCATGCGCAATCGCAGTGTTGAAGTTCAAGAAGCCATCCCATTCTTGGACTTGTCTCGTAGGATCTGCACCATATTCCAGCAGAAGCTCAGTCGCCACTCCTTGAGAATAGTCCCAAGCTGCAAATGTAGTGTGCAGTGGAGTGGCACCGTTCTTCATAGGGACATTTATGTCAAGACCAGCTGATAAGGCAATGTCGAATATCTCCTCGCAGTGCTCACGTTTCGAGAACTGTGTGAGGGAGTGAAGAATCGTAGCACCGTGCAGGGTTTCCCGTATGGTTGGATCAGCGCCATTGTCGATAAGGAGTTTTACCATATCGAAGTGGCCGCAGTGGCAGCTTAGAAGTAATGGTGCCCAGCCGTGAGTGTTGCCGTACGCGTTGACGTCAGCACCAAGTTCAACTAGAGCACGCGCCATGACAAGATCGTTCTTACAAACTGCAATCTGAAGCAGGGTAAAGCCATCCTCGTTGCAGTAGTTGAGACAGTCAAGTCGAGCGACTTCCTCTTTAAACTCATCTGATCTTGCTAGATCTATGTTTTCCTTTCCTGCATCTCTGAGGCACGTTAAACGATCAAAGTCGAATACCGGATTGTCCATATTTGGCTTCTCCTTTATGAACAAAGGACTGTTGCAGTGGAGGAGAAACATGTTCGGAAACTTGCGCTCAGTCGAAAGATATGCTTGGTACTTCTCTGGCCACTTATAAGTCCAGGTTTTACCGAGGATCTGATTTGTTGAGAGATGCTTAGGAACTAGGTGGTCGAATAGTGTTCCCTGGGCAAGGCCGAATGTCTTGGTCCCATATGACTCAACCTTGCTTAGTAGCTCGTCTCTACTCCCTGGTGGCAAAGAGGTGTCGCACGCATCAAAGATTCTGAGGACGACAGACAATGCATCCGAGTTCTCCATCGTAGCGGCTGTAACAAGATGGTACAGGCCCTTCTCTATTGATGTCTCGACAAGTTGTCCATTGAGGTATGCCCCAGCCAGGTGAAGCGGGGCGGCAGAGTCTTGAATATCCCCCGACTCAACGCTCTCCCTCAAATCTCGAAAGATTTCTTCCTGAGCCACTCTCGGGATGAGAGATACGTTCAACGAGTGCTCGAATGCGAACTAACCGGTTAGTAATATCGACCATGGAGAGTCGTACTTACATCAGGGACTTTGGCTATGGCTCCATCAAAGATCTCTTCCATTCGAGAAATGAAGTCCTCACTATCTTGAGTATCCTCGTCGGACTTCCAGTTCTTCTTGAACTTCTTGAGACCGGCCGGCTTGATGCTGTGGTCTTCGAAACATGTTGCGAGCATTTTCTCGAATTCCGGGTTGTTGATCTTGATTGATACTACTTCATCAAGCATTTGTCGGAGTTGAATCAACATTTCGTCCTGGTCGATTTCGTTTATCTGTGAGTCAGTCATCAGCCGTCATTTAACCATTCATAGAATCAAGAGTTAAGTCTTCTTACCACTCCTGAATGTTTCTTCTCCAGCGCAGCCAGAGCACCCCTGCAATGTCAGCATCTCATCCAGGAGAGGAAAAGCTACCTACTTGTACCCATCCACAGCTGGCCGCAGATCTTTGAACCATTCTAAAGGAACAGTTGCCTTTCCAGTATACAATTGTTGCATGAGCCCCAGAAACAAGTAGCTCTGTATCGCCGATAATGATACCCTCTCTGATGGTGAAGGTGCACAGGTTCCCTCAAGAAATGCGTACACGAACTCTTCCTGTTGTTCTGTAAGAGGTGTTTTCTCTTTGATGTTCTCGAGAAGAGTTACGGCGGCCGAGCCTGGTTGGTCTGGGGTTTTCTTCTTAATCTCCAAAACGTCTCCTGGACTCAGTGGCTCAAAAGGTGTGCAACCGTTCATAAAGATGCTGGCAGTGAGTAATCCAAGAGAATATATGTCCGTCTTGTGAAGATCCTCTAATCTGATCGGCTCTTCTGCATCGAGCTCGGGTGCCATCCATGGCAGACTACCGATTCTCGCTTGGAACATATTCTCAGACTTATAATCATCGAGGATCACCGCATATCCAAAGTCGCATAGCTTAGCCCGGATAGGCGGAAGACCAGTTTTGTCGAGAAGATCATGTTGGCGTTCATCCAAGCCAGAAGTGAAGACGAGCACATTCGTAGGTTTCAGATCAGCATGGACGATGCCGTGAGCGTGGAGAAACTGAAGCGCGCGACCAATGCTCATGGATATTGCCAACTGGGACTTGAAGTCGGCTTTGTTGGAAGAGAGATACTCCGCTAGAGTGCCCTCATCAGCAGCCTCAAGCAAGACTTGCGGCCAAAACCGGCCAACGCTAGGTGACTCGCTCCACGAAATGGCCAGCATCGAAACAATAAAGTCGCATTGTCGAATCGTCTCATTTGACAAAACTCGTATCTCGTTGATAGCAGCGGCAAGCTGAGGCGAGTCACTCGCAACTCCTTGAGAGGTAACAATCTTTTTAGTCACGTATCGTCGAAACTTCTGGCTATCTTTCGCTTTCTGGATCCAGTCGCGTACTCCGGGTGTCGCATTGATGAAGTCCTCATCTGCATCGAGGCTGAGTTCTTCAGCTGATGCAAATACCGCGAATGAAGCGCCTGCGCCAGCGGAGAGAATGTTCATGCTGGCGATGACATTGTTCTGGGCGCTGAGGATTGGAACATCGAGAGCAACAGCGACAGCCAAGAATTCAGCTTGGCCGTTGACTGCGTATGTCTTATCAGGTCGGCTGATGAGTTCCGTCGCCGAAAAAGGAGCGGAATATGTCGAATATGATTGAAAGTCGCCCATTTTGACGACAGATGAATCTCAGGAAGCCCACTTGAAGATCCTTCGCGAGGTGGCTTCTTATTTCACGCATGCCTCGGAATGTGAGGCTGATTTTCTCGCTAGGCTGAAACCAGGTTGTAACATATCTAAGCCATGTCTCGTTCTAGACCAATGAACTACGATATTCGCTCTCGCGAGCTTACGAAACCGCTGCACGAATTTCAGCTTGGGCCGTAAAAAGAGGGGTTCTGGCGCTATTGATTACCTGCATTGGCTTATCAGGGTCTAGATCACCGGTCAAGTCTTCAAACCGGCTTCTCTCGCAACCTCTTCCTTTCAACCCATTTCTACACGTCGAAATGTCTGGGCTTGAGATTCCAGCTTTTATCATCGGCCTTGGCGGCCTGATCTCTGTTTTTGAAAAGGGTTTTGAAGTGTGGCGCGTTATCCGAAGAGCCGATGATTTTGGGGATGATGTCGCGGACTGGATGTGCAAGTTGGAGATGGAGTTCTTTCGGTTCCAGACTTGGTGGACTGCTTTGGAACACCTTGCACTTACGAAAAAGTCGTCGCATTCTGTTCTAAATGTGCCACTTCAATCATCGCCTTTACAGGTGACGCTGGACAAGCAGTTCGGCAAACCGATTATCGACGCTGCGACGAGCGTTCTGAAGCTGCTTGAGAAGATTGAGGGAATACTACAGCGAAACGGTGTCTTGTTAGTTATGCAGGCTGAACCTGTTATAGCAGATCCAGCTGTAGACCTTGGCGAGGCCACCGCAAAATCGAGACAGCGACTGAAGCGATTTGCGAATGAGCTTTTGAAGCATACACCATGGACAACTCGGATCAAGCACAGCACAAGTCCATGGAAAGAAGACTCTGACAAAACCGCACTCGACGATTCTCTCGAGTCCATAATCTACTGGAACAACACTCTGTACAGCATACTGCCCCAGAATATTCGGGACAGTATCCTCGAGCTTGGAATTGCTGGCTACGCTTTGGACTCGTCAGAAAACATCAAAGACATCGTCAACTTGTCCAGTGATCGCAATGGAACATTGAGCCAAAGCGCCAAGTCAATGTCGATACGACAGCGCTTCAAAGATGGCGTGGTCTTGAGTGCTGACATGGATGCTATACTCCAGCAAATGGAGCTCAAAGAAACTGCATTCGAGGGTCTTGTCGCAGCGGATGTCTTCAAGGGATGTCAATACTCGATCTCTCAGTACACCTCTCACGACGGTCAAACTTGTCGTGTCTTCATCGAATGGATACCGATTCCAAAAGACTTCGACGCTTATAAGCTGGCTCACTCTCGGATGGCACGGATCTCATATAGCTTACAGCAGATTGGAACATTTTCAGGAATACAGCCTCTGCCAGCTCTTGGATTCGTTGAGTTAGGGGGCGCAAGATCGTTTGGTCTTGTGTCGACCTTGCCTCGCAGCTTTACATCATCTACAAAGGTTCATACACTTTACGATATGTTGTCGGGGGGTCAAAAGTCGGTGGCGGGTAGCAAACTAGCTTCGCGAGTGCAGCATGCGCTCCCAACTCTGAACCAGCGGCTTCAGCTTGCCTCGAAACTGGTGATGGGGTTCTACACTTTTCTCCTGACTCGGTGGCATCACGAGCGGTTCAATTCTCTGCACATCGCATTCCTGATAAATGAGGCGGACACAAAGTCAAAGGCACTTGACCTCAGTCAACCTATTATTGGAGGGTTCGCAATCTCTCGACCAGATTCACCCACTGAGCTTTCCATTTCAGCGTCAGTTGAAGACACCGAAGCTGTTTACCTACATCCCGATATACGTAAGCGTCTCAAATCAAGAGTCAAGCAGACTGGCAACGAACAGCGTTTCCAGCGCGTCCATGACATTTACGCTGTTGGACTATTACTAGCTGAGATTGGCTATTGGCGACCCATCGCAAAAGTCGCTGAGTCTGGAGCAAAAGGCTCAAAAGCAGACTCCATGTCGCCCGAGCAGTTTAAAGAAGCCGTTATCAAGAAGTGTAAATCAGATCTAGCCTTCTTCGCTGGCGAGACTTACAGGGATATCACGCTGCGGTGCTTACTCGCTGGCGAGTCCGGCGGGGTTCAGGCAGAAAATGATGCGGCTGGTTTAAACAATCTGTATTGGGATGTTGGAATCAATCTGATGACTAGTTAGAAATTATAGAGTCGAAGACTGCTTTACAGTGATTGTCTGTTTGACTGTGAAGATATTCAGGTGGTTGGGGAGGCAGCCGAGTCAAGTCCGACGGATCTGACAGCGAATGCTATCCGCTTACAGGGGCTGAGCTAGGCAGAACGCCCTCCGCCTGCACTAAAATAGGCACACGATGCATGTCTTGGCGGAAGGATTCATGTGCTGAGATTATAAGAATGAGGGTGAAGATACGATAATTGTCACCGAAAGTAACAGATTGCACTTGAACAGCGCAGTTTCAATTTGCTATCATGGCTTCTATCAATGCACCTCCAATGGATTTCACCAACGCTTCATACACAAATCTTCCATCACCAACCTCAATTCGTCTACTGTCATTCATCAAAAGACCACGCCAGCTTTCACCTCCCTCAATTCTAGGTGAACCTCTGCTGGAATGCACCCTAGAAACAGTCGACATAGACGAGGCCCCAGGCTTTGATCTCATCTCTTCAACATGGGGAAATCCAGACAGTGCTGATCCGGGCGATATTGACGAATACGGGCCTATGCATCTTTATCCCGTCACTATCAACGGAAAGTTAATGTTTCTCCCGAAGAACATTTACGAAGCTCTCAAGATGGCTCGAAAAGTCAATGATCCCGTGGAGCAGCGCAATGAACTCTTCTTGGAGACAGAGTTGATGACAGCCGTTGAAAACAATCATCGACCCAAGGTTCAACAGTTGTTAGAGCAAGGTGCACATATCCATGCGCAGGATTGTTTTGGCAAGACGGCGATTCACCACGCAGCACAACTTGGTCATTTCGACATCATCAACATGCTTCTCGACTACGGCGCTAGTATGAAAGTAATTGACTCATATGGTAAAACGCCAATGGACTACATCACATACACAAAGCCAAAGGACTGGGAAAACGTCGAGGATATTGCGTACAAGATGCAAAAGACGCCAGAGGAGAGAGAGCTCGTTACTCTTCCTGAAGTTATCAGAGTCGGCAGACCGATGTGGATTGATGCAATTTGCATCGATCAGAGCAATTCGGAGGAGCGCTCGAATCATGCTTCTTTGATTGCGCAGATTTACTGCCGTGCTAGCTCTGTCATCGCATGGGTTGGAGTTCAGAACGACGAAACGAAACTTGTGCCAGATGCCATTCTATCAATTCTTCGAGCTGATGGCAAAGACCCGGACGAAATCATGTCCGACGAAAGTCCTTCCCCCACAAATCCTGGATGTTCATACATCCCCTCTGACGAAGAAAAGTCATCTATCGTTAGGTTTCTAAGGCGGTCTTGGTTTGAAAGGGCAGATCTCATGCATGAGATTGCTTTTGGGAGAGCAATCACTGTTTACTGTGGCATGGACGCGCTTCCGTTCTCATCTATAATGCAGTTTCTCCGACGAGAGGCATACAGCGGTACTTATCTGCCTTCTGACCTTCAAATCTGGTCTTTACTAGGAAACTCAGGTTCGAAGAAACGAACTTCACTGGGCTCGAGATCAACGAGAAAGAAAGTTCGACGAGATTCGATTGATGGATGATTTCCTTGGCTTAGAGTCTGCTAGTCCATATTTCCTACTATCATTCCTTCTGTCAAATTTCAAACTCCAGGGAGATCCTGTCCTATAAATAACGAACTCGCTATCTCATTACTGTACCCAGTCTGTTGCTAGATTCTAGATCGAGAACTCGTAAGCAAACGCCGTAGCGTTTGTAGGTGGGTTGACAGAAAGTGTCAGCTGTGGTTCGTTAGCTCAGCCATTAACTAAACTCGAATGACACCCATATAAAGCAGCGCTTAATTAGAGGGGCTACTCACCGTATTGGCCGAATAACTATACTTCTTCTCTCCCAGATCAATAGGCCCGTCAACCTTTCCATCCGGCCCAGCCCAGTCGAATCGATATGTTCGCACCTTGACCGTCCCCTTCTTAGGACGTCCTACTCCTCCCAGGCCGCTGACTTCAATGCTATACTTTCCCTGAACGGTTCTAGTGCCGGCTATAATCTTGATCTTATTGCCTTGCTTGGTGGCAAAGACATCAAACTTAGAATCCAACGACGCTTTCGTCAAGAGTCTCTGTCCTGCCATAGCGGCATAGTATTTATATACCTTCCACTCGCCGTTGGGATAGTAAGTCCCCTCAGAGGTACCGGTGGTGCTGTAAACCAAATTGCCCATCCAGTTGTGCAGATTAGATCCGCTGCCCCAGTTAGCGCGTAGACCTCTGAGGTTGTGACGCTCTAGTTGAGAGAGGTAGTAGACGGAGTTGGCTGGGTTCTGTTCATCGAGTGCAGCGTACTCATTGATATCCACTGGTTTCTCGGGCACGTTGTATTGCGCCCGCAAGTTAGCAAAGTCGGGGATAGTCGTGTCGGGCTCACGCTCCCAAGCACCAATCTGGTGCCAGGAGAAACGATCGGGAACCGTTTTGTTGCCTGATACTGATTGTAGCCAGGCATGCCATTTGTCATCGGTCAGAATGGGAGAATGTGCCATGGCTGGGCCGCTGAGAAGGGTTCCGGGAAGTGCTTTTCTAATTCGACCAGTCAGCTCATTGAAAAGCCATGCGAGTCAGTGGTGGTTACTTACCGAAGGAGCTTTGTTGCGCGATTGTAATACTCGAGGAACTGGGGCCACGGGCGATCCCAGAAGATATCAATATCAGGCTCATTCCAAACATCAATCACAAGGGCTTCGAGCATATTATGGGCCTTCAAGTCAGAGACAAGCTGGTTCCAGAATAGCTCCGTCTCGGTCCAATTACCGTTGTCACCAGGAAACGGAGAGTTCGAGCTCTGCCCACCATCTGCACCCCACAGATCATGAGGCAGCAAGATAAAATCAGCGTTATACTTGCGCGTGGTGCGGTAGTTGGACAAGGTTGAGTTGAAGCGGCCGAGGTATCCCTCATAGCCCCCTCTCGCCCAACCTAGCGATAGAATCTGAGCGCCACCGCCGCGGTTTGCGTTGAACTTGATGTCAGTTACCAAGTGATCTGGGATTGAGGTGTCGACATCAGTCCCGTTATCAGGCCAGCCGTAGATGAAGCCTGATCCAAGGGCCTGTGCTAGTCCATGGTTCTGGGAGAGGTCGACAGTTGCTGTGCCTTGTACCTGTGCAGCAACGATGGTGACTAGAGCCAGCACCACAGTGGTGAGAGTGACGCGACGCATCTTTGACAACGAGTTTATCCAAGTCTTGATTAGAGTTGAAACTAAAATTCCTAGCCATCCGATGCGACCCGGGACACGTTGCGAGCTACTTATCAATCCTTTTGCAAAGTTGGCTCTATGCTATTACAAGGTGTAGAGGTGGTACCTTCTCCCCGCCGGGACGCAGATCCCCCGCAGGAGCTCCTAAACAGGTCATTCCAGGTTGAAGAGCAGGAGAACCAAGTACCGATTGAGTTTGCTCCGGTGGGACAGGCTAAACACATCATGTAAGTTTGAAAGTATGCTTAAATCTAAAGGTGATGTCTCAGCCTACCCCGGAAGCCTTCAATTAGAGATACTAAGTCTATTCAAGCTTTTCAGAGTATCTATCCCGACTCTTTTAGTGTTTGCCAACCTTGAATCTGCTTGAGACAGGACATCTAACGTGAAACTCTTGGGGACTGGATGTTGATGAATTCAAACAAGCTCTCACTGTTTAACAGACAGGAAAGATCTGCTAAAACTTCTCCGGCTAAAGAACATGGTACGTCTCGAAAGAAATCAGGTTACTCGGAAGATTACCTTGCTATTTAGAAATACCGAGTCAGATGATGTTGGCAGTGGCTGGGATCCCCCGCATGATCTACTTCATGCCATGCATGCGCGCCTATTGGAAACCCTGCTCTAAAGACTTGGCATGAGCATTGAACGGGCATGCTTAACGGATATCAGGATTGACCTCAAGATATCAGTCTCACATTGGCAAAAGACAAGAATCGTTCTTTGCTCGCTTCTTGACATAAATTAGAGGTCTTATTTTTACGATCGCCTCTAGGTGCAAACTTCATGTTACCGAGAGTAACGTGCTAGAAGCTCTGCAATCGCGGGCTTGAAGTAATGACCAATTTTAAAAGTGGATATTATCATAAACATTAAATAGTGAATTCAATATGTTGTTTGTTTAAAGAAGTAATAAGTTCTGCAAGGTTTATTTCCTACAATATTCAGTCACTGCAGGGTAGTGAGCAGGGATACTAAGAAAACAACTCAACCACGGCCCCTCATCTCTTCAATTGAATAGATTATTTCATCTGCTTTAATTTGGAACCTCGCTATGTGTTCCCAATCACACTCTAGTCATAAATCTCTATTACACCCTTGTAGACTGTGGCCCTCTTATTTGCAAGTATCCGTAAACACCCAGTAATAACTGTGCCACAGAATGCCAGAGTGGACTGGCGACACGACCAGCTCGCTTAACACAACTGAGAATATTTAGATGTATTTATTTACAGTTTGTCATCACTGACTTTGGAACAATGCTATTCTATGGTTTATGTTTGCTCAGTCGTCATCACAACCCGCGTCTGCTTCAAGATGTATTTCTGACTATCCCCATCATCAATACTCTGCCTAACCTTATCGTCGTTTCCAAAACCCACTCGTGTTGTCATTCCCGATCGAAAGTCATTCAACTCTAAACTCGACTTTTGGTTGTTAGAAACAATCCGAGTATGTTTGTTCCCTGAGATATGAGGTGGGTTCATTCGACTCGAGATTCCGTTGGAGCCGGTGTTGCTGGCGTAGGTGCTGCGGAACACGGGGAGGTTGAGAAGTGGGCGAAGGGCAGGCATTGAGCCGGCGATGATTCCGATGCCCTCTTCAACAATAGACCATAGGCCGATTGCGCCGGTGCTGTACATGAATTCTTCGGGGTTGTTGTAGAGTGTGAGGTAGCCGAGCCGGACGACGGTTGCGCAACTGGCACTACAGGATGTTAGATTCGTCACGAAGATCATGAGTCTGACTTACAAAGCGCCAAGTCCAAGCATAACAATGACTGGGAGCTTGACCCTGTTCTTCATCTGGATATTCCACAGCAGGAGACCAGGAAGAATAGCCAGCGTCCAGTCAACGATGATCGAAACAGCAGAAAAGAAGAACCCGACGCTGCTGTTAAGCTTCGTGTTACAGTAGCCGTGTGTCGTTTCTCCCCAAAGTGTTGTGATCGGATGGCAAACGTTCGCAGTGGCGAGGATAAAGATGATGGCGGTGATGACAGTCATGCCGATGAGACCCCATAGAGTCCAGACGAATCGACGGCGTGCATCGCAAATTCGGAGCATCGTGACGCAAATGCTGGACTTGATCGGTACGGAGCAAGCGGAGTAAAAGAATTGGGCGATGAAGAAGAGCTGCGATGTGATGCGTCAGCAACCGCACGATGACTATCGGAGCAACACGTACCTTTGTTCCCATCATAACATCCTTTGTTTCAATAGCGTCTCTATGCTGACCTGCTCCGTGGAAACAGCACGTAATAACCAGCGCAGCCGTAACCGTATACAGAATCTGTCTCTTGTCAGTCGCAGTCTTCACACTCCACCTGAATACATACTAAACCCGCAAACATAAGCCAGTCGTCCAAACCTAGATTATTTTTCCATTTTCGAACTCCAAGACGCGCACTGAGAAAGATCCACGATAGCGTGAGCATCACAATAGTGATCCATAGAAGGGGCACGCCCTCACCGGCTACAGGAGCCATGTTGGTGTTTCAAGGCGAACGACGAAAAAGGTAACAAACAGAGGGACAAAAAAAGGAACAAACAACAAGGTCAGGGACGATTTTGAGATCTGTATCTCCCAGATTTAATATCAAACGGCATAACCAACGTCCCGGAAATTTTGGGCCGGCACCCATGCTCCTCGCCCCTCAGGAAAACCGGCATCCGCAGCATGCAACTCCGTCGTGACATAAACAGTCCGACAAGGCCCACTAGAATATCCCCTGTACCTGCTCAGTTATTTCTCGCGTTGTTTCCGAGGCTCGTTCATATTCGTATACCCCAGCTAGCGTACCGGTTCAAACATAGGGGGCCAGTTAGAAAACGGGTCCTAGGAGCGAACTAAGAGATGACGGACTCGAATCAACGGCTGTCTCAAAAGTTTTAGTGCAATATTTGCGGAGCATTTTGGCCGTGAATGACTCCGAGGCTAAGGATATTGGCTGCTTTTTCTGGAACGTCCACTTTATCCCCGGGCGGCCCGCTAGTCCTAGTGTCTTGGTCAGCCTCATATTAGATTGTGTTTTGGTCTGCGGATGATCTACTGGTGTCCGAAGCCAAGAGATAGTCATGTTCAAAGCGTAAATATGGAATGATAGAAAAAGGTATGCATGCGAAGACATCTCTCGTTCTGGATGTCTCGCTCGTAAGCGTTTGTTACATCAGTGCCGATCAGATCCTTCTGCAGAGATCCATTTCCGACAGAACCAACACCCCGGGCGCCTTTCTCCGGTTATTTCACCAAGAGAACCAGTGGCAAATGAGCATTGCAAAACACGTGATCGCGTACATGCCCAGCAAATATGGATACTAGCATGGATGTAAGATCTAGTCCTCGACTAGACTCGGGACTACAGAAGACAAACAAGAGTTTACCCACCAACGGTTAATGCAAGATGAGAACTCGTACGACTTGCGGGAGTTGCTGTGGATTCCCCGGTTCCACCAAGGACCCTGAACCGGTGTGGACGAAGTCCAATGTAACTTTTCGTGTTTTAGTCTGGGCCACTGCTGCTACCATCGAGTTTCTTCTCACCGCGTCTTTCTGCTTCTTCACGTTTCAAGATTAAAAAAAACATGGCTGAATTTACTATCGACGATCAAAAGCTGGAGGCCCTCAAGGGCAAGGTTGTCATCGTAACAGGTTTGTAACCCCCTACGCGACCAGCGGAATACGAGCTAACAATACATCCTTGATAGGAGGATCTTCCGGTATTGGTTTATCCACTGTTGACTTGCTTTTGTCGCTTGGCGCCTCGGTAGTCAGTGGCGATGTGCAGCCTCCCCCGGAGGAGCACAAGGGATCATTTACCTTTGTCAAGACCGATGTTTCAGTCTGGGGTGATTTGATTGCGCTGTTCAAGAAGGCCAAGGAGGTTTATGGTCGTATTGACCATGTTTTCGCGAATGCTGGTGTTGGACCTAGGACTGATTACCTGGCTACTGAGGTTGATGAGAATGGTGACTTGAAGGAGCCTTCGCATCAGCTTCTTGACATTAGCTTGAAGGGAGTCATCAACACTTCGACGCTGGCTATTAACTATCTGAGACAACAACCTGAGGGAGGAAGCATTCTTATCAGTGGCTCAACAACCGGTCTTCAGCGTGTTCGAGCGGTGGATTACTGTGAGTCACTGTATCCCTACGTCATCGTGTTTTACTAACATCCCAGCTACCGCCAAACACGGTGTCCTGGGCTGGGGACGTGGTCTCGTCCCCCTGCTGGCCGCTGCTCAGCTTCCCATCCGCGTTAATACACTTGCCCCCAGCTGGACAGACAGCAGTGTCTTGCCGTCGCTGAAGGCGCTTCTTGACGCCATCAACGTTGAGCTCCAGCCTGCTTCTGTTGTCGCTCGTTGCGCCGCTTTCCTTATGGCTGATTCGTCGAAGAATGGACAGCTTGTGCATATTGAGCGTGGAAAGTACGCTGAGATTGATGAGGCTGTTTTGTTGCCGACTTTTGGAAAGATCAAGAGCGATGATTATCCTTGGGAGGACGATGTTTTGGACCGTCTCTCAAAGCTGGGTTAAGCAGATTAACGCTTCGTTAAGTATTTTAGAGCCAGTTATGTCAGTTTATTACATTGCAAGCGGCTATAGATGTCAACTATCAAATAAGCTCATAAATCCTCATATCTTGCCTTGCTTCCTGTATTCATCCACTCGATTCAAAATCTCTTGGCAATCGTACCATATTCTGCGTCGATTCTGCAGTCCAAGCAATGTTTTCCAGTTCTTGGACACCTCGACTTGAACACGCAGCCAATCTGTTTCACTTTTGCTGAGTAGCTTGACTGGATGAGGAGTTGTACTAATACTGCCTCCGCGTTCCATCTCATGGTTGATCTCTGCTTGAGTTGTTGTGGCCCAGAACGAGATAGGCAATGACGACCATGCCTCATACAACCAAGGAGTTTCTCGAACAGTCACCTCGTACAATACAGTGTTGGGCAGATGCAGAAATAAGCGAGAGGTGAGTCGGAGGTTGGCAAGGTCCTTGAAACTGAGATGGATGAGAATCTCACGAATCATCTCGCTAGGAAGCCTTGAGAATGGGTCGTAAGGGGCTGGTTTCGTGGATATCGTGGTTCCAGAAAGGCTAGACTCATTCCCAAGGGTATGTTCCACGCTCTGTGTCGACTGAAGAAGATCGTCCAATCCAGGCACAAAGCAAGGGTTGGCCACTAGGAATTCGCCTCCACGCTCATGACTCCACCACTGCTCCGCAGCCTGTTTAACAGCAGGATGACGGGGGAAGCCATGGAAATCTTCGTAATCTGGTTCAAGGCGCCACCATTGCATCAAACACTCGACATCCACACTTCCATACCGATATAACGTGGCTCTCTTGAATATCTCGAAGCAGGTCGGATGGAAGGGCATGCAGTACTCGTCCTCATCTCCGGCATCCCAGATGACGTTTTCTGCTCTGACATCGCTCATGCCATGACGCGAGGGAGAAACAGACGGCCAACCCATATCTCTACTGGGCATGTCGTCGGACAAACCGCTGAGGCAGAATTTTCCCGAAGCTTCAAAGTCTTGGTCGTCTCTCTCAGGCTGCCAGTCGTCGTCCTTTAGAACAAGACACTGGGATGTTTGACAGTGTTTCATAGCCTCTGCAGAGATGTGATTTCCGTTATAGGCTCCGTTGTACTGGCATTCTGGTCCAGCGATGTGTTCCCATTCATCACCTGGCGTGTCTGACGTCCATCCGTCGTCGGATGAATCTTCTGGGTCCATTTTCGGTGGGATATACTTGACTGGTTCCGAGGACGCCGATCCAGGTTCTTGGACCCCATCTCTTTTCACGTAGTAGCATCCCCACTGGCCGTGACTGTTTTCAGGGTTGACGGTGAGGCTGCTGCCCCAGCCTGCGCTTCGAGGCTCTTTGTCTGTTCGGGAGCGGCTGATGTTGAAACTGACGCCACAAATATGGCAAAGGACTTCAGAGTAGCCCATGATGTTTACTCAACAAGACCAATAAGTTGAAGCTGTTGTGAGCAGACAGATTACGACAGAGCGATAAATGGTGTTTTAAAGACCGCTAGTGCTGATTCTAGGCAGCGAGCCCCACATATCACTTCTAAGCCATTGGTAAAGAGCAGGCTTCCAGAAGGATGCCTGATAAAAGCCTGGATTTTTTTTAATTATCTAACTAATCTCAAGCTAAACCGAGGAACAGAGCATTTGTATGAAAAGCAACAAGACTCTTAGTGTCGTTTAGAAACAGGTGCCCCAGAAATCCAGAAGCCATGACGATCCAGCCACAATGGCACAACCCCGTCTACCTTGCATAACCGCCACGCCAAGACGCGGAAGCCAGCTCTCTCAATCTCGCCAAAGTCAGGCTTCAGACGCTCAAACACCACAGAAGGCCACAATGCAGCGCGATCCTCAAAGATGGGATCTTCTCTGTTGTCAATCATATCGCAGATCATTTGGTTACGTATGCAAAGAACCTCTATGTCCCCAGCAAGAACGTCTCCAGGTTGGAGAAATTGCAACCATCTCCAGTCGTAGAACATCCCACCTTCAAGCTCGTTGAAGCTGTAGATGTACTGCGGCTTGCATTCGCGGCGGAGGTAGAGACTGCAGGCAACATTCCTGATACCGCGGTTAGCGTCAAGAATAAAAGCCGTGAGAATGGAGTGTTTGATTGAGAGGTTGGGATGCGGGTTTGCCTTGATTCTACCAGCGCGCAGCTTGGGGTCGAGTTCAGGAATAGTCCCAGCTATCTCGGGATTCTCGTGCCGTCTGAAACGGTAAGCCATCATGATTTCGTTCTCCTTTTGCTACTTCGGGTGCGCAGCCGTGCTGGTGTAATAAAGCTGCTTGTTCTTTTCGATCATCCCGCATTTTTGAAGGCCATCTAGCAATGATTCGAACTCGGGGGCCAAACAGTAAGTATCTTCAGGCGGGGCAGGATTGGCCTTTGTCACCAAGACAGAAGAGCATGGGTCGTTTATCGAATCCTGGAGTCCAAAGTTCCACTTCATGACACGAATCCCATTCTCCAGAGCTTTGGTTCGTCGTTGAATCTCACCTTGTTTGCGCGCCGCAGGCCAATAATCGATGAAAGGGTATTCAAGAATCTCTCCTTCCTCCAGCGATTCCGAGACCGATAAGAAAGACTTCGCATCATATTCGAGGTTGTCATTCAAGCCAAACCTGCGGGCTAAAGATCCGCTACCTAACTTGAGAGCATGGACTTCGTATTCCAGTGCCTGGAGTCGATCTTGAATTTCCGCATTGTGGCGAGTCATGGTACACAGTTCCATTGTTGAAGAGGGTGCTTGGTGAACCTGCTGTTGAACCTGATTTCCTAGTACTATTAGTGATGGGATTCCTGGTATTGGAGCTGCCTTATGGTGAATCTGCCTAGATTTGGGGGTAATGTTTAGCTTCTTATATGGCTTTATGCTTCCGCAGGATAGATAGCGCTTCTGCCATGTTGAACATCAGTAGCAGAACATTCAGTGAGAGATCGTGAACAGCACGGAAAGGCTGGTGAATAAAAGGTGGAGGAACAACAAAATATGAACATTGGACTAGACGTGAGGTCTGAAAGATATGATGAACAACATCTAATTCAAGGGTTTCTCGTCAAGTGTAGTGCTAGTGCTGACCGTTAGGTATTCTCATGCGATACATCAAGGCCTCCTGGTTAGACCCTCGAATTTCCCGGTTGATACGCCACACAGCTACGTAAAAATGGTAGCTAAAGCCCGTATACCAGTTCGCGATCGGAATGTGAGATAAGCATGCTGCAGCTAAACGCTGTCCTTGCTCCACTTGCCCCTACCTCTGATCTTCTTTCCCCAAACAAAGAACAGAAAAGGAACAGGGATCAACACCGCAGCTATACAACCAAAGACGGTTGTTCCCCAGTCCACCCCAAGTTTGTGGTACATGGGGATGATGAACAAAGGGAATGCACCCGAGAACATGGATCGCATAAAGGTATTGGCTGCAACTGCACTTGCGCTGTAACGTGTGAATGTGTCAATGAGATAGCCTAGTGCAGCTTGGAAGATGGTTGTGAAGCCGAGACCTGTCAAAGCGATGCCGATGATTGATGGCCAATAGTTGATGTTCGGAGATGAGGTACCTGGTATTTTTAGCTTCGAAGTCTTGTGGCAGCCAATGTCACTTACATGCGAAGAGGAACTGTCCGGCCGTAAAGACGATACCCCCGAGCATCATCGGAGGCAATCTCGCCTCCGGAACAGCTCTGTATCCATTCTCCATAAGTCTCTTGCGATAGTATGTGTTATTGTAAATATTGATCGCTGCTGCGCAAAGGATGCCAATCAACAGAGCGATGAAAGGCAAAGTGCCAACCACTGGCCCCCATTGGCGCACTTCCTGGTACTCGATGGAAAAGCTTTCGAGGTTTGCATAGAGAATCCCTGGACTTGATGAGCATTGGTGTGGAATGTTTGCAAAGCGGCTTACCGTAGACGAATGAGGCGTACAACGACATGAGAAAGCAGATTGGGGTTGCCATCATTTGGAAAGGACGGATGAAGTACTTCTGGTATAGCTCTTTGAATGACACGTCCCATTCCTCATGCTATTGTACTGTCAGCTCGTAATCTCATAGTGTAGTATTCAACTTACCTTAGCATGTAACGCCCAGTGCTGCGTCTGAAGTCTCAGTTTATGAGCCTTTCGAGCCAACAAAATAGGTGCGTAGCTCTCATCAATCACCAGAAGATCGACAGCAAGCTGAGCCATCATCACAATACCGGTCAGGTACTCAGTCCACCTCCAGCCTAGACGGCTCGAGCACAGCGCTCCGCCGATTATAGGACCCAATGTCGGGCCGCCAACAATAGTAACTCCGTACGCGACAATGGCGTTACCAAGTTGGTGGGGGACCCATATATCCGCCATGACACCTCCGGTAATTGTAACAGGTGCGCTACCAAACAGGCCCGAGAAGAAACGCGTGATGAGAACTGTTTGGATGTCCTTGGCTGTAGCTGTACCGAACGAGAATACGGCGGCGATAAAGTATGGCTGTCTTAGTCAGTTCATTGCATCTTAACAGTGGAGTGCTAACGCACAATAAGGATAAGCCACTTCCGACCATAAAGCTCACTCAGTGGTCCCCAAACTAGAGGTCCAAGACCAAATCCAAAAACAAGCAGACTCGTCGCTGCAGCGGATGTCTCAGTATTGACGTTGAACTCGGCAGAAACAGGTTCAATGGCGGCAGCGAAAATGGCAGAGGCCAAAGTGATCCAGCAAGTCGTGAGACCATAAGAGATGGTGGTGATGAACTTCTTGCGGAAGGTCCAGTTTACTGGGTTGTAGGGATCATCCGGGTCGTCAAAGGTCACGAGATGGTCTGGGTATTGATCATCGATCGTAGGTTTCTGGTCTGAGGCCATTTCGGTTGTGATGGTAACTTGATCGCTCATGTTCGCTATTGATCCTAAGTTTGTGAATAGTGAAGTAATCAGAAATTACTGCTCTCCTCTGGCTTTTATTTAAGCTCCTCATTTCTTGGTCAGGCAAGGAATTGGCAATCAGTTGTCACTACCTCCTTATGCGACGGCCGGCACCGAGTCGACACCTGAGGTCCAACTCCTATTATGAGCCAAACAACGGAACCTCGTCATTAGCGCCGAGTGATGTTTCCATGCCGAGCCCGATCATGCCGGGACCGCTTCTAAAGCCCGGAAGGAAAAGGTACCTCTGCTCACTTATTGGACCAATTTGGGATGCGAGTGTAAGCCGGAGACGCATAAGCTTACCCGTCTCCGCCCTGGTCCGTGCTATCGATGTTAGCGAGCCACTAAGATAAGGTTGATGACAGAGGCCGCTGATACAGGCACTGAATGTTGGTTCATCACCTCAGCCTTTACATTCTAATTCTCTCAACAATTCAAGGGCCAGTCATGGCATCTTCAATCTCAGGAGACTCCCCTCCGAGGGTTCCGACAACTTCATCCACTAATAAAACAGCAAAAATGAGTTCTACCTTGGACTCTCCCGTTCTAACTCCATCGACTCCGTCTGATCCACTTCCTCTCCGCAGCTGCACCTTTTGCCGCCAGCGAAAAGTCAAATGCGATCGTCAAAAGCCCTGCTCTAATTGTCTCCGCGCTAATAATGTCTGCTCATATCCCGCTGGTCGTGGTAGGGCTGCTAAGAAGCCTACACGGACGTTGGATACTCGTCTTGTGGATCGGCTCCAAAAATTGGAAAACATCATCAAGCAACTTACTAGCCAGGTCGATGCCACAGCAAATGCTCTGCCATCTAGTAATGGTACAGATGGAGAAAGTGTATCGACACCCAGTGGCACGAGGAATAACCCGTCCGGAGTGGACAATTCTGCTCCTGATGCTTCCATCGATCAGCAGCTTGGTCGTCTGATGATAGAGGATAGCAAGAGCTACTACGTCAGTAACATTCTATGGGCCAACCTAGGAAACGAAGTAAGTACTCCAGCACCAAACTTACTTATCGCAGCTGCTAAGTTGCCTGATATTCAGATCGAGGAATTACGCGACATGCTACACGACCCTCCATCTGAAGAGGATGTCGACAATCCTCTTGATGCATCTGGGCCCATGCCAGAAGTGGCCTCGCCTCTTGGAACAAGCGCTTCAGTCTTTGGATATCGCTCCCTCTGTAATTCTCTTCTTCCCTACCACCCGCCTATGCACCTCTCAGTCACTCTCTTGAACATCTTCATCGAGAATGTCCTTCCGCTGGTGCATATCTTCCATATGCCCTCGACAGAACAGTGGTTCTGGGACTCCATCATTTCACTTGATACACTTGATAGAAACTCAGAAGCATTGCTATTTGCCATCTACTACTCATCTGTCATCAGCATGGATGAAGCCCAGTGCTTGGGCGTCCTCGGAGAGTCACGTTCTACCTCGCTTAACAAGTTCCGCTTTGCGGTCGAGCAAGCCATGGCTCGCGCGAACTTGCTCAATACGCAGAGCTTGGTTCTCCTCCAGGCTGCTGTTCTGTTCCTCTCAGGCCTACGAAACGAAGATGACTCTAGAACGACATGGTCTTTGACGTCGCTAGTGTTTCACATCTCCCAGGCTATGGGTCTGCATCGTGACGGAACAACATTTGGTCTCAAACCATTCGATACTGAGCTTCGGAGACGGCTCTGGTGGCATATATGTCTCCTAGACATGCGCTCCTCTGAGTTCCATGGATATGAACCTATAGCGCGAGGCGACATGTTTGACACAAAGCTTCCCCTCAACATCAATGATAGCGATATCACCCCCCATATGACGGAATCTCCTAAAGATCATGAAGGATACACTCAAATGACGTTCTGTCTTATCCGTTGCGAGGTGATGAAAGCGGGTTGGAAGGTTGGATATGCATCACCAACTCCAAGCTCGACAGCCGCTGCAGCACGAGGTGGCGGTGAACTAATCGTTCAAGAGCTCAAGAGCCGATTAGAGGAACGCTATCTACGTTACTGTGATGAATCCGTACCATTCATGCTGTTTACATCAAAGGTCGCCCAACTCATCGTTGCCCGTACAGGGCTCATCGTTGACTTCCCAAGGAAGCAAAGGGAAGCATACACCTCGACCGTCATCCGAGATCAACTGTTTTCCACCTCAATGGAGGTTCTCGAACTTTCAAGTTTCATCTTGACAAATACCAGTATTTCGAAGTGGACGTGGCACTCTAAAGCGCATATCCAGTGGCATGCAGCCATCTTTGTCCTGTCTGAGATATGTTCTCGTCCTGCGTCTACGGAATGCGACCAGGCTTGGGAATTTATCAACACGGTTCATAATCGCTGGGGTATGAACGAAAAGGGTAAGAGAGGGAACCTCTGGCGGCCTGTTCAGAGACTCATGGTTAAAGCTCGTTATGTAAGGGAGATGCAACAGCTGGATCCTGGTTTTTATCTTGCTGGAAGAATGACTATGTCTGATACGACGTCCGTGCAGGCTGGGAGGGTTAGATTGCAGTGGGAAACTCCAGATTCATACGTTACGTCTAATATTGCAAGCCCAAGTGAGTATATGGATTGGATAATTGGAGATCTAGGGATAGACCTATAGGGTGAGTTAATAGATGGGGCCAACTAGAGTTAAAACAGGAACGTGTATCAGCAACCTGTCGCCTCTAAGTACTTATCAGCCGCCTACGTTGCTGACGTTGCTGAGTTGGTGTCTGTGCCTGTTTATTAAGTAAAGAGCAATTAACCACACCTTTATTAATAGCATCAATTGGCATTTGCATGCCGAGCGCTAGAGCATAACGTTGGGTACTGTGATAGAGAGGAGGGCGTAATTCCACTAAGCCAGTTAGCACGAAGTCGACCGGGATGCCACTTCCGAGTGAGAAAATGCTGCATAAACCGGCAGCGTATGCATTGTTCCAATCTTTTCACCTGACTCATTTCCTCCTCTCCTTGAATTTCTATTGGCCGCGTTCGGGACCGAAGAGTGCTGTGTTACACTGCCTGCATGTAAAATATTGGTGGCGGCGCTCGTCCTAAGTTATGATTGGCGGTTCACAATGCCAATTGTCGTAAAATGTTTTCAGCTCTTGTTGGGCGCTAATCACTCTGCAGAATACGTCCAACTACACAAGGAAACTCTGGTTGAAGATGCAGGTCTACGGCGGGGCTTGAGCACTTTGGGCGAGTCCTGCAGCTTTCTTGTACTATCAGGGTCTGGGCTTGGGTACGCAACCTGGAACCATTCTTTTTCCTCTTTCACTCATCTTTTAACGGCCATCAAAACTGCCCAAACCTTCTACAATCTAGGTTCATATCGCGAGCTTAAATCACAGTTTCTCGAAACGGAAGACGCTAAATACCGGCAATCAAGTCATATAACTGAACGACCGAAGACATCCCGATCATGTCTGCGCCACCAATAAATCAGTCCCCTGTGCCGACAGACAAACATTCCGTTGTTTTTGACGAACTCTTCAGAGGTGACGAAGAGTCCAACGATGTTTCAGCTGTAGACGTCGTTGTCGTTTATGCCATTTATGAAGATAAAGATCCAATGTCTCTCTTCAGTCAACCACTTCCAGACCCACTGCCTGATTCCGGTCCCGAAAAGTCAACTGGGGCAGCAAAGAACAAGCACGAGATATTTCAACACGAGTCCGGAAACAAGCCGAAGAAGGAAGAAAGGGGTACTCCAGCTCAAAAATGGTGCAATTGGCTTAAGGACAAGGAAATGCTCCGATCAGCGTTACCAGCGATTGGCATCCTGAGCTGTGGCCTCAAAATGGCCCGAAATACTTCTGTTGACTTCCACGCAGTATCTCGTAGGATTGGGGATGAGGTCGTAAGGTGGCGAGCACAAAGAAAAAGGCCTATCATATGGATAGCTCATGGGTACGGGACAAGGGTTGTCCGCCATCTATCGGAACCAAACAGCTCTGCAAGAGGCCTTGTCTCAGCTACAGCGGCCATTCTTCTATTTGCGGCCCCAACTGACGCATCTAAAGCCTGTTTGTTACGAGAGTGGACATGTAACAAGCTTAATATTCCCCTAGACTCGAAGAACGCACCGTTCGAAAATGAGGCGACTCCTAGCTCTATCAATCTTGTTGAGCTGGTTACAGTGTCCAAGGAGTACGACATGACCCTTCTATCAGTCGTTGATGGAGAACGCTCTGGAGCATCTAAAGTACAAGATGAGGTCGATCAAAAGAACGTCTCGACTAAGCCAGGCGATACGAAACAAAAGGAGAAAGCAAATCTGTCTCGTGACCGAGAACATACTTCAGGAACCCAGAGTATCCAAACACAAGCCCAAGTCGACAGGTTTATCGACCACATCCCGGTAAAGAAAGGGGACTTTGGTGACACAGCCAAATTCCGAGGCCGTGAGGATCGCACATTCGTGCACATCTGTAATAAATTACAAAATGCAGCCAAGACTTACCAGATCCTATCGGCCGCTAGGCGTGGCACCCAGGGAGATATGGAACGACTCATCAAGAAAGGTATCAATGTGCAGCTTTCTAACAACAGAGGCGAGTCTGCATTGCACATTGCCTGTGAATCTAAAGATCCAAGCATCGTGCAGTATCTCGTTGGAATTAGGCAGATCGACCTGAGGCAGCCTGATCGTAACGGCATGACAGCCCTTCACATCGCCGCTCAGCGATTAGATAAATCAGGTCCGGAAGTTGTGAGGATGCTCTTGGAGGCAGGAGCAAACTGGACGGTTCGAGATGACAATCACCATACACCTCTTGATCTTGCTCGTGGTATGGCAGCTCACGACACGGAGAGTCAACCAGTCGATGAGAATAAGGAGAAGATTATTGATCTCCTGAACAATCCTCCATCAGTGCGGCGTGTGTTTGCAAATAGAGGTATGGTAGTAGCAGAGAGACGAGACGAGCTAAAGAAAGCCTGTGCAAATGTACAAATGACGGTCCGGGAGTTAAACTTCGCTCCCGGCCGAGACATGGTTCATCTCCCCAAGTATGCCACCGTCGAAGAAGTCATATACGGACAGCGCGACATCAACGAACTCATGAAAGAGTGGTTTCAAAAACATCAGCCCGACGAGGAGGCCAAAAATCAGGTATGCCGATGGTTTCACATACCAGTCAATAATGTAAGCTCGAGTCATTCTTGTTGTTACTAGCGATTAGATGAGTTGCTAACGAGGAATAAATAGATGGCTTGGGTCCATGTGTGTGTCTCATTTCTTACGAAAGAAGACTTCCGCTAAGTTACCAGGATCTGTTTGTCCAACTCAAGATAAAAGAGTGGCCCTGGCCACAGGGTTTCAAAGATTATGGGCGGCCGCAAAGTGTATGTTGCTCCTTAGACTATCACTCAACTACTCCAGCAGCCCATATTACTATTTTCCCAAGTTTTCTATGGCCTATGCTTACAAATCGGCCTATTTCCACCAGAGATGTGCATACCCTCATTATTACAAATTTCCGAACCTTGGAGAAAAGAACAACGCCTATGCGTTTATGGTGAGTTCATTTCCACTGTGCACAATTTGTCTGTATAATACGCTGAAACTTGTTTCAAGATGCCATATGTTGCATTTGGCAACAGTCAGAATCAAGGTAAGGCTGAGAAAGTCATGGATAATCTAATGGCTCGTAGTAGCCCAGGTCACCGACTTTCCTTCGCTCGGCTGCCTCCATACATGTTGGAATTGAGAGTATTTAAATTCTTTAAGGACATTTTCGATACTGATATTGATGAACTTCCGGCTAAACATTTCGAAAGCTTCCGCAATCGCTTGGCGGATGCGGGTCTTTGGCCAAGGATGTCATTGCAGGATATTTATGAAGATGAAGAAGGCCTGATCTCTACGGCCAACATGGGGTTTTGGAATTATCTGTTCTATACACATCCGGTATCTCGTGAAGATCTACCATTACATCCGCGACGGTTGGTGAATAACTGCTCCCACAGAAACTGACAGTGAATACTGATGAATCTTCTTCAAATGCGAAGTACATTAGACCAGTCATACTACTACATGCTTCCGGACACCTCCTATCGAGATAAAAGCCAGGTTTATTCGCGGTGGTCTATAGAGCAGCGGGTATCGGATCAACAGCATCGCCAAAGGGGTTCTCAGTAAGAGTCCAACATCATAAAAGTCTCTTTCATGCTGACTCTCAGAAACCACAAAAGCTTGCAGGATATCCTTTTCGGCGTTGTGGACTCTGGAGATGACTTATCCGATTTTGAGGACCGGTGTTCCCTTAGTGAGAACTCTTCACGACGATCGGGCGTCGATATACTCATGGTTGATCAATTATGGCTCTGGCTGATCCCTGGCAAGAAAGAGGGAGACAAGTCGAGTCCAGATACACTGATCACTAGCTTCCCCAGTTCGGATGAACCACGATCACCGTTAGAGCCATTAGACGAGCGAATCATAAAGGACCCTAACCGAAGTGAATGCGTTTCAACGCGGGAATTGGTTAAATCAATTCTTAATGGATGTAGCCAAAAACTTCGTGTGAGTCAGGAGGAGTCACTAAATGCAATGGAAGCATTTGAAAATGCGATAGGAAATGCAGTAAGTGCTCTGGCCTTTTGGATCCAACTACTGATTTGGCGATTCCAGGAAGAGAAGGAGGCACAGCTCTTTCAGGTCTTCAACATTTTATCTGGGCTGCTTTCTGACCTAGACGACAAAGATCGACTCTATCCTCAACTTCAAAAACGCTATCTCAGGTATCTAGACATTCTCAAAGAAGTACAACTTCTGACTGAAGTCAAAGATATCCTCGATGAGATTAAAATGATCGAAAAAGTTGTGGAGAGTCAAAGACAGGTTCTGTGCGAATATGAAAAAGATGACGAACCCCGTGATGGATTGGGCGTACGTCCACAATTGATACCACCACTACTCAGAGTTCAAGAGGGCTTTAAGAATATGAAGGATCGAGCACAGGCGGTTGAGAAATCGGTATGACCTCTCTTCTGGACTGTATACCATTTTTACTAATATGTCCCTAGATCGAGCGATTACTTGACCTCAAACAGAAGCAGGCAAATACCTGGGAAGCACGAATTGCGCGAGAAGGAGCAGCTGAGACAGCCAAGCAAGGTAGCGTATGTGCTAGCCCTCCCCCTATTTTTATAATGATTGAAGGGCTAATAAAACTTTCGTACACAAGAATCTCTTTTGGTTTACAATAGTTACCATTATCTTTGTAAGCCTTCGTAAACTTGACAATGGGATGATGCAGGCTTACGCTTTATAGCTACCACTATCATTCATGGCCAGCTTCTTGGCTCTTGACGTCGATCAGTTTCCACAGGATCCTGAGTCTCGGGAGACTAGTTGGCCCCTGGCGCGCGTTTGTGCATTGATATGTAAGCAAAATCCAGTAAGCCCTTTCTGTTAAGCCTTATTGACCAGAATAAGTTGGCATTTCTTTTGCCATGTCTGTCCCACTGATCCTGGTTGTATTAAGCAAGGATAGAGTTGAATTCATTATACGCAAATGTTTTCAGAAGCTCCGGGTTTTATATGCATTCTTCAGCCCGATTTCGCTGGCGGCAGTTTTATATGCATTCTTCAGCCAGATTTCGCTGGCGGCAGTCGTGGATCGTTCTAAAGCTGCTTTTGCGTCTCGGGGTAAAGAAACAAAGGAAGATCCAGAAAGACATGAGGGCTGATACTCCACGCTGAAGTATATGAGTGATAGGCTATGGCTTGGGCTTACCGTAGTGGATGCATGTTCAATTGCTATGTGAGAATGTGCACAAAACGAGTTGAACTTTCCTGAGCCTGTTTCCTGCATCTAAGCCAGGACGGTGAGGAGCAGGACTGGCCATGTCAATAGAAGAACCATTAACTACTCTAGAGATCTGAACAACTGTTGGTCCCTGTACTTTATACACCAGCACTGACGTCAACCAAAATCTTGACATGATTATCCTTATCATTGATAAGCGTCTGGAACCCCTCTTCAACAACCTTATCCATCTTGATAACCTTTGTAATCATCCCTTCAGGCGTAATCTTGCCATTCGACAGCGCCTCAATGACCTCCTCAAAGTCACCAAGGGCATAAGTGGCGCTAAACCAAGTTAGAATCGCTTCAACGACGGCAGAGAGAGAACTTACCATCCAACATATGATCGTTCACGGAACACGATCTGATTCATGTTCAATTGAGCCCTCTTTTCCCAGACGGCGATATTGACGAGTACAGCTCTGGCCTTGAGGCAATCAAACGCTGCATCGATGGCATGTTGAGATCCAGCTGCGTCGAAACCGACGTCTGCGCCCAAACCATCGGTCAATTTCTTGACTTCAGCCACGATGTCGTCTTTGGTGGGGTCGAAGACATGATGAGCGCCAAACTTCTTTGCAAACTCTCTTCGCTTCGAGCTGACCTCGCTGAGAATAATGTTCTTGCACCCCCTGCCAATCAACGCCTGCACAACAGCCAGTCCAATTGGTCCACCGCCAACAACAAACGCTGAATCACCTTCTTGATATGGTGATATCTTGATAGCATGCCATCCAACAGCCAGTGGTTCAACAAGCGCTCCGACCTCGAGAGAAACATTATCAGGCAACTTCTTCACAGCATCCTGCGGAACAACTGTTGTCTCACAGAGACCGCCTCCCCAACCACTCAACCCAATGAAGCCATTCTTATCACAGCAATTGACTAGCCCGCGCTTGCACGAGCGGCACTCATTATCGTAGATAATCGGCTGAACACAAACGCGATCTCCTTTCTGGAGGCGCGTGACTTCACTCCCGACTTCTTCAACGATGCCGCTGAACTCATGACCCAGAGTGAGTGGCGATGTTTCCCCGGTGATGCCGTGCGGGGTGCCGGGCTTGGGGATGAGGTTGTTGCCACCGAGATACTCGTGGACGTCTGTCCCGCAGATCCCGCAGAACTTGGGCGAGATGCGGACCGAGTTTGAGTTGAGGGATGGGAGGGGTACGTCTTCTAGCCGGACATCCTGCTGTCCGTGGAAACGCACTGCTTTCATTGACATGATGGAAGAAGAAGTCAAGAACCAACAATAGTGATGGGAAGAAGAGAGGGGTTGTATTGTGTAACAAACGTTGCTTTTATAACATCCTCAGCTGATTCAGAACGTGACTACTTCCCCTCATTGTACGTGTTTCCAGAGATAGTAATGCGAAGTCACAAAGTCACTTATAAGCCTAGCGTGATGGGATGATCGGATTACCTGATGCGGATTAGGTTAGGGTTAAGAATGAACAGGGGGAAGTTTCCACGAATGACGAGTGGCGTGGGGATGCGGGGAGGACTCGGCGAGAACCGACCAACATGAGATCGTGATCCGCGAGGACTTAAAGTGGTCTGCTGCATTGAGTCTCGCCATAAATCAGCAAATCGATGGAGGTGGCAAGTGCATAAACGATCAGGTCGAGTTCGGCATTGCAGACAGGATCTATGTCCTCACTCTATTGATATTCATTTTACTCAACCATATAGGCTGCCATTTGGCACCAAACAGCACGTATATATGTCTATTTCTCATCGCTATTGCAGAGAATGTCTCAAAGCTTTGCAAAAGAAAAAAAAAAGAAAAAAAGAAAGAAAGAAAGAAAGAAAGAAAGAAAGAAAAAAAGAAAAAAAGAATTAAGATATAAATTGTATCTATCGGTCATTCAGTCGGGTCTAACTTATTTGATGACCTGAGCTTTATTGATCAATTGTGGAATGCAGGGTATTCGGCTACTCAATATCAATACAGCAGCGCAATTTACTTATCTTTATCCTTCTCCTCCTCTTTCTCTTTCTCTTCCCTTTTTGCTTTTTCTTTATCATTCTCCTTCTCCTTCTTGATATTAATTCTCTTTTTAGAATCATTGTCCTCCTTCTTGTCATCGCCCCGTTCCTCGCCCTTCCATACTCATATTTTGATAACTTATTCCTGAACCTTTTGGTAGGGAACCTATCCCAGCCAATTAGATCGGCGGCAACCCACTTCCCGTAGTGGTTCTCGACCTTCTTCAAGTCCTTGTCCTTGGCAAATCGAAGGCCATGGGTTGTCATGGGCCTCTTGTAATACACTATCAGAAGATGACCGTCTTGCAGTATCGGGTTGTCCCTGCGGTGGTACTTCCTGTGTACAGAGGATAGATCTAAGCCACTCTGTCAAAATTAAGAGTAAGTAGCTAGTCAGAACCCCCACGGAGGGTAGATGATGGCGCAAGTCAATTGACGCCTATTCTCTCACTGGTTTTTCTTAACAACGATTTTCTACCAAAGCCGGGAAATTACAGCCACTTACGGCACTAATGCAGCCAATTAAATGGCTGCATGCTCAACGCCCAGGGGATTTGTATGCTGAATTCGTTTAGCTAAACCGTCAAGTTGGGTCTGGCGTTGCACTAAAAACCTCACTATCGACTGTAGCACCTGTTAGCCCGTTGGCATTTTTGAGGCCCCTTTCCAAATGCCGAAGTCACGATAATAAAAGGATGCAAAAGACCCGCCGAATCTTGGTTTTCCCATTTTTTGCTTGTATTCACTTCAGTCACTCTTTATCTGCGACAATGCGATCTGTCATTCATTTGCGAGTGGCGTTTGGCTTATTGGCCATTGGCTCTGCTGTCGCAAGCCCTTGCAAGCCTCGTGAGTATTTATCGATGAGAGTGTTGATTCTTTGAGTACTAAAATAAGATTAGCCTCAGTCACAACAACCTCTACTGTCACTTCTGCTACCATATCCACTACTGTCACTTCAGATGCTTCCACCGAGGTATCTGTGTCTACTTCCTTTGCATCCACCACTGAAAATGAAGGCGCCACTTCGTCCACGGTAGTTGAGTCCTCTACCGAGACATTTGTCTATTCCACCGAGACATCTGCTTCATCGGCTGAAACATCGGATGCGTCCATCACCGTTGAGACGTCTACAGCCTCAGCCACCACGACTTACACTACCGAGGTTACAACTGCTGAGCCAACCACCACCGATGTCACCACGACCATCGCTGAGACAACGTCATCCGCAGCTATCCCTACCTTCACAATGTTCGCTTCCGGCTCAAACGCCATCGCAGGCAGAAGTCTCGAAACTTACAACCGCGACGGCACTGTGGCCGTATTCGATCCCGCCACCGAGGACGACAACCCCTCTGCCCGACCATACTCCATTGACTCTCAAGGCAGGATCGTGAATGATCTGGGCTGGTTCCTTTGCGGGTACTACGGTGCGACGAACGAGGAACTTAACAGACCTGCGACGGTTGTGACCTGTCATAGCGAGACTCCTCTGCAGAAAGCTTTCCTGACTTGCGAGTTATCTGGCCCCTTTGGGATCGAGTGCTCGGTCCCGGCCATGTCTTGTGTCTCGAGTGGATCTTCCAGTATGGGTCCGACATGTATACCTACTGCAGGTACTTGGAGCTTGGCTTCTGTCGGTGTTCGGGCGTTTGGCCATACCTGGCTGATTGGAAGCAGTGATACACCGGCTACTTATGAACGTATGACCATGAGCATCCGAGAGGTCTGAGAGTTGGAGATAGAACTGAATAGACATATCATATTTTATGTATAGATAGTAAGATAAATTAGATAGACTATATTAACATTTCTTTATATATATACTTAAATTTAACTTATAGAATTTATTTATTAAGAATATAGATGTTTCTAAGTTTAAATTCTTAAGTATCTCTTTAATATTCTATTATATATATACCTTAATAGATAATCCTTTTTAAAAATAATAATACTCTAGTAACTACTTCTTTTAGACTGCATCCCATGTTGTTTCCATTTTGCCTCTATCCCGAGAAGAAACCTGATCTTCTATCCTCACAACCACGTCAGTCATTACCGTGATGCCTTTGCTGTCCACATGCCGAAGCTCCACAGATTCTGTCATCCCGTCACCGCCTGTGACGATAGCTCTTGCGCTTGCGCCATCACTCCCAGGGTCGGTGTCAGCTACATGGGGCTGCCTGATGTATTGACTTGCACCAGGCCGAGTTCCGGTCCGAGTTCCTCGAGCGGTCGTCTTGTCTGTACTGTATAAGTGACTTCGGAGACCGACCTGGTAGGAAACGAGGCGAATCAGAGGCTGAAGAGCAGGGAAGCTACCGCACCAGAGCCCGACGTGTAATTCAATCGAAACCCAAATGGCAACCCGGCCCATTTTGTAAGTCCTAAAGATAATGTCAGTGGGAGCAACGGAGCCAAGGCAGGTAACTAACGTGTCAACCCCAAAGTCGGTAGTCATCATAAAGCCAAGTCGAATAATGCCAACCACGATGGCAACTAAGCCAACACAGAAGACTAGAATAACCTTTATAGCCTGAGAGCCAAACCTCATGTTTTTGTAAATGACCCAGATTGGAATTCCAAATAGTGCCGCGTCGATGAAAATGCCGATGAAACTATGCGCCCAAAGCATATGAGCCTCCACCTTCTGGCTGACGCAATTTCTATCCTGCTTCATGCGATCGAATAGGTCCCTGGGGTAGTATTAGATGGCAAACTGAAAACTGATAGAAAATGGCAAACGTACGCGATAGGTCTACATTCTAGAAGGAAGAAGAGTAATGGTGCCAGAGTCGTCAAAACGATAATAGCGCCAATGCCCCATAACCATCGCATGAATGCACCTATGGGCGAGTCAACTGTCAGGTCGTATAAACAGTGCAGAGGATGAAAAACGTACTATCTCGGCGAAGACGGGGAATGAATGCCAGAATTGATAGACGAATGAAGCAGAGCGCCGGAAAAAACAGCATTTGCTCAACAGGTAGAACCTTGGGTTTTCTCAATTAGTCTGGAACAAGAAACGGACTGGCATGTGTGCATGGAATCGGCGCGTACAGTGAAAAAAGCTTTTAGCTGTGCGGGAGTAAGTGTACTCATTGTAGAGCCTGATCCGTTTTGTACTTGGGCAATTTCGATGGAGGAAACAGCGACAGTCAGTGCCTAAGCAATACGCATGTCAACGCTGAAGCATTGGGAAAAGTTTCACGGGGAGTCTCACGAAGCCAAGTAATGCCAAAAAGTCGTCAATACCAAAAGCCCTTGTCATGAAGCAACGAGCGTACAGACGCGCGATCATAATAAGAGATGAAAATACAGTAAGACATATATTCAGACGTAGAATGTCGGGCCCTTGAGACCTAGCATCGTTGTCCGAACCGCTCGCCATCTTCGATGTTGGCGTAATGCAGCAGCAGCAGATCACGTAGTTGGTGGGTCAAAGAGGTGACAGTGTGTCACAAAAGGAATGCAGGACTTTTAAGGGGCCAGAGAACGCTATCTTATCATCTCTCATCCGTAAGGGAATAGTCCAATGTCTGCAGCCACGATCTAAACGAGGCAAGTTGATCTTTTAGTAGTTACATGCAAGAGGAATTAACGGCATCTTCCCCATACCCACAGGGACAATTCCGATCTAGCGGGGCAACCCAGCCAATCAATATATGGATAGTTCGATCGGAATGTGGAGAGTCTACCCGGGACCACATTCTCCTGACTAGCGTGAACTTCCGCTTACCGTGGAGATGAGTAGCTTGAAACCTCGGATGACAATGGCGTCGTGATAGGATCGGAAGCATTGCATTCAGGCTTGGTTGAGCTTTTGAGTTTGTGTGGCGCTTGTTCTAGTCAGCATCTCGACTCAGTGGAGATTACCATCAACCTGGAAATGTTGCCAAAGGCTTGCGATATTGTGGGGGATCCGGTCAGCACCAATGCCTGGTCAGCTTTCATCGGGGGCAGCGGCCCTGACGCCGCTGGGAACTAACATGGCACTTAGCTTAGCGACTGAGCAGAGACACGCGCAATAGCCCTCAGCGTCTCGTTCCAAAGCGGGTTTAAGACCTCTGACCAATTGCAGAGAATCGTGGAAACAATGAGATACAGCTCTGCGGTTAAAAGCAATAAAGGTATTGCATTTTGATATTTATAGAGCGCAAGGTCAAAAGGAAAGCGCTTGCTTAAGGGCGGCCTGTCTGGGGATGCATCGTTCACTGCCACCCCTGAAGCTAGACCCGATGGTGGCTAGACTAGGGTATAATACGAAGTGCATCCCTGTTTTTCTTTCAGCTGAATCGCTCTTGTTGTAGTGGTTTGGGGCGGTAGAATAATGACTGTACAGCTTGTTTTGGTGTTTAAATAGTCGGATCGCGTCCAGCACATAGATAAATATGTTCATAAACTGAACCGTTTGGCCTTAAAAATCGGGATTGCAGCGTCGCGGTACCAGGACACATGCAGGAAAGTCGCTTACGCATAGTGCTGAACAGGACTCATGTCTTCAGATGCTTACTACGTTAGTATATCTCCCAACCCCTTTGAGTGCAAGAAAAGACCCCCAGGTGATACTGTGGGTAAAAATCTTGATTGAGGTCTTGGAAATCCTGATGTGGCTTTATCTGAGTCTATCGAGGGGACGTGTCTACAACCCTTGCTAAGACTCGGCTTCACACTAACATCACCAAGAGAGCCAACGGTTGATACTATTTCAGTATGTCTAGACATCATATACATAGTGATGCAAACATAATAATGTTCAAGAATATTACAATTATACCCTGCATGGCATTAAACCTTCAGGCGATCCCCATCGATCCCGCGCCCGAGTCATTCACAAACACCCCCAACTATCAAGACAGCTAGCTGCACAGGCGATGCCGGTATATCTCTGCTCTTGCGGAATCTAGGTGGCGCAGGAATACTTGAGGCCACTGTCCCATCCTGCTTTGTCCGTCTGGGCGACGGCACCCTCGTCAGGGACGGCCTTGAAGCATGCTCCAGTCGAACGAATGCGGGAGAAGCCGGCGCATTCATCATCTTCGTCGCAGAACGAGGCGCACTCGAGAATGTCGTTGGAGATTCCAGCGAGCTGCAACCAATCGAGCTGTACATCGCACAGTACCTCTGCGCTGCCCGCGCATTGCTCAGACGTTGAGGGACAGGTAGGACCGGCTGGTGCCAATGTGGTTGTCGTCGTTGCCGCTTCGGTGGTAGTAGTTTCGGCGGTGGATGTAATGACGGTGCTGCTGGGTTCATTGTTTTCACCGCACGTTCCCTTAATGCCAGATGCCCAGCCACCCAAGGACACGGCAGTGTAGGAATCAGAAGCAGTGGCCTTGAAGCATGACTGCGTGCCTGCTGTATAAGTGAAGGCCAAGCAAGAAGTGTCGGAGTTGCAGGCCTGGGCACATTCATCTAGAGTTGGGAGGGTGATAGGGTCAGACAGCCCTGAGAGAATCACGTCACATTGAATCTCCATAGTACCGAGGCACTGGTCTACCTCTGAAGGGCAGGTGACGACGGGCCCAGCGGCAGCTGTCGTGGTGGATGCAGCTTCGGTAGTGGTGTCTGCATTCGACGTGGTGAAAGAAGTGAGGAAAGTAGTGGGCTTCGACTCGGTTGTGCTAGCAACCGTCTCAGTAGTAGACTCCGCAACGGTCGTTTCGGCGGTGGTGGTCTCGGCCAGAGTAGTAGAAGACTCGATAGGCGTCGTGGCTGAGGCGGTGCCACTGGAAGCAGTCTCTGTAGTAGACTCCGCAAGGCTCGTTTCAGTAGTGGTATCGACTAGAGTGGTAGAAGACTCGGTAGATGTGGCTGAGCCCGAAGCGCTTGCTGAGGCAGTGTCGCTGGAAGCAGTCTCAGTAGCAGACTCGGTAATGCTCGTTTCCATAGTTGTTTCAGCCAGAGTGGAAGTAGACTCGATGAGCGTGGCTGATGCGGAAGCAGTTGACGACGCGGTGTCGCTGGCAGAAACAGTGCTGCTGGCCACCGAAACGATGGAACTTGAACGGCTTTCAGGCTTGCATTTCCCAGCAGACGCAATGCCGACCGCAGCGGAGAGGATAAGAAAGGAGCGAATGGCGACCATGATGAAGGTCGGAAAACAAGACAGAAGGTAAAGATCGGACGTCAAATAATTGACAATATTGGGATGAGAGAGAAAGAATTCCGGACCGAGGAAAGAATCGAGGGATTTCCTCTTTATGACATGCGTTTTGTTAGTGGAGCTGTCTCCTGAGAGGAATTCATTTCTTTTTGGGCCTAGAGCTGAAAATGGCTTGAGGCTATTGATGATTATAGCGACATTTGGTTACAGAATCGAATAGCGTCGATTAGCGGCACAATAGTTTGTTTACTAGCGACAGCTGTAAGATTAAGCTTGTTCATTTCTTTTTACGGATCCAAGATATTATTTTCGTATTTATACTCGTGATAACTACCCTGCTTGACCTTGTTGTGAATTGGCTCATCCGAAGCTGAGTTGGTGTAGTTATGACACTTGGTGCATGGCTATCGTATGGCGTGCACTCAGGTATTTTAACATGCCCAACCAAAACAAATGAATTCTTGAGAGCGAGTATAATGTACTGATTTCCGTAGCTGCTCATCCAGGACTCGACAATTAGCATGTTAGTTCATTCGGAGGGAATAAATTGTTTGACGTTGGGGATACGTCACATACCCGGAGCCGGTGCTTACTTTGCGCCCCGATGTCCGACCTGAGAGGCCTATAAAATCGTTCCCCGCCTTGATGGAACCCATGGTTGTAGAGTAGCACACTACACCAGAGCAGATATTTTTACAGTCCTATCAACCATGACGTCGGAGACATCAGAACCGCGAGATGTCACGTTTCGAAACTACACTGCCGACCAAGCTTCCAATTACGCTGCAGCACGACTTGGATACACCGACGCTCTTATCGACTTCATCCTCAACTATCACCAATCTACCAATGGGGAGACTGGATGTGTATTAGATGTTGGCTGTGGACCAGGGACTGCGACTCAAAAGCTAGCGCCGCATTTTGATCTAGCTTACGGCGTTGATCCAGGAGAAAGTATGATCAAAACAGCTACTACCCTTGGTGGAAAGGCTCGCACCGGTGATCCAATTGTGTACCGTTTGAGCACGGCAGAAGATATTGACAAGGTCGATGGTATTCCTCATTCCTCTGTCGATATGATAACAGCTGCGACTGCGGTATGTGTGTTTTTTCTGAGTTAAATTGTATTCACTGACAATCTCAGGCTCATTGGTTCGATATGCCGAAATTCTGGACTGCAGCAGCCAAAGTGTTGAAAATAGGAGGAACCGTCGCGATATGGACTGTTTTCAGACAACAAGGTATGCAGAAGCCCTTCTCTGACGGCTGATACATGCTCACCGAGATTTTGTAGGCTCATTCAACAACAACACCGAACTTCAATCCATCTTTAATGAGTTTCTGGATGCTCTTACCCCGTACTCAACCACAGGTACTCACCTCACTCAAAACGGCTATGTGGATCTGCCGATGCCTTGGAATGATCCCGATACTTCCAAGTTTTACGATCAGCAAGCGTCTGCCCGCCATGTCCTCACTGCTGAAGACGGCTTCGTCCCTAATACAGGCAGAAAGGAAAGTAACCAGGGAAGACATGATGAAACCGTAGATAAGCAAGTCCAAAGTATCGAGAGATTAATAGGAACATTCGGTTCACTAAGTCGTTGGCAGAAAGAGAATCCCGAGCTCGTGGGGACAGAAAAGGATCCCGCTCGGATTCTGATGAGCAAAGTTCGCAAGATGTTGGAAGAGAGTGGAGAGCCAATTGAGTTGACGGCTTTGGCAGCCAAGATGGCTGTTGCACTGATTTTGGTCAAGAGGAAGTGAACTATTGCCTCACAGCTCACTATAGATAAAGCAAAGGCATAAAAGCTTTAATGTTATTGTTCATGGTGATCAAACATGGCTCTCATAACAGTCCTCTGTTATGGCCTTGGTATCAATATCCTTGCGACCAAATATTAGTTATGGATCTCCCTGATAGGTCCTGTATACCCATGCCTCCCCTTCCACAGCCAGTAGATACCTAGTAACAAGGTCGAGCCACCCCAAACTAAACAGGCATAGTTCATGTTCTTAGCAGTAACAGGCAAGGAAAATGGCAAGCAGTAAATAATAAAGGCAATCACCATATACGCGCTCGCAATAGCGTTGACCACCAACCCCAGCTTTCTGCCCATTCTTATCGGTCCATATGCAACGTTTCTTCTTCCTGTAAGAAGGTGAGGCAGGATCGCCGCGGTATATGCCGATGAAGACATAAGTACGTATGAACCAATAATAGCGTTAAAGGCCGTCTTGCTTGCGACGTAAATGCATCCCATCAAGGTAACGAGCACCGCCGAGGCCAAGGTTGCATTGATGGGTGCGTCGAACCTCAAGTTGAAGTTGGAAAAGACCGATGGCCACGGTGTTGCTCCGTCGCGGCTCAATGCCCACAAGGTTCGTCCACAGGTGATGTAAAGACCGACGATGGTCAGTCCGATGCATATCTGCATAAGAATGAGCAGGCAAATCGTCCCGTCAGCTGAGCCGGTGGCTTGGAGGTAAATCTCAGCAAGCGGGAACTGGCTCGCAAATATCCTGTCGTAGCTATGGATAGAGTACATGAGAGCAATCAAATACGAGAAGCCGGTGACAAAGCCTGTGATAACCTGAAGACCCATTGCAACAGGCACGTTTCTCTGTGGACGTGATATTTCCTCTGCCAGGTGGCTTACAGCCGCAGGACAGCCAACACTATAAGCGCCGTTTAGCATACCGCCAAGAAATACTATAATGTTGGGGTATCCGAGGTCAGCTTGCCACTCCAACCACACAAATGACGAGGTTGCATGGCCACTTCCCCCGCTTCGAAGAGGTACAGCTACAAGAACCACGATGGTTATGAGTAGGCCGATCAGGAGCCAGTAGATGCCGAATTGGTTGAGAAGAGGCATTGCTCGACCAGCGTAGCAGACCGAGATACAGGCGAGCCATGTGGAGATGACAAAGACCACAAACACATGGACTTCTTTGACGATGTAGTCGGGATGTTTAAGTGCATAGATCTGGATGATGCTGTTGCTCCATATCGCAGCCATACTTGCACCAGCGCAAATCCAGCCCAGATAATTCCACCAGCCGGCAAAAAAGCCAACGACCCGCCCATATCGTTTGCCTGGCGTGACAGAGGCCCAGTAGTATACGCCTGCGCTGGATGGCATGGCACTGGCAAGCTCGGCGAGGGATGCGGCGACGAAGAAGTAGAAGAAGGATACGACGATGAACTCGTAAAGAACACCTATAGCTATGTCAGTTTCTGTGAGTCTACAACGCGGGTGGTATACAATGTACCTGGAGATCCACCGTTGAAAATAGCAACCTGGATTGAACCGCCAGAGGCAGGCCAGACAACTCCAATGATGATGCCCAGACCTGTGAGGGACAGAAGTCCGAAGCTCACTGGGACCTCCTGCGTATGCTCTGCGACGACGGAGCAGCCATCGTGGTTGTCTGAGGTAGCTGTGCTGTCCGGGTGTTTCTTTGTAGGAGATTTGCTCTCTTCCATTGTAATCGATTTTATAAAATAATGGATTTAATTGAGAATGATAAGTTGAGAAAGCAGTAGTTACAAAGAGTCCACTGCCAGGCGTCTTATGGGAAGCTTGACGGCTATTCAAAACATGGTCTTATCTATAGCCTTATTACGACGCCTATACAGATGCTTCGAAATGGTAGGACAGGGGTACAATAACAGCGATAAAGGACCTCAAAGATTACAGGCACATACCATGGTCTAGGTCTCTAATGTCTAAGTTGACATGACTATAAAGCTACGTCTAGCCAGAAATTACTAGTATAGGATTGGTCTTATCTATTGCCGGCATATCGAACCATGCTTCCCTGGTGAAAGGATCCCCAATGCCAGGCCGAGGCGGGGAAGTTCACAGATCGTTCGTGGCTGATATAACGACCCCGAGGGTATATCTTAACCGCCCCGTCTTTCCCTATTAGGCTACCAAACTCGAATCTAATCGGGTTCCAGCAAGAAAGGGCAGTGGGTATAGAGAATATCTGACGTAACTGAGCAAGTAGGTATATTCCTTTTCCCCTCTTTGGCAGCATTTCTACGGCTCAAGTTTATTTGAAGGAACTTTACCGGTGAACAGAACACTGACCCGACTCCTCGCTTGACAGCATTGCTACGCTCTGAAAATGTCTCGCCAGGTCTCATCGTCAACTTTTCTTGGCCTCGAGAGCTGCCATGTGTTTGTCACTGGAGCGGCCGGAGGGGTCGGCGGAGCTGCTGTCAAGGAATTTCTGGGTAAGCTTTCGATCAGCGAGCATCAAATCCGTTCACTCTAGCTAATATTTACGACCAGAAAACGGATGCCGAGTCACTTCTTTCGATAGAAACCCACTGGACATCGACACTCTATCAATCTCAGAGGAGCAGAAGACGAGACTACATCATATTTCGGGTGATTTGAGAACCGAATCATCCATTGCGCAGGCCTTTGAAGAAGCCAGCAGCAAGTTTGGCCCTGTTCAAATTCTCATCGCCAACGCTGGCATTACAGATGAGAGTAGTCATCCATCAATCTGGGATATCGACACCGAGAGATGGGATGCAGTCTACTCCGTCAACGTCCGAGGAACGTTTCTCACCATCAAGCACTTTCTTCGTTCGGTAAAGCAAGCGCAAGAAGCATCTGGCAAGGAGCTTGACAATGTCGCCGTTGTAGTCACTGGCTCCGAAACAGGCGTCTTTGGCCAGGCTGGTCACGTTGAATATGCATCGGGCAAAGCAGGTCTTCAATATGGACTTGTCAAGACTGTCAAGAACGAGATAGTCAAGCTCAATTCCAAAGGTCGTATCAATGCTGTAGCGCCTGGATGGATCAACACCCCATTGATTGGGGATAGACTAGATGACCCCAAGGAGAGATGGGCTGAGGCAGAAGCGACTGTTGCTCTCCGCAAGATTGCTGAGCCTGGTGATGCAGCTCGTTGCATGGCGTTTTTGGCATCTCATAGGACTGCGGGCCATATTACAGGAC